CAGTCTTTTTAAAAAAATTTTAAAGAAAAAACACATATACATCAAATTGTTGACTATGATAAAACTAAGGAGATGTTACAGCCAAATAAAATGTTAAATCCTGGATTGAATCCTGGGACAGAAAGAGGAACATTAGTGCAATAATTGGTGAAATTCCATTACAGTATTCAGTTTGGTTAATAGTATTGTTCTGATGCAATGTTAACATCAGGTGAAATTGATTAAGGGGTATCCGGGAACTTTGCACTACTACTGCAACTTTTAAGTCTATAATTATTTCAAAATAAAAAGTTAAAAACTATATGAGACAAGAGTGAAAATGTAACCTATGGATTGTAGTTCAAAATGCACCAATAATGGTTAATTAATTTTAGCAAATGCGCCACACTGATATAAAATGTGAACAGTAGGGAGAACTGCATGGGGAAGGAGGGATGTGGGAACTCTATACTATCACTCAATTTTCTCTAAATCTAAAGCTGTCAAGTCTATTAATTTAAAAAAATTAAAGATTTCAAATTTCTATTTCTGAAAAATGAATATGAAAGGATAATTATAATATGCTATCTGTTTAGTTTGAGAGAGAAAAGAATTCAGTGAAATTATTACAAACTGACAGGCAATTTAAAGTTCATCCTTGCAACACACTGTCTCTAGGAATCAGGCTGCCTCAGGAAATCAAGGAGGAAATACAGTCATGAGAAAAATGTGTCTCTTACAATCAACACAGAAGCCTTGAAAGAATGAAACAAAATTAAGGAAGATAGAAGAGAGTGTTGCTTTGGAGAAAGGGTGCAATTTGTGAAGACAGGTCAGATTTAAATATAAAATAGGGCTGTGAAGTCCAGAGTGGGTTGATACAAGTGGGAAGTAGAGATGCACAGGGAATCCAATTACTTTGAAAATAGACACTAGAGAAAACAGAAACATCTTAATTTTTACAAATCAAAACAGACTTGAAAAGATTCAACCACACTATACTCTGAGATCTTGGAAGGTCTTGGCTCTGTTGGATTTCTTCAAAAACTAGGATCAACAAACAGTTGAGAAATTCCTTCTTAAAACCACAAATAGTTCAGTAAGTGAGAACCATCCCATGAAGAATGGGCTACTATTTGAGATGCTTTCAGAAAATCTAGACAGATGTAAGAAGACTGGTCCAAACACACAGAGTACTCAAAGTAGTTTTAGTGAGTTTCAAGGTGAGGCAGTCATCTTCATAGAGAGGACATACAGATGCTATTTATGCCCCAAGGAAACATGCCTGAAAACTTTAAAGAATGATGACTCTGAAGTGAGGCGCACTAATGTGAGAGCCATTGGAGGGGCCAGGCAAAACAAGATAATGGACATGTCTGAACTGTTAGTCAAATGGCAGAATGTCTTGACAGAGACACTTGAGGAAGTGGCAGTGGACAAGATAGGTGTGAATAACTGATGCTTTCAGCAGTCCCAGAGTATAATGATTTTATCTCCTCAGATCTGAGAGAAAAAAGTGGACAAAATTTAGTGGTGTATGTTTCAAAATATTTCCAGAAAGAACAGAATTAAAAGAAAGAAGGGCTCAAATTCAGCAAACCATCCCAGCCCAAAATGAATCAGAGAAGAAAAGAGAGTGACTTAAGCAGTTAATATATTAGAAAATAGCATGGACCTTTCAGAAAGCAAAAGGAAAAGTGGGAAACAAAATGTCCATGCCATATTTCTCCATGGCAGAAAACCATGTAGCAAAACAACTGCTAATCAAGACACAGAACAGTTGAAAATAGGAAAAGCAGTGTTTTTGGGAGCAGCGGGGTTCTAATCATTACTAGTCCCACAGAGTGACAACCTTCAAAAACATTAATAAGCTAAAAATGATGCTTCCACTGAAAGAAATTGGAGGACAGGGAGGAAACATTCCCAAGGGTAAGACTTCAGAGGGTTGGAAAATTCCAGGACAGCAGCCAATGTGAGACTGACTGTACATGGCTGTTCACAAAAGCCAGGAGACAAAGTATGGCCAGATACATCCACCTTCAGTGTTGCACATTGGGCTCAACAGAGAAACAGTAATGGAGAGGTTTCCAATATGTTCAACACAAGGAGATGCGTCTTAAATAAGGCTAACATCTGGGGCTGCCACAATTGAAACATTCTCATTTTTGCAAGAAAAATGATATCAAGTATTTATTGCACACAGACACTACTATGCATTTTATATTTATTGCTTTATGTATAATTACCTCATCCTATGAAGTTGGGCTCTAATAGCATTACAACTTTATAGATGAGTAAACTGGGGCACAGAGAGATTAAATAGCTTGTTCGTTAGTACTCTTGGTAGAGTTTCATGAGACCAGAACCACTCTGGTGAATGCAGGACGAGTCTGATGGATGATCTTTCCCTCTCCAACAAGAGTTAGCCATTTTTTAAAAAACGGTGGAGACCACTGCTTAGGCAGGGTATGGAGGGGGGCATTTTGGGAAACTTCGGAGTGCTTCTGCCTTATTCCTGATTTTCAGTCTATGAGAATTCTTCTCTAAATGCTCTTGGCTTCTTGTTCCATCCCTTTTCTATAAATGTTGATAGTTACCTGGTCGATGAGTTACTTTTCCTCTTTTCTAATGTAAACATTTTTACTATAAATTTTTGCTGTGAATTTCTCTTTTAGTACTGCTTTAGCTGTGTTCAACAAGTTTTGATATGTTGTATTTACATTTTAATGCAGTTCAATATATTTTTAAAATGTCCTTTGAGTCTTCCTCTTTGACCCATGGAATACTCAGAAGTGCGTTTAGTTTCCAGGTGATTGGAAATTTTCCTGTTGTCTATTCTTTATTTATTTCTACTTTGATTCCATTTGTTCATAGAACACATTTTGTATGAATTCAATTCTTTTACATTTGTTAATGTTTATGGCTCAGGATATGGTCTATCTTGGCATATGTTCCATGGATGCTTGAGAACATGTATTCTGCTTTGTTGGATGTGGTATTCTTTAAATGTTGATTAGACCCTACTGGTTGATGGTGTGGAGTTCTTTTGTATCCTTGCTGATTTTCTATCTAGTTGTTCTATCAATTGTTGAGGGAGAGGTTGACTTGTCTATTTCTCCTTTCAGTTCTATCAGGTTTTGCCTCACCTATTTTGCAGCTCTGTTGTTTAATGCATACACATTAGGATTGCTATGTTTTCTTGGAGGATTAATGCTTGTGTCATTATGTATTATTTCTTTCTGTCCCTTAGGACTTTATTTGCTGTCAAATCTGTTTTATCTGATATTAGTAAAGCCACTTCTGCTTACCTTTGATTAATATTTGCATGGTGCATCATTTTTCATTCCTTACTTTCAGCCACCTATGTTACTATAGTTGAAGTGAGCTTTCTGTAGACAGTATATCGGTGAGTCATATTATATACTCTGCCAACCTCTGTCTTTTAATGTTGTACTAATTTTAACTATATAGTAATAATTGATATTTTAGGGCTTGATATGCCATTTTATTTTTATTTATTTATTTTTTAGATATAGTCTCACTCTCTCACCCAGGCTGGAGTGTAGTGGCGTGATCTCAACTCACTGCAATCTCCACCTCCCAAGTTCAAGCGATTCTTCTGGCTCAGCCTCCCGACTTGCTGGGACAACAGGCATGCACCCCCATGCCCAGCTAATTTTTGTATTTTCAGTAGAGACAGGGTTTTGCCATGTTGGCCAGGCTACTCTTGAACTCTTGACCTCAGGCGATCCACTGAGGTCCCTCAGGTGATCAGCCTCATGCTCCTAAAATGCTGAGATTACAGGTGTGAGCCATGCTGGTTCTCTGTTTTCCATTTCTTTTTTCTTTTTTCTCTTTTTTTGTGAGCTACTTAAACATTTTTTTTCTACAATTCTATTTTGATTGACCTGTGACATTTTTTGATTGTACCTCTTTGTATAGCTTTCTCAGTGACTGCTCTAAGTATTACATTATATATACATAACATATTAGGTATTGGTATTGGAATCTTTACCAGTTTGAGGAAATATAGAAAGCTTATCCATTTTCCATATTTTTACCCTCCCTCATTTATAATTGTCTTAAATATGTCCTCTATATACATTAAGAACCACATCAGACAGTGTTGTTATTTTTGTTTGAATCATCAAAGATAAGTTAGAAAACTAAGGAAGAAAACAAAGGTCTATCGTATTTACCCATTGTTTTTCCTTTTACTATTCCTCCTTCTTTTCTAATGTTCCAAGATTTCTTCTTTTGTCTTTTTTTTTCTGTTTTTGAGAACTTTCTTTAGCCATTCTTTTAGGGAAGATCTTCTGGTGACAAATAGTTTTCCTTCATCTGAGAATATCTTGATTCTTGTCTTCATTCTTAAAAAACATAATTTCACTGGATATGGAATTCCAGACTGACAACTCCTTTCTCTCAGCATTGAAAAGTGTACCACAACCTTCTGCTCTCTGTTGTTTTCCATGAGAAATCTGCTATTCCTCTGTAGGAAAAGATGTTTCTCTTTTGCTACTCTCACAATTCATTTTTGTCTTTAATTTTTAGATGTTTGATGTGTCTTGGTATTGGTTTCTTTGGGTTCATTCTCTGGTGTTTACTCAGAGAAAATCTGTAGTTTCATAGCTTTTGCCAATTTTTTTTTCAGCAATTACTTTTTTCAAATTTTCAGTTCCACCTTTTTTTCCCTCTTTTTTGCATTCTAGTAACATGAATGTTAGATCTTTTGTTACAGTTCTGCAGGTCATCAAGGCTCTGTTTATATTCTCTTCTCTCTGTTTTTCAAATTAGATTATTTTCATTGTTCTGTCAAGTTCCTGGGTTATTTTCTCTGTTTCTTTCATTTTGTGGTTTGGCCACATCTATTGAGTGTTTTATTTTGGTTATTTTCTTTTTAGTTCTAAAATTTCCATATAGTTGTTATTCTTTGTATCTTCTATTTCTTTATAAGAATTTCTGTTTTTTCACTTGCTTTGTATACATTTATAATTGCTTGCTAAAACATTTTTATGATGACTTTTAAAATCCGTATCAAATAGTTCTGACATCTGTGTCACCAAATGCTGGTATATATTGATAGTCTTTTTTCACTGAAGTTGAGACTTTTCTAGTTCTTGGTACAATTAGTGATTTTTGATCAAGACTTGGACAATTTGGGTGTTAAGAAACTTTGGATCTCATTTTAGAAGCACTCTTATGACATCACTACATTGGGAAACTGGAGATGCTACTTCATTACTGCCAGGTGAGGCTGGAAGTCCAAGTTCTTACTCCATTGACACCTGGAAGCTGTTGTGCTTTTCTGTACTGCTAGGCAGGAATGGCAATTCAGTCTCTTCTCTAGGCTGATGTCACCTTGCCTGAGACGGTCAGGGTTGCCCCATTACTGTTCACCACGTGACCTTTCATGGACACCACAGGGAGATGGTCTTGCTACTGCTGGGCAGTGGTGAAGGTCCTGATACTTCACTAGATCTCTTCTGACACACAAAGTGGCAAGGTGGAGAGTGACACCTTATTACCACTGGATGGGAGCAGAATTCCAAGCTCCCTACAAGGTCTCCACTGATACTGCAGAAAGAGGAGGCTCATTACTCCCCAGCAGGGTAAAAGTCACAACTCCTCACTGTCTCCTCTGACAAACCCTGTCAGAGGGATTGGGGAACCTCCTTACAGATTGACAGGAGTGGAAATCTGGGCTCCTCACTTGACCTTTGCTGGCTTGATGGGGTTAGAGACAGATTTTCTGTGTTTGGTATAGTAAAGAGGTGGTTGTCTAAACGTTTTCTGTCTTACCAGGCTGCTGCCTTTTCTGGAACTTTGGCTCAAGAGGTTTTTCTTGGGGCTTGTTTTATCTGTGCTCATTGGCATTTCTGAGTATCCTGCATCTCCAACATCTCATCTGAAACTTAGGAGGCCAAATAGATCCAGGAAACTCCTACCATCTCTCTCATTCCTTTGATCCTGAGGGTGATAGCAGTCTTTCCTCTCTCCACCTTTCAGTGCCTTATGTTTGTTTTATATATAATGTTCGTGGTTTTAGCTATACTTAGTAGAAGGTATAGGAAAAGTGTATTTTTCTCTCCATTTTTCTGTGCTGAGAAACCAAGAACCAGAAATGTTTATTATTGCCCTAGAAACATAGGAGAAGAAGGTTTGTGACTTTGTGTCCTTGGGTATGTCGGGGATGAGAAGAAGCTGTCCCTAGAGATAGCAGGGATCCAGCAATATAGTGGCAGGCTGGATTAAAGGAGACATGACTGGGAAGCAACCTGTGGTGCATGACAGCTGATGGATGGTTGTCAGAAACAGTGGTGTCTGATGATCCATTTGAAGCTATTTCCTCCTCTCTATTCCTATTACTCTCCATTTCCCCCAATATCTTCAGTAAGCACCTATTATATGTAGCAGCTTAGTATTAAAGAATGAAGGAGATGAAAGAGAAGGTTATGCAATTGTATTTTGGGCCAAGGAAAGTGACAGAGGTGGCAAGGCCAGTGATGAAGAGCCTGCCAGAGTGATAGAGGCCTGAGCAAGGAACAAATTGGTGAAGGAAGATTAGGACCTTGGCATGTGGAGTCACTGCGGAAGCCTGTATGTTCTCAGAGCTCAGTAGAGAGGAAGTAAAAGCAGGGAGCAGTAGCTGAGTCATTATGAGAAAGAGGGTTTCGCCATAGAAAGTGCCACCTTGGCTGGATTCTCTTGAAGTTTGCTGCACGGTTACTTGAGTGGAGAGAAGCACCTCTGCTTTTGCGTATGGAGGGAAGCTCTTTGCATGCATTTTGAAGGCAGCCTGTGCCGTCTGAACTACTAAGTGCCCTCCCACAGGCTCCTAACGCCTTGCTGCCTCTCCAGGTGGGTCTGAAGTGGAGTCAGCTCAGAGGCCTGCCATTCCACTCTTCATTCCAGTGATACCTTGGCTTGCTTTATGAACCCTGAGCCCAGAGTTCCTAAAGCACCAAACCCAGTGAAGCAGAGACACCTCTGGCATGGGTCTGTGAGTTGCTTCTCAGGGCCCAGGCCAGCAACAATGATTCAGCACACAGGCCAACCTGTGTAAGCTTTATGCATGCATTTTAGGGCAATGGGAAGCATGGTGAGCAAGATTTGTGGTAAACCTTTAACCACATTCAACTTCTTCTAAGATTTATCTGCTTTAGAATATGTAGAGTTGGAGAAATGACCAGGGACCGCACAATGCTGTGCTTGTTATATTGCTGTAGAGTGAAGGATGCTGCTGGCTCTCCCTAGTCTGGAGTGAATTTGGCCCATGTAACGGGGCAGCAGGGAGTCAGGCAGGTGAGTTCTTCCTTGTGTCTCCTTTTCCAGTAAATGCCAATATGCTCCCCAGATCACCCTTGGCTAACATCTAGGTCTTACACTAAGTTGTCCTCCCACTCCCCAGGGTGAATTAATCTCCCTGCCATGTACCCCCTGAGAACCTATTGGCTGAGTCTCCATCCCCATCTGTGAAAATGCTTTGTGATGTGCAGTTTCATTTCACAGAATAGAAACTGTGTTTTGATTCACCAGGACCCAAACACTCTTTTTGTAGAATCTATAAAGTGACATGGAAGGTCATATTTTAGAGGACTGTCCCTGCAGCTGGTGAGGAAGCCCTGGTGAGGGGCAGCACAGGAGGCTGTTCTGGCTGGCTGGTTCTGGGCTGAGGGGATGTGTTGGAGGCAGGAGGAGTGAGGATGCAGAGGAGGGGAGGACTCACGAAGTGGAATGAGCAGCAGCCTGGTACGACTTAGAGGCTGATAAGACTTGAGGAAAGAGGCTTAGGAAGGGGCTTGGATTTGCTCTCACAGAGACAGCCAAAGGTGTGATGTCGGGAGAAAGGTTGAGGAGTTCGGATTGGGATGTGTTGAATTTGAAAGGTCTGTAGGGTGTCCAGGCAGAGTGGACCTGAGCTCAAAAACGTCTGGCTGGAGACTGAGCTAGAGAGAGATGTGGAAGCTCCAGGCATATGTGGTCCCCAGGAGGATGTGCAGAGCATGGGCTGTCACCTGTTTTTAATCCACACCCTGACACTAAAAATGACTGTTGTGTTTTACTTTCTCTAGTTTGTATCATGAACCCAGTAATAATGACAGTAGCTGTTACGGACTAGTTGTGTCCTCTCCCCAGTCACTATGCTGAAGTCCTAAAACCAGGACCTCAAAATGTAACTGCATTTGGAGATAGGGTGCTTAAAGAGGTAATTAAGTGAATAATGAGGTCACAAGGTGGGTTCTAATCCAGTATGACTGGTGTCCTTAAAGGAAATAGATACTAGGACACGCACACACACACACAGGGACAACCAAGTGTGGACACAGCGAGGAGATGGCCATCCACAAGCCGAGGAGAGGAGCCTCTAAAGAAACCGACACCGTTGACACCTTGATCTTGGACTTCCAGCCTTCAGAACTATAGAAAATAAATTTCTGGTATTTAAGCCTCCCAGTCTGTCATACTTTGTGATGGCACCTGTAGCAGACTAGTACAGTAGCTAACACGGGATACTTATTACGTGTCAAATACTGTCTTAAGCACTTTAAATATTCTAGCGCATTTAATGTTCATAGCAACCCTATTTGTAGAAAGTAGTACAGTCCATGGCATGGCGGCTATATTGGCTCCTTCATTTTCCCCAGGGTTTGGAGTCTCTTCCACTTTCCAGCTTGTCCTCCTGTCCTTCACTCTCCCCGGGACCATGTCCTTTAGATTCTCACCTGTCCCCCACCTCTCTCCTCAGGTTCCAGGCTCAGCAACCTGCCCTCATCACCTGCCAGTTCCCGACTCTATCTGTAACTAGCTCCTTACCTGTCTGGGTTGGTCTTCTGAATACTTGCCACTACTTGGCATGATGCTTTTGCAAAATAGAAAGAATCAATAATAATAATAACTGCTAGGGTCTACTGAGCATGTGCTCTTCAATGTCTGTTTATTCTCTTACAACTACCTTAACACATTATTATTCTCCTTTTAATTCTGCTTTCTAGAGAAGGAGGCTGGGGCTCAGGGAGATGAGATGAGTTTTCCCAGGTCTCACAGAAACAGGATTGAAGGAAGGAAGCCGTGTTTTCCAGAAGAAAAAAACTTACGTAAAGTCTTTCTGTGAAAGACTCAGTTCCTGCTCTCTTTCAGTTGGCAAAGTCTGAAGTCCTAGGAAAGAGAGGAAAAGAACAGAAATATGAATATGAGTGTGTGTGTATTTTGCTTCCCTCACTAAAGTTTTCACGTTCTATATTAATAAGGGCAAGCTTTCCCTGTTTTGTTCTCTGCCATATCCTCAGTGTCTATATTAGGTGCCTGCTAGTGTGGAGCTCTAAAAAGTTGTTAGAGAAAGAATGGAAGAAAGGAAAGAAGAAGGCAGGAAGGAAAGAAGGAAGGAAGGGAGGGAGGGATGGAAGAAGGAAGGTAGGAAAGAAAGAAGGAAGGAAAGGAAGGAAGAAAGGAAAAAAGACAAGATGAAAGGAAAGAAGGAAGAAAGGAAAGAAGAAAGGAAGGAAGAAAGGAAACAACGAAGGAAGGAAGGGGAAGGAGAAAGGGTTCAGGGGAAGGAAAAAACAAGGGATTGCTTTTCCCTCATGGGGGGCTTGAGCTTGTTGCTTCCAAAGCTACAAAGCTTTGGTCTTTACCCATAAAAAAATTTTGAAGTCACCCCATCCAGTTATGTTTCCCTACAGTTTAAACAAGAATTCTCATGCTCCACTGGCCACACGAGTGACCTCAGGGGGAGTAGACACAGGTGGAGGGAGCTCCTTGTGACCAGCAGAGAAAACAGGATGGGGCACTCCCTCACTGAGTACCTGTGGGTGGGAAGGCCATTGCCAACCGTAGCTCTATAAAGGCTCCCTGGCCCGGGAACCTAGGGCAGGCAGTGGCTTCTTCTCCTTCCTCCCGGGAAGGGCCAGGAAAATGGCCCTGGTCCTGGGGATTGTCAGCCTACTGGGCTCTGTCTGCTTGGTGTCCGCCAATATCTTTGGTAAGTTCTGAGGCTGTGGAGCCAGGGGGCTGGGGAGGGAGCGCCAGTGTCAGCCAGGCTCTGCCCTGGGCCTTCGAACAGGTGTGATCTAATTAAATTTTCCCCAATGCCTACATGTCAGTGATTTACTTTCCTTTTCAGATAAACAGGCAGATTTAGAAAGAGGCGAACTGAATTACTTAAGGTCACAGAGCTAGTGATTGGTGGAGCAGAAATGGGAAATGGGGTTGATCTTTCTATTCAATTCTAGGTCCCCCTCACTCCACCATTTTGGCAAACTTTTGGCATTGACCTTGGGTTTTTATCCCCTTAGCTATTCCAAAGTCTATGTCATCTGTAAGAGGTATTTTAGAAGTAGCCAGCAGGTAGAAGGAAAAGAAATCTACCTGTGGAGTGAAATAGCCCTAAGTTCTGTCCTAGCCACTTACCCGTGTGACTTTGGGCAAAGTGCCAAGCCGCTGTTTCGTCATTTAAAAAGTAAACAACAACCTCATGGTGTGGTTGTGATTTCTGGGTAAGATCCTCTGTGTTATATGAGTTCTCAATGGAGAAGACATGTACGTTATTAATCAATTTGTATTCCATTGTGTATCTGGAAGGTGCTACATCTGTAGGGCATGGCTTGATAGATTCAAGAAGAACTTCCTTGTGGTGTTGTAACCTACTCCAAATAGCCTCATGGGAGCAGGGGTTGGAATGTGGAGTCCCTGTGTTGATTTTGGAATCCTTCACTTGCCAGCTATGTGACTTTGAGCAGGATGACTTTCGCTGCCTGAGATTTGGTACCTCATGAGTGACAAGGATATATTGCCTGTCACCTCTCAGAGGAATGCTGTGCTTTAAATCAGCTAATGTAATACTTGGAAAAAAGTGTGCCTAGCTGCCAGATCTTAAGATAGACTGTCACAGGTAATGGTGATGACCCTGGAAAAGCATCTGTGCTTACGAGAGCCTATCTCTGTCCTGGCAGCCCAGTCCATGCTCTTCTCTGATGAAACATTTTTCTTTTCCTAGAGTACCAGGTGGATGCCCAGCCCCTTCGTCCCTGTGAGCTGCAGAGGGAAAGGGCTTTTCTGAAGCAAGCAGACTATGTGCCCCAGTGCACAGAAGATGGCAGTTTCCAGTAAGGCTTATATCAGCAGCAAACTCTCAAGGTCCAAGATGCCATAAAGAGCATCTTGTGCCTCCCCCTCTCTTCCTGGGATCTGCCCTGCAGCTCCTTTGTGCACATGAGGCTTGGCCACTGCCATTTGGAGGTGCCCACCTTTCAGGTCCCCAAGCTGATCAACACCGGCCAAACTGACCAAGTGAACCCTAATCCATGCTTCGTCCTCCCACTGCTCTTCCTTCTCTTCCTGCCATCACTTTTTCTGTGATGACTTGAGTAAACTGCACACGTGGGGGGTGGGGCAGAGTTGTGGAGGGTGTCAAATGATCTGTGTTTTGGAGCCTCTCCCTCCTCCAAGTATCCTCTTGAGAAGCTGGGGTGGTGGAAGCAGAGGCTGCCTTGACTTCCCAGTCCATTGCTGCCTTTGACCCTGTCCAGGCCAGCTTTCTAGGCTGCCTCTGGGCTTACAGGTCACTGTCTCCTCATGGAGCTGCTCTCTGGAAGGGGTTTCTCCAGCTGCCCTAATACAGCTGTGGGGCCTGAGACCCTCTCTGTGGAGAGCATGATAATAATCTAGACGATTCTTCCTTGTGGAATAGACAGGAATCATTTGCAATGTGCATGCCATTGAAATTTCCCCGTGCTATTCCAGTCATTTTGAATAGGGGAACTGCATCTATATGATGGTGTTCTGGGACACATCTGCAGAACGTCCCTCCTTGCCGCTATCTTCTGTACACTCTTAACATGCCTAACCTCCCACGAGCATGCAGAGACACTGCTAGAGCAGTTCTTCTTTAAATCGCTGGGAATTCTGAAGCAGCAAGGAAGGCATTAAGGAGGATGTGTCGCTTTCACCAGCCTTATTTATGTTCCCATCCCAATTCTCTTGTTCCAGCCTCTTGCAGTTTCAAACCTGGTCTGTCCTCAGGAGGCTTTGCATATGCTGTTCCCTTTACCCAGAGCATCCTTTACCTTCTACACCCCGACCATCCTGCAGGTCTCAGTTCAGCCATCATTTCTTTCCAGAAATGACGTCAACTCTATGGCCTGGCCTGACCCCTCCCATGTGCTTCCCAATATGCCAGGCCGGCCCCTGACCCCACTAACGTCCCACCCCCAGAGCCCCAATGCTATCCACACAATGTGGGCACTGCCTTTTCCCTCTACAGCCTCATAATGACTGAGGACACTTAGTAGATGTGGCTGAAGCCCTGTACTCTGGGTGGGTCACTTGCTTTGGGGCTGGAAAGGTGGTGAATGAATGGCTGGGGCAGGAGGCAGAGCAGGTGTCAGCCAGGCAGGAAAAGTGGAGCCTTTCCTTTCCCAGGTAAGCCACCCCTCTCACCTCCACTGTCTCCCTAATTTAAATGAACCAAAACCTGGAGGAATGGAAACAAAGAAGAAAAGTAGGCTGTGTGGGAGCCTGTGTGTGCCTTTGGGGGCCCGTCGCAGAGTCACCTGGTCTGTCTCTCCTCCTCAGGACTGTCCAGTGCCAGAATGATGGTCGCTCCTGCTGGTGTGTGGGTGTTGATGGCGGCGAAGTGCTGGGCAGCAGGCAGCCAGGACGGCCTGTGGCTTGTAAGTGGGGATGGGGGATGTCCCTTGGGGATAGGAAGGACCCTGCTGGGACAACTCATGTCCAGGAATGAGCACTAGGTTTGGGTAGGTGACTGAGCGAGTCCTCCCTTTGGGCTGCTGGCTTCTCTGTGAAGAAGAATCATCCCTGCAAGTCAAGGAAGGCCCTCTGTGCTGCAGGGCCCCTGTGAAAATCCAGTAATTTGTTAAGCAAATATCCATCCACTTGCTCCCATGCACCAGGCACTGTGCCTGGTGCTGAGAAGACAGTGGTGAACAGACATCATGGTCCCCTGAAATCAGAAAATGACCATAAAAATACGAAGTGCCTTCTCACCTATGGTGTGAGGTGTTTCTAAACATTTAAGACTTGGCTCAAAACTATCCAGTTAAGATCATTATAATAGTGAGTCATCAAAGAAACACAGTCCCCATTTAAAACATGTCATAACCCTAAAACAACAGTCAATTTAAGCCAACCACCTTAAAATGAGGAAACTGAGCCTAAAACAAAAACTCTCCTTTGATGGATTAAAAGCTGTGTTTGGGGCATTACTTTTACGCATCCCTTGTGGCTGTCGTGGGGGCAGGCCTCTCTCATACTCTCCTGCTGCGTGAGCTTGGCTGAGTCAGGCATCCTCACTGAGCTGTGGCTCCTTATCTGTGACATGAATATAGCATCTGCCTTGTACGATGTGGGGATTTAGAACACATGTAAACACTAGGCATGTAGTAGGTACTCAGTAGTGGGTGACCATTGCTAATGTATTAGTCCATTTGTGTTGCTATAAAGGAATGCCCGAGGCTAGATAATTCATAATGGAAAGAGGTGTATTTGGCTCACAGTTCTGCAGGCTGTGCAGGAAGCATGGCGCTAGCTTCTGCTGCTGGTGAGGGCCTCAGGCTGCTTCCATTCATGGTAGAAGGGGAAGAGGAACCATCTGTGCAGAGATCACGTGATGAGAGAAAGCTTGAGAGACAGAGGGTGGAGGTGCCAGGCTTTTTAAAAAATAATCAGCTCTTATGGACACTGCTAGAGCTGGAAGTCACTCTGAGGGAGGGCATTCGTCTCTTCATGAGGGATCCGCCTCTAAGACTCAAACACCTCCAACACTGGGGATCAGATGTCAACATGAGATTTGGAGGGGACACATGCTGAAACTGTAGCAGCTAAGGTCACTAACCCTCATGCAGAGTGGTGAAGCAGCTCCCCCAGGGCTACACAGCAAGCCTGGGGAGAAAACCGGACTCAGAAAAGCTCCATTAATACCAAGCCTGCACTCTGATGCCATCTCCCCTCCACAGTACCGGTGCTCTGGGGTACATGACTGATCGAGGTCAAACCAGCGAGCTCTGCCTGACCCAGTCCACAGGATACTAGCTAGGCCTGTGCTCTGGTTGCCACCGATCACTGAGTCACTCTGGGGAGGGAGCATGAGTTTTCCTGGGCTCTGCCCCCTGGACATTTCCCCTCGGCCCTATCTAACACTGCTCCTTGTACCCACAGGTTTGTCATTTTGTCAGCTGCAGAAACAGCAGATCTTGCTGAGTGGCTACATTAACAGCACAGCCACCTCCTACCTCCCTCAGTGTCAGGATTCAGGGGACTACACGCCTGTCCAGTGTGACGTGCGGCAGGTGCAATGCTGGTGTGTGGACGCAGAGGGCATGGAGGTGTATGGGACCCGCCAGCTGGGGAGGCCAAGGCGATGTGAGTTTCACACCTGCACCCCTAGAGCAGTGGAGGAGCTGCAGCTTTCCTCACTGTGAGCCAAAACATTTAGGGTTTCCTGCCAAAACGGGCAGAGAACCAGGCCCTCAGTAGGGAAAATAAAAGCTTCAAAGGGAAGGTTTTATTATTCTCTTATTTCCATATGGTAGACAAGTCATATTTGCTGGCTGATCATTAGAAACATAAGCAGGATTTCAATAAATGTTGTGAGTCTCCTGTTGCAGACCTGAGTCACTGTGTGGGTCTCTAACTGTCATGTATATAGTGTAAGCACAGCCATGTGCTGCATATGGATGTTTTGGTCACCAGTGGACCACATACATGACAGTGGTCTCACAGGATTATAATAGAACTGAACAATTTCTATTGCCTAGTGACGTAATGATAACCTTGATCCTAGTCTGAGTAGATCTAGACTAACGTGTGTGTTTTTCTATTACTTTTTAACGAAAAGTTTTAAAGTAAAACAAAAATTAAAAATAAGGAAAAGTTTATAGATTAAGGACATAAAGAAAGAAAATATTTTTGTACAGTTGTACCATGTGTTCATGTTTTAAGCTAAGTGTTATCATAAAAGAATCGAACGTTTTAAAAAGTGAGATTTATAAAATAAAACTGAAGTAAGTCTACAGGAGTGTACAGGAGTGTCCTAGGCTTGGGTGTTCACCCACTGACGCCCAGAGCAACTTCTAGTCCTGCAAGCTCCATTTATGGTAAGTGCCCCATACAGGCGCCATGCACTATTCTTTATCTTTTTTTTTTTTTTTTTTTTTTTTTTTTTTTTTGAGACGGAGTCTCACTCTGTAACCAGGCTGGAGTGCAGTGGCGCAATCTTGGCTCATTGCAGCCTCTGCCTACTGAGTTCAAGCGATTCTCCTGCCTCCGCCTCCTGAGTAGCTGGGACTACAGGCACAAGCCACCATGCCCAGCTAATTTTTTTTGTATTTTTAGTAGAGACTGAGTTTCACAATGTTGGCCAGGATGGTCTCAATCTCTTGATCTCATGATCCGCCTGCCTCAACCTCCCAAAGGGCTGGGATTACAGGAGTGAGCCACCGCGTCTGACCTATTCTTTATCTTTTGACTATATTTTTACTGTATCATTTCTATGCTCAGGTATGTTTAAATACACAAATACTCACCATTGTCTTACAGTTGCCTATAGTATTCATTACAGTAACACACTATAGAGGTTTGTAGCGTATAAGCAACAGGCTAGCTCGTACAGCCCAGGTGTGCCGTGGGCAAACCATCGAGGTTTGCATAATGCACTCTATGATGCTCACATAAAAATGAAACCGCCAAACGATGGCTTCTCAGAGCTCATCCCCATTGCTAAGGGACACATGACTGTATATGCTGCTCAGCTATAGAAACGTGTGTCTACTTATGCATAAGAATGTAATTTTTCTTCATGAAAATGTTTAGGTCCAAGGAGCTGTGAAATAAGAAATCGTCGTCTTCTCCACGGGGTGGGGGACAAGTCACCACCCCAGTGTTCTGCAGAGGGAGAGTTTATGCCCGTCCAGTGCAAATTTGTCAACACCACAGACATGATGATTTTTGATCTGGTCCACAACTACAACAGGTAAGGGGAGCCGACCTCCGGGCTGTGCCTGCCACTGGCCCGTCACCTGCCCAAGCACACACTCACCTTGAGCTGGGGGCTTCCATGTGTCATATGTGCAGCGTGGTAAAGAGTTAAGAGCAGCCTTATTCTCATGAGCTGTGCTGGGTGTCTGAAGTGCCACGGCGTTTTTATCAAGGCAAACTGGCAATTGGTATTTAATGAAAAATATATGTGCCCTCTAGCCAATGAAATGTAAAACATCAGAATGTGAAGACATGTGGACTAAGGTGCCTACTGCATCGTTTTTCATTGTAGCAGGAAACTGGGAACAAAGTGATCATCAAAAGATGGTTGGCTGAATCAGTGTGAATCTGCCATAAATATTTATGCAGCTATTAAAAAGACTGTGTTAGAGCTGCCAGGACATTTGACCTGGAGAGCATGCCACAGTATATTAAGATAATACAATACAAGATACAAAGCACAGATAATATAATGTAATACGCTTTAATTTTTAAAGAACAGATGAGCGAAGAGATCCTTTACACATGCTTAGATGACTATACCATTAAGCAGATCTCTGCAGAGGACTATGTGAGCACAGAGGGTAAGAGGAAGGTGCAGGCAGGGCATGGTTATCCTGGGCTGCTGCAGGGCCAGGGCTGCCCTGCAGAAGAAGGAGTAGGCAGAAAGGGAGTCTGCAGAAAAGGAGAAAAGGCAGCACTTCCAACAGCACGGATGTCATCATGTTGTGAACTTTTGTAAACTGTGTGCATATGTGCATTTACAAATAATTTCTAAAATGTTAGTAGTGAATATAAACAGAGAGATGCATTATAGATCTTGACCCAGATAGCCAGGCAGCTTCTGGTTATCCAAGGTGGCCCCTTGTTTATTGTAAATGGGTTCACTTCAGATGTAACGGAACCATTTTGAGTTAAAAAGAAATATTAATACTAGTCTGCAAATGCTGATATGAATTCTCTTGGAGAACTTGAGCCTCTGTGTGGCTGGCTTCCAAAACAACCAGTTTCTTTCTGTGTGTGAGGAAGGAAATTCTCATGGGCTGTGCCAGGAAGAAGCTCACACTAGCAGCCTGTGTGCAGAATTGTCCCATAGACATACTTGGTTTGAACTGCATCGTATTTTTAAAACTGGAAACTTCTATTAGGTTATACCCCATGAAATTTCCAGTTTTGTAGGTTACTAAATAGTTGAACATGAGCAGTTTTATATGTTCAATCTGAAACTCACAATTCTGAATTCCTGATTGTAAAGAACAAGGGTAGGAGGCTGCACGCATGCATTCACTGGTGGCATCAAGACACTGGCTTCGCTGCTCTTTTTAGACCAAGGACACACCCTTCTGTGCTCCAGGTCCCTCTGTGCTCTGGTGCCATACCCCTGACTACCCCATCCTGCCTGGTCCTGTAGCATTTGCCTTTGTGACCTGCCTTCTGCCTCTGCCACTGCTTAGAACAGTGACTTAGCCACTTACTCTCACAGAGCCTCAGTGTTCCCATCCATCAAATGGAGGACAATGCCTTGCTCATTACCTCGTAGTGAAGATCTGATGAGGCCTCATCTATGAAACCATGAGTGCGAATTTACAAAACTGTAAATTACTATACTTCTGAAGGGCATTCTTATGCTTCAGCCAATTTCAGCAAACGTAGCTTAGATTTTTCCCCTCTGGGCCTGGCCTGCCTGTGGGCATGTATAAATCTCAAACAGCCAATTTTATTGAATGTTCTTTGTTGCAAACCAATGTATTCTCTGTTCAAGATTACCTGAGTGCTTGCTATATACAGGGAATTTTATATCCTTTAACCTACCTGAATACTTATAGAAATAATTAGATAATTACAGTCATGTCTATACAAATGATTACTGAAACATTAAGGAACATAGGGTGACTTAAGGAACTCATCTTAGCAAACATAATTAGTAGGTGCTAGAACTGTCTGGCTCCTTTTAGTATCCCACATAAACGCAGCTTATCTCTGTTCCCCTGCAGTGCATGGCACAGAGCCTTGCACACAGCAGGTCCACCATCAGTACTCGAGGAAGTGGTGAATGCATCCCAGACCCTGGCGGGTGCCGAGTTAAGGTTGAGGCACAATTCACAGCTATTTCCACAAGAGGGCAGTCGAGTTAAATGCAAAAGTTCAGAACTAAGCAGCCTTTGTTTAAATTTACTCCTGAAATGGGATCCTTTTCATTTTGTAAGCAAGCATCTCTCAGAGCAAATTCTGGTACCGAAAGGTCATGGGAAGGGTTGGGTGGTTGGTTACTGGCAGCGCAGCTGTAATCAGGGATTTTCTGATACTTATGCGGACCTGGTTAGTTTCAGGCCCAAGGACTCCTCTGGGCACAGTGGAAGCAGCTTCGGAGGCCATAGAGAGGGCCTAAGCTTCGTGACTCAGGTTTCCAGGTAAAATATGAGACTGCCAGTGATGTTTGAATTTCAGATAGCAAAGAGTAATTTTTTTCAGTGTAAGTGTGTTTCAATATTGCACCAAGCATTTTAAGCCTGGGGTGGGGGAAGGGTATATCATAATCACCATGGGACACGGATTTTTGAAAGAATGGAATGGGCGAGGGAAGAGCAGAGTGGGTGTGGGTGGGGGATGCAATCCTCCGAGTTTGGAGGCTACTGCACTAGTCCAGGCAAGAGACAGTGTTGACATGGAGCAAGTGTCCCAGAGGACGGCAGACACTTGATGGAGTGAGACTAGAAGAACATTGACCAGATGGAATCCACAGAACTTGGTGAAGGAATCGATGTGGAGGTGAGGGTGGGAGAGGGTCAAGAATGACTCCTAGGTCTAGTTTCTGAATGGATGCTTAAGGATAAATTTGGAAAGGAAAAGCCACAAGCTTTGTTTTGGGATATTGAATCTAAGGGGATTTCTTTGAAAAAATTCAAATGGAGACGTGAAGGAAGGCAGTTACTTCCCTGGGGCCATCAGGAGGGTGGAATCCTATCGGCGGCTCCCTTGCTGACCTGTTGCTGTGAGTTTTTTCTGTGCTGGGTAATGGTGTGCACTTGAATTTGGCCATAGTGTTTGCCCATTTGAAGTAGGTCCTTTTGCCCTTCAAGAAGGCCACCGCTTACTATATCTGTTTGACTGGAAAATTTTAAAGAAACATGTTGTAATGGGGAGCAAGCTTCACTGGTCCTCCTGACTCATGCCCCATCTTTTATATTGCCCTAGCCCAACCATTAACTGTGGACACACATTGTGGCCAAGCAGATTATAAGTAAAGGTCTTAAGAGCCTGCAAGCAGGGTTAATGCCATTATCAAAGCCTTAATGATCTGATTTAATTGGCTTCTTTGTTAACCTTCGTCCTTAATGACTAAACACACTCAAACTTCCTAGCAACCAGTCTAACCTCAAATGCCTCAGCCATCTATGCTACCCAGATTGCCCCATGGGAAGAAGGATCAGATGCATCTTAATATATGGTAAAGGGGTATTGTAATCAGAACACTGAAGGTACTGTGTGGAGAAATCCTCATAGGTGAACCACAAGATCATCCTCACTACATACACCTACGGTGATTAGCTATGTGTCAGGTGCTCTGCTAGGCGATGGCCCCCTCTTTTTAAAATTTTTTTTTTTGAGACAGAGTCTCACTTTGTCACCCAGGCTGGAGTGCAGTGGTGCGATCTTGGCTTACTACAACCTCCGCCTCCCAAGCTCAAGCGATTCTCCTGCCTCAGCCTCCTGAGTAGCTGAGATTACAGGCATGCGCCACCCTGCCTGGCTAATTTTGCGTTCTTAGTAGAGATGGGGTTTCACTATGTTGGCCAGGCTGGTCTCAAACTCCTGACCTCAAGTGATCCACCCACCTCAGCCTCCCAAAGTGCTGGGATTACAGGCGTGAGCCACCAAGCCCGGTACAGCCCCCCTTTTTAAGGAGCACCCTCCCTAGTGCAGGAGATAATCAAATACGTGGCTCATTTGTTAGTTAGTGTTTAGATTTCTGAAAGGGCTGCCTGTGGGAAACGTTGGAGAATCTGATTGAACCTGAGGCAGGAATCGTACTTGCAAATGAACAAGACCAAATGCCCAGTAGAGACCAGAATTTCGCATTCCTCTGAGCTTGGCTGTAATTTCTCTGTCTTGAGGTTGGACGTAATCTGAGCATAAAGTCAGAAATGCCATCCTTTCCTCTCCGCTAGGATTTGCCTTCTTGAGGATTCTTCTATGGCCACCCTGAGATTTTGCTTTTTATTTTTTTATTCAACGAAAAGCAAACATCCTTTTCCACTAGATTGTGACACAGGAAATTAGGGAGATTCAGAGCTTGAACTCACTGGTGATTGCAGGGTAGGGCCCCTGAAGGACTGGGCTCTATTGGAGTCGTAGTCCAAAATACATATTATTTTTAAATTTTTAAGTATTGTGTAGATTTTATCTTCCTTTTATTCTTCTGATATGCCCAAAACAGGATAAAAGTGGAAATTAGAGGGAATTGAGAGGAAGGCAAAATAAAAGTAGAAAATCAGAATAAGGCAAGGCAAAAATTGGGCCACATCACCCATTCTACAAAGTCATAACAAACGTGGGGGGGCTGCATATTTGTCTCTGAGCTTCCTGTAACCACAGAAAAGAAAAAGATAGCCTTCATTTATTTGGTTTCTGCCAAATAAAAATAAGAAGTTTCTCAGGGGTTGCAATGTTTTCTTCTATTGAGGATGGAGGGAACTTCGTTCCGGTCCTTATGAAGGGGATGCCACAGGGGATACAGGACTTGACAGCCCTGCTGCTAAAGGACCAGTGCTTTCCAAAGGCCGGTGCCTGTAAAAAATGTCTTCAGGGGCCGTATTTAGGAGGCTGTGAATCTTGGGCCCTAGTGTTCTCTACCAGACTTGTACCTCCCTTGGTGTCTACCAATTTCTCAGTTTCCCTTGCTGCCCACATCTGCAGTCTTGCCTCCCACCTTGAAGTTGGAGGCAGGTAAATGACCCTTCTAGATATGTTCTTCGCTCCTCTGTTGTCTCCTGGTCAAATTGCCATTGTGGCTTTAGAATCCCACTCAAACTCACCTCTTTCGCGAGCATTCTTTGGCCCAGCTGGCTCGAGGCTAGGAATGAAGCCTTGTCCAGCTTTCACTGCGGCTTTGGGTTCAGTCTCAGTAGTTTGACTTCTTTTGGGTGATATGGGGCAGGAGATCTATAAGGAGGAGGTTGAAAGCATGACAGAGCCCTTGTTTCCTGATGACAGTGAATCACTCATGACAGTAGCAGAAGCAACAGCTAAACAATCTTCATGGTGCTAATTGTTATTTTGGAGGAGGAGCCAAAAATTCATAGATGGTGATATTGTTTCAGAAATTAGGCACAGACATCAAATCGTATCAAATGGAATTGTGGGCACATGGGAAATTGGGAAGACTCAGAGCCTGAAATCACTAGTGATTGCAGGTTAGGGCCCCCAAAGGACTGTGCTCTACTGGAGAGGTGGTCTTACCCTTTGGCCACCTGGTGTTGTCGAAGTGCATTGGAAATGAACTTGGGATTGTGGCCCCATGGTCTTGGCTGGATGATCTTGACACAGTCACACCACCACTCAGAATCCCAGTTTTCTCATTTGCGAAATGGAGATTTTAAAAGGGTCGTGAGAATTAAATGAGACAAAATATAGAGAGCGCTTGGTCTGATTGTTCATACATATCACCTGTGATTATTTTATGAATAATAATTAATAGCAACAATCATATTAGCTCTTCTCACTACATACGGAATTGGCAAGAAGGGATTAAAGATGGCAGCACAGGGTGTCTGTCCAAGAGGTCATATGGGAACAGCCCTAGAGAGTCCAGATGGCAGTAGCTGGCCTTTGGGTGGTCTTACTGAGAGGGTGAGAGGATTCTCTCAGGAGCTGAAGCCAGGGTGATCTCCAATATGCAAGGAGCAGGAATATCAAGAGTGAGGTCCATGCAGAAAGCACTGGTAGGCCAGATACTGCGCAGTTGATGAGACCAGAAACCCCCAGAGAGCGTATCTGAACATAAAGAGGCGGGATGAAACTGGCTCAAAGACCTTGGAGGTCATGTCTACCATGAGCCAGGACATTGAAGTGGATTTAATTGACTGAGCGTAGAACTAGAGGATTTAAACTTGTGCCTCATGCTGGAACGTGTTTCAGAAACTACCTCGGGCCAGGACTTATGTCATCAACTTCTATGAGACATCAGGAAGAGCAAGGTGCTGGGCATATGGAGCAGTGTCAGACAGAGTCATGTGCCTCGCAGGGTAGGGCATAGGACAGAAGCCAGGTGCAGCCAAAAACACATGAATAACACCAGTGGCAAATAACACCTTCTTAATCTCTAAAAGGGGGATTAAAATATATCACCTTCCTTTTAGGACTGTTAGATGGATTAAATGAATCAACGTGTATTAAAACATTTTGCAAGGGATGGGTGCGGTGGCTCACCCCTGTAAATCCCAGCACTTTGGGAGACTGAGGCAGGCCGATCACATGAGGTTGGGAGTTTGAGGCCAGTCTAACCAACATGAAGAAACTCTGTCTCTAATAAACATACAAAATTAGCTGAGCATGGTGGCGCATGCCTGTAATTCCAGCTATTTGGGAGGCTGAGGCAGGAGAATCACTTGAACCTGGGAGGCAGAGGTTGTGGTGAGCTGAGATTGGGCCATTGCACTCTAGCCTGGGTAACAAGAGCAAAACTCCATCCCAAAACAAAAAACAGACAAAAAAAACCTTTTGCAGATAGTCTTTTATAAAGTGGTGCTCAATAAATGAAAAGTTATTATTATACTATTATTAGCATTTTTAAATTGAATTATCGTAGGCTCTAATGAACGAACTTTTATTATATACCCCCTATCTCTCTATCAGTGGCAACTAAGCAAAGTGAGGTTTTATTTTTTGTTATGCCACACACTTACTGTAACATTCTGTTTAACATGATACACAGAATCATAGATTGACAGCATGAAAAAGCTTATCCATCATCCCATAGTGCATTTATAGCTTTTGTTTTGCATATTCATTTCTATTCAAATTAACTAATAGTAACATGATTGGAAATTCAAAGCCAGGCTCTGAGCAATTACTACACCATACATTGCCTTCTAATACTGGTTCAGTTATACAGCTGTAATTGTAATACATGTGCATGGCATTTTATAGTCTAACCTTTTTACATAATGTTATACACACTTCCTTTTGGCTAGAGTTTATAAGCATTGTCCTTGGTCATAGCATTTTATTATCCTTAGGGGATTTACTATAATTTACTTCTTAATTTTCTATTATTGGACATTAAGGTTGTTTTCAGTATTTTTCTAGAAAAGGTTGCACAGCAATTGACCTATCAATGTCCAGAACTGCCTTTTCTAGTAATTTATTGTTTGGAGATAGATTTCCAGACATGTATAGAAACACATAATGCTTGGACCTCATATACTAGTTATATAGTTATATAGGCATGAAAACAAATCTCTAAATGTTATAAACAATGAACGGTTTCTCTCTGGCTGCTAAATCATTGCACAGGGGCAGAACTCCTCAATATGGCTTTTGATGCTTTACGTTTCTATTACTTCAAAGACAGGGAACCCAGCTGATGAGCTCCTTAGGACAATTGTCAGGCCAGACATGATTAGGAAATCTCTTTCCTCAATTTACAGAAAGAGATGGACAGCCTTGTTAGTGATGCTGTACTGATTTGTGTTTTTTTCAGCTATGGAACTGGATAAATTTCCTTTTTAAGGATTTCCTGTGGTGGGAGCTGGCTTCTTTTCAAGCTCTTGAAAAGTCGTAAAGGGGCCTGGAGTCATTTGATCTCCCAAAATGAGATCATCTCCAATATGCCATATGTTTGTAAAGCAGACTTGGCCTTTAGTCTTGAGAGTTGTATTCCAGGAAAGGAACCAATTAATGGGCTCTTCCTTGACTGTTTTCACCTGGCCTGATGAGACAAATGCATCGGCATACATTGGTCAAAGGCCATAAGTGAGAAAAATGGCTAATTAGCAGATGGCAGCTATGCACAACTTTATTTTACAAGGTCCAGCCGGGTTCCAGCCAGGTCAATTTGTAAAGAAAATGCATTTACTATAGGAAGTGTGAAGCAACTGTCATGATAGAAGAAAGTAGACATGCCTTTCCACTAGGTGCGGCTTGGCCATGTTTATTTCCACAGGAAGAGCTTGTGATGACTTGCCTGTATGAAATGGTGACCGTAAATCTCATTCTCTCCAAGGTTTCCAGATGCATTTGTGACCTTCAGTTCCTTCCAGAGCAGGTTCCCTGAGGTATCTGGGTATTGCCACTGTGCTGACAGCCAAGGGCGGGAACTGGCTGAGACAGGTGAGTGACACCCCGTAGGCCATCCTCAGGGAGGGAGTGTGATTCCCCAGGCTTGAGAGCCTGCATAGCATTGCTTGTAAAGCACAGCTAGAGAGACAGGCTGCTGTGGGTATTGAGGAGGACACAGCCTTAGCACACTGTCATCTGCAGTATGGTGAAGGAGGCTGTTGCTGGCCCACACAGGGCCTTTGTGCACACTGGAAAGAAGTGCCTGCTCTCCAGATGCAGCTCCAGAACTGGCGAGTGGAACGCAGGATGGATTTAAGCTCTCATCATGCAGGCACTGCTCCCTTGTTCTGTGACCAACTGCACAACCACCCACAGCAGGCCTGACTTGGGAAACTGTTAAAGTGTTGTTCGGACTGATTGCCTAATGATGCTGGCGAAGGCTCTCTCTCTCAATATGTTTGCACAGCAAAGTCAGGGCTTCCTTTCCGAATGAGACCGTCCCTGAAAGTCTTGCTGTCTTTGTTCAGGTTTGGAGTTGTTACTGGATGAAATTTATGACACCATTTTTGCTGGCCTGGACCTGGCTTCCACCTTCACCGAAACCACCCTGTACCGGATACTGCAGAGACGGTTCCTCGCGGTTCAGTCCCTCATCTCTGGCAGATTCCGATGTAAGTAAAAAGCTGCCAACAATGTGCGTGTTTCCATTAGGGGGCGCCCTTTGGGTTTCAAAGTCGCTATGGTCTGCGTGGCTGTTCCACCAAAGTGAGTGCAGAGATGAGAAGAATCCTAAGAGCAGGCAGCAGTGCATGCTGGGAAGACACCAAGCGTTGTTGACACTGCCTTCTTTACTGCGTGGATTTCTTCTAGGCCCCACAAAATGTGAAGTGGAGCGGTTTACAGCCACCAGCTTTGGTCACCCTTATGTTCCAAGCTGCCGCCGAAATGGAGACTATCAGGCAGTGCAGTGCCAGAAGGAAGGGCCCTGCTGGTGTGTGGACGCCCAGGGGAAGGAAATCCATGGAACCCGGCAGCAAGGGGAGCCGCCATCTTGTGGTGGGTTTCCTCTGGGGGCTTCTTGTGGGCTCCTCAGATCGTGTTACTTTAGCTATTCTCTAGAGCAACCCCTCTGGACCCCATTAATTCAACTGCCTTCTGGTGTGCCCCCCTGGCCCTTTAAGCTCAACCTGACTGAAAACCAGGTTATCATCATTCACTTCCCACATGTTTCTCATCTTCTGTCAGACCTGGTTGCTTTTTCAGGGAGCTCAGGGAATATTAGGAGGCTCACAGGTGAAGAGAACGAAATGTGCCGTGAGACAGGAGCATGCACGCAGCTACAGGAGCACGGTGGGGTGGGCGTTCCATCTCGCAGCAGGTGTGGGAGAGAGGCAATTAGGAAGGCTGCATGGAAGAGGCTGCACTTGATCAGAACCTTCCAAGATGTTTCCTGAAGGAGGGGAGTAAGGACAGCTGCTCTCTATATGGAGAGAACAGGAGAAGCAAAATTGGAAGGACAGAATAACAGACATTGAAATGCTAATGATCATCTAATCTGCAAGTAGGGTAGAGAAAAAAATTGCTGGAGTATGAACAGGGTGGTGCTCCGGACTCTGGAGAAAGGCAGGGGTAAGACAATGAGGTCTTTGCTATCCTAACAAAGGCTTGGAGTCTTCATCTGGGAGATCACGTGACGACAGTGAAAGGTTTTAAGTTGGACAGTGTCATCGTGGGTTTTGCGTGTAAGACAAAGCAATTCTGGAGGAGAGACTCAAAGGAGCGGTCGTCCAGAGGCAGTGGAGCTAATTAGAAGGGCATTGCCATGTTCCAAACAGAGATGATGAGGTCTGTGTTAGTTTTCTAGGGCTATGGTAATAAATCACCACAAAGTGGGCATCTGAGAGCAACTGAAATGTATTGTCTCTGTTCTGGAGGGTGGAAACTGAAAATCAGGGTGTCAGTGGGGCTGTGCTCCCTCTGAAAGCTCTAGGGGAGGACCCTTTCCTGCCTCTTCCTAGGTTTTGGTGGCTGCCCGCAATCTGTGCTTTCTTTGGTTTGGGGCAGCATGACTGCAGTCTTTGCCTCCATTACCACATGGCCGTCTTCGCTCTGTCTGTCTGTGCATCTTCTCTTCTTATAAGGAGACCAGTCACGTTGGGTTAAGGCTCCACCTGGTCCAGCCAGCCATCATCTTAACTAATCCCACCTACAATGACCCTTCTGCTAAATAAGGTCACATTCTGTGGTTCTGGGAAGAGCATGAATTTGAGGGACACTATTCAACCAAGCATGGGAATCAACCCTAAAGCAGTGAGAACTCTCATTAGGCATTCCAGTGGAGACCCCATTTTCTCTTCCCTGTGAAATTCTGAAGGATGTTACTGTGAGGAAGGGAACAACCAGGAGCACACCTAGGCGTCCAGCTTGGGGAAGCTGGGTAGATTTTAAAAGATTTGGAATTGTAATATACCAATGCAGGGTTGTTTTTTTTTTATAACTTCAACATGTATGTTAGCATTCGTTCAATAATTCCTGTTAAATCATTCAATTTCTCCAACTTAACCTTTTGAATATTATTGATGGTGTGTGGTCATATTCTATCTGCTAAGAATGAGAATGTCAAAAAAGGAAATTTGGAGATACTTGCCTGAAGGTATTTGCAATCCCATTTCCTTTCTATTAAAACCTAGAGAATGGTATGCCCTCCAGCTTCCAGGTGGAAAAAAAGAACTAGGATTTGCCAAATTAAAGTGCAGACATGGCTCTATCAAGTGCATAGATGGATCGTATGTTTTCATTTTTTCTCTCTGGTGTATCAAGTCCTTTTCTGAGGAAAAAAATGCCACGTGGAAACAGTAATTGAATTTCCTTGCTTTCGTAACACTACATAACAAATGACTGGAAGGGTAAGCTCTTAATTTGGTGGAAGACTAAGCAAGGCAGTAAACTTAATTTCTGCCATACCTTCCTGTAATATCCATTAGAAGAGGCCATGGCCTCGTTGAGGGATGTTATGTGCTCCGATGCTGCCAGTCTCTCCCCACTCGCACCACATTTTCCAGTTCTTTCTCTGTTGCCTGGTGACGGAAGGAAATTTGGTGACTTTCTTCTTGGCATTTGTGTGAATCAAGAGGAAAAAATTATTTTAAAAGTTGGGGGTGGGGTGGGTGATTAAAAGGTCTTCTAAAAGTTATGATTTTATGGAGAAAAGTGGAGCTTGCTTATCATATCCACCTATGTAACTGAGACAGCCACTTGGTGTTTGAATTTTATTTTATTTATTTATTTTTTTTTCTGTTAATGTGGCTAGAGTCAGCCTAGGATGTTCAGATAGAATGATTTGATCATGCAAAGAGTTGGCTGAGTTGATCACTGTTAAATTAGTAATTTCTAGGAAAGGTCAAGAAGCCCAGAAGAATGTTCTAAGTGTGTACGTTAGATGTGTGGTGGGCATTCTTGTTTTATATTATAGGAAATATTATATTTCCTATGTTATAATATATATTACAATAGAGGACAATGTTTCTTACAGGAGCCATTAATGGCATTTCAGATATGGTTCTTGCCCTCAAAGAGACCGTAGCTAACCTAGACAAGACTACCCCCAGGAGGAATTAGCCACACTAAGAGCATATAGTGAAGCATTAAGGTCCACTGAGAATTCCAGCGAGAGAATGCTGGAAGACAACATTTCAGTGAATACACATAGGAATGTGTTGTGGTTCTAGTTTCACTGCCATACAACATTACTGCGAATCAGGTGGCATAAAACAACAGAAATGATTCTCTCATAGTGCTGGAGGCCAGAAGTCTGAAATCAGGGTGTGATCAGGGCCATGCTCTCTCTGAAGGTTCTAAGGCAGAATTCTTCCTTGTCCCTTCCTAGTTTCCGGTGGTTGCTGGCAATCCCTGGTGTCCTTGGCTTGTGGCTGCCTCCCTCCAGTCTGCTCCTCCATCCTCACACGGTCTTCTTCCCTGTGTGCATCTTTGTGTCTTCACATGCCCTTCTTATAAGGACACCAGCCACTGGATTTACAGCCCACTCTAATCCGGTATCATCTTAACTTGGTGACATCTGCAAAGACCCTATTTCTAAATCACATTCTGAGATTTTTGTAAATGGGAATGTCATGTCTGTGGGTGAGGGGGACACTATTCACCCGAGTTCACTTGGCAAATGAGGTCAGATTTTCAGAAAGTGGGCCAGTATTTACGAGACTTGCCTTAGAAGGGATCAGCCTCTAGTGAGAGCTGTGGGTGTGGTCATGCCAACTGGAACAGTCACTCCCCCAAAATGGCCCCACAGAGGCAGCTCGGGGGAAAGGAAAAAATAGAAGGACATAGAGAAGAAAGTGGTTTCAAATGCAGGTGTCTTTGATGGGATGTTCTGGCATCTTACTACCTGAAAGATCTGAGGGGCTGTCTCAGGATTGCTTGTGACGTTAAAACCTTTTCTCCTATTTCACTTTGTTTCGTGCAGCTGAAGGCCAATCTTGTGTCTCCAAAAGACAGCAGGCCTTGTCCAGACTCTACTTTGGGACCTCAGGCTACTTCAGCCGGCATGACCTGTTCTCCTCCTGGGAGGAAGGACGGGCCTCTCCGAGAGTAGCCAGATTTGCCACACCCTGCCCACCTACAATCAAGGAGCTCTTTGTGGACTCTGGGCTCCTCCACCCAATGGTGGAGGGACAGAGCCAACGGTTTTCTGTCTCAGAAAGTCTCCTCAAAGAAGCCATCCGTGCGATTTTTCCCTCGCGAGAGCTGGCTCATCTTGCCCTTCAGTTTACCACCAACCCAGAGAGACTCCAGCAAAACCTTTTTGGAGGGAAATTTTTGGTGAATGTTGGCCAGTTTAACTTGTCTGGAGCCCTTGGCACAAGAGGCACATTTAACTTCAGTCAGTTTTTCCAGCAACTTGGTCTTGCAAGCTTCTCAAATGGAGGGAGACTAGAAGATTTTGCCAAGCCACTCTCTGTGGAATTAGATTCAAATTCTTCTGCAGAAACTCCTGAAGCCTCTAAGAAGGCTGTTGCTATGAATAAGTCAACTGTGGGCAGCTTTGGCTTTGAAATTAACCTGCAAGAGAACCAAAATGCCCTCAAATTCCTTTCTTCTCTCCTGGAGCTTCCAGAATTCCTTCTCTTCTTGCAGCATGCTATCTCTGTGCCAGAAGATGTGGCAAGAGATTTAGGTGATGTGATGGAAATAGTGCTCAACTCCCAGACCTGTGAGCAGACACCTGAAAGGCTATTTGTCCCGTCATGCATGGCAGAAGGAAGCTATGAGGCTGTCCAGTGCTTCGCAGGAGAGTGCTGGTGTGTGGATTCCTGGGGCAAAGAGCTTCCAGGCTCAAGAGTCAGAGGTGGACAACCGAGGTGCCCCACAGACTGTGAAAAGCAAAGGGCTCGCATGCAAAGCCTCATGGGCAGCCAGCCTGCTGGCTCCAGCGTGTTTGTCCCTGCTTGTACTAGTGAGGGACATTTCCTGTCTGTCCAGTGCTTCAAAGCAGAGTGCTACTGTGTTGACGCTGAAGGTCAGGCCATTCCTGGAACTCAAAGTGTGATGGGGAAGCCCAAGAAATGTAAGTCTGTTGGGTATTCAATCTGTAGATTCCCTGAGTCTCTCTTTAGGCCCTGGCCCAATCCAGTACAGTCATAGAAATCCATTCCCGGTCAATGCCTGAACTTCAGTTAAGGACAAAATTGACTGCTTATCTTAGAAAGTATCTAGGAATGCCTAGATAATGTTCATCAAACCCAGGAGTAAATAGGGATTTGTTTGACCTTAGAGAACTGCCGCACACATTTCTGCAGTGCTGATCACCAACTGATGTCGATGGTGCTGAGTTAGTCACTGGACAAGGCCTATGTAGATGTTATTTACACATTTAAGCTTCATGGGATTTCTATGGCTACATAAGGGTTTAGATGGAGTTTGGACAATTAAATGGTTTTATCTTGGTCTTTCCAGCTTATTAAGTTTCTTAAACACCTGCTCATCGTTTCTCCCCAGGCCCCACACCTTGTCAATTACAGGCTGAGCAAGCTTTCCTCTGGACGGTGCAGGCCCTGCTCTCTAACTCCAGCATGCTACCCACCCTTCCCGACACCTACATCCCACAGTGCCGTGCTGACGGGCGGTGGAGACAAGTGCAATGCGATGGGCCCCCCGAGCAGGTCTTCCAGTGGTACCAACAATGGGAGGCTCAGAACAAGGGCCAGGAGCTGACGCCTGCCGAGTTGCTAGTGAAGATCGTGAGCTACAGAGAAGCAGCTTCTGGAAACTTCAGTCTCTTTATTCAAAGTCTGTATGAGGCTGGCGAGCAAGGTGTCTTCCCGGTGCTGTCACAATACCCTTCTCTACAAGATGTCCCACTCGCAGCACTGGAAGGGAACCGGCTCCAGTCCAGGGAGAATGTCCTCCTGGAGCCCTACCTCTTCTGGCAGATCCTAAATGGCCAACTGAGCCGATACCCGGGACCCTACTCAGACTTCAGCACTCCTCTGGCACACTTCGACCTTCGGAACTGCTGGTGTGTGGATGAGGCTGGCCAAGAGCTGGAAGGAACGCGAACTGAGCCAAGCAAGCTCCCAACATGTGAGCTAACGCATATGAAGTGCTAAATGTGTGTGTGTGTGTGTGTGTGTGTGTGTGTGTGTGTAATTTTTTTTTAAAAAAGGATGTCTAGTGGGAGGGTATTAAATGTCAAAGCTGGAATGAGGTTTAGAGATGGCTGAGAAAACCAAGGCTCACAGAGGGAAGGGACTTCCCTGCATCCCCACAGTCAGGCGTTGGCAAGATAGATGCAGTATATTTTAAAACTTTCATATAATTGATTACTTCAATCGGTGTCTTAGATTTTTACTGGATGTCTTCTGTGTGCAAAGCATCTTCATCTTAGAGCTGATGAATGCTGTAAAAGTGGAGATGACCTGGCCCTTATCCTTCTATGGTTAATGTTTAGTAATCTCTCCTGTTAGGTGCACCTTTTAATTGACCAATGAGTATTACAGTGATCCTGCTACTTGCATAGAATGCTGCTACATGCGGAGACCTCAGGAGAGTGCCACCTGAAGTGGCTTTCATTGATTTGGAAGGATTTAACTAAGGGACTAATTGGAGAGCTATTAACTGAAGTCTATACAGTCAGCTCTGTGGCAGGTCAATTTATGGGAAAGTTGAGCCATAAATAGAATGACGCTGACATTGGTTAAAATGCCTTATCTGCCGTAGCTGCGCCAGCAGTTTGAAAGAAGAACCAGACAGGTTGAACACTGTTATCACCAAATCAGAATATCTCTAACCAGCCATTGCTAATATAGGTGAGAGGACAGCCATTCTGTGAAAGCTCTCAATTCATTCTCTGCAATGTTAAACATTGTCTGGACCTTTCTGAGTAGTGTTAAAATCCATTAAGCTATTTTGATATTAGCCAAAGTTTAGGTTTCTGTGACAACTGGAGTTTTAGAATGTTGGGTGAAAGTGCCATGTGAGGAGAACAGTAATACCCTTGGCATTTTGAACAGCTTAGAGATGGCAATGCAAGGACTCTCCATTCAAATGTCAAGTTCTAGCAATGCAACCTTCGAGGTTAACACCTTGGTCTTGGCCTGACTGTTAAATAAGAAGTCTTATTTATTTTTGTGGTATTGGTAGAGTCATACTCCATACCAGTACTTGGGTTTCTTACATGGGGATGGTCCCATAATTTTAAATTATCTAAGATTAAATTTGGTGCTATTTGTATGCAATTTTAGGAGCCTCAATTGTTTATACCAAAAGTACCTGGTAACTTTATTTTATTTTATTTTGAGGTGGAGTTTCACTCTTGTTGCCGAGACTGGAGTGCAATGGTATGATTTCTGCTCACTGAAACCACTGCCTCCCAGGTCCAAGTGATTCTCCTGCCTCAGCCTCCTGAGTAATGGGGACTACAGGCCCCTGCCACCACATCCAGCTAATTTTTTGTAGAGGCGGGGTTTCACCATGGTGGCCAGGCTGGTCTTGAACTCCTGACCTCAGGTGATCTGCCTGACTTGGCCTCCCAAAATGCTGGGATTACTTGTGACTATCTTACTTTAGTCTGAATGCTGGATAGAGTGTTAGAACTAGACTTTTTTCATTGAGTAACAGGAGACTGGGTACAAGATCATCCATTAGGGAGAAAATGTTAGAACTTCCTTCTCTATTCAGTATTTTCTGCCTTCCTTTGACATTTCTATTAATATTTTTATTTTTGCAATTAAATATTAACAGCTGAAACAGCTAAAAATCCACATGTAGTATATTATTTTAGTAGTATATGCATATGCCTTATAAAGAAATACCCATTTTGCGGGGGGAGAGGTTGCGTATTCACACTCCTTTGTTTATAAGGGGATGCCCTTACAAACTGAAAGGGTTTGATCACACTCAAAGCGTGATCCGGCAGCATTGGCATTCACCTTGGGAACTCATTAAAGATTCAGGATCTCAGACCCCACCTATTGAATCAAAACTTGCATTTCTACAATATTCCCAGGGGAATTGAATGCAGCCAAAAGCTTGAGGAGGACTGGCCTGGGGGACAGAACAGTAGTTGCCTTCTACCGTGGTTCTACCATTTACTGCTCCGTGACTTAAGAGAGGCTAGCACTTTTGAGTCTTAGTGTCATCTGTAAAATCTGATGGAGTTCCAATACATAACTGCCTCAAAGGCTTGTTGGAAGAATTGCAAAAGGTAATAGATGTAAAGTGGCACATAGGAAGTACTTATTAAGTGGTAGCTGGATTAATACAATTGATAGTGAGTAATGAAAGGACCAATAACTTCCTACATGCATGCTCAGGTGATGACTCAGGCCTCTAGGAGTTTGAGTCTGCCTTGCTATCTCTGGACTGTTTGAAATTTTGCTTTATTCATTTAATATGCATTTATGAACTGCCTACTGTGTGCACTGTATTGTATGATGGGCAGACTGTCATGTGAAGGATGGTGTCTGCCCTGAGAAGCTCGGAGACCAGTGGGGAAATCAGAGATGTTATCAGGAATGTCATAAATGGCAATGATGGAACAGAGGTATGTACACGGAAAATGTGGTGGAGAGTGCTCAGAGAAAGGGAGTACTAATCATTGAAGATTGGGTAAAGATTGGCTTGATCCCAATGACAGGGATGAATCTTAAGAGGTATTTATCCACTCAAGATGTGGCAGGTCCTTTGTGACAGAGGAAATAGCAAGGACTGAGTGAATGCTATGAGTGAGGGGGAATAAAGGTTATTGATGTAGGAGGGGAGGGGGCACAGGAGGGAACAAAAGAAGAGGTGGAAAAAGTTGAGGACAGATTGTTATTTTGTTGAGACAGTCTTGCTCCGTTGTCTGTGTTGGAGTGCAGTGGTACTATCTCAGTTCACTGCAGCCTTGACCTCCCAGGCTCAAGTAATTCTCCCACTTCAGCCTCCCAAGTAGCTAGAACTACAGGCATGTACCATCACACCCGGTTAATTTTTGTGTTTCTTGTAGAGATGGGGTTTTACCATGTTGCCCAGGCTGGTCTTGAACTCCTGGGCTGAAGTTACGTGTCTGTTTCGGCCTCCTGAAGTGCTAGGATTACAGGCTTGAGTCACTGCACCCAGCTGGGGACAGATTTTACAAGATCTTATGTTCCCAGTTGTAGGTTTTCACTTTATCCTAGAAGAAATGGAGAGCAAGCAGAGGTTTTTAATTGTGAGGTTTTGCTTCAGAGATTCAAAATCCCTAGGATTAATAGATTAATTTATTTGATAACATCCTTTTGAACAAGAAATCAGTATCTTCAAATTCTAGACGTCAGAATTTTCTGTTGACCCCATGCTCTCAAAAGAATCCAGTGACACCCCCACTGTTGAATTCACCATGTGATGGTTGAAGTAAATATGGCGAGGGTGGATTTTGCTAAGTGACAATGCCAAGGACAGCATGTGCCAGATGCTGTGCCAGGCACTTCAACTGCAGCACCTCAAAGGCTCATTACAAAAGCCCATGTTTTTCTTATTGCACAGATCAGGAGGCTGAAGCTCAGAGAAGTTAAGTGCATTATCCGTGGTTGTACAACTCATCAACGACCCAACAATTGAACCCAAAGGTCTTTGAGCACCACACTCCTTCCTCTTCACAGGGGAATAACTCTCTGCTAACCTACAGTGCCTCCCTTCAACTTTTGATATCCATCCATCCATCCATCCATCCATCATCTGTCCATCCTTCATTGGAGACAGCTAGTCAAGATCATGTTCTGAGAGTGAGAATGTCCAGATTGAAATTCTGAATCAGCTACTTGCTAGCTGGGAGTTCATTTAAGTTATATGACTTCTCCATGCCTCAGTTTCTCACCTGTAACATAAGAATATGTTATTGGGCTGTTGCAGAGATCAGACTGTCTGTGTGTATATGCTTAGAATGATGTGCAGCATGAAGCACCTGTTAGTTATTATCTTATGCTGTGCGCCCTCCACAAATGGTGACTGAATGAGAGTGTGGAGGCAAAACGAGGAACATTCCAGCTTGTGGAAAGAGCTGCTGCAAAGGAAACAGCTGAGGAAAAAAATGCACGTGTGTGTGTGTGTGTATTGTGTAGTGTGTATATGTGTGTCGTGTGATGCATGTGTTTATGTGTGTGGTGGGTGTTTATGGGATGCGTTTCTATATGTGTGTATGACAGTGTGTGCATTTATGGGTGTGGTATGTGCATGTGTGTGGTGTGTGTGTACTGTGTGTGATGTGTATGGGTGTGGGTGGTGTGTGTGGTATGTATGTGTGGTGTGTGTGTATGATGTGTGTGTGATGTGTCTGTGTATGTGTGTATGTATTTGTGTGGTGTATGTGTGGAGGGTGTGTGTATGTGTGTGTGTGTGGTGTGTATGTGTGTGGTGTGTATTTGTGTATGTGCATGTGTGGCATTTGTATAAGTGCATGTGTGGTGTATGTGTGGTAGGGTGTGGTGTGTATGTATGTGGTTTGTATGTGTGGTGTGTATGTGTATGGTGTGTGGTGTGTATATATGTGTATGTGTATATGTATATGTGTGGTGTGCATGTATGTGCAGTGTGTATGTGATCTGTATGTGTGTACTGTGTGTGTGGTGTGTATGTGTGTGGTGCGTATGTGTGTGGTGTGTGAGGGTGGTGTGTGTGTGTATGTGTATGTGTGTGGTGGGTGTGAATGTGTATGGTGAGTATGCGATCTGTATGTGTGTACTGTGTGTGTGTGATGTGTATATGTGTGGTGTGTATGTTTGTGTATGTGTATGTGTGTGGTGTGTGTGGTATGTATGTGTGTATGTATGTGTGTGGTTTGTGTGGATGTGTGTGGTATGGTGGGTGGTATGTATCTGTGTGTGTATGTGTGTGGTATGTGTGTGTGTGTGTGTGTGGTGTGGGGGGTGGTGTGTATATATGTGAGTGTGTATGTGTATGTGTGTGTGGAGTGTAAGTGTGTGTGTGAGGGCACACATGCCTCCTGGGAATCAGAGGGAGCTCGACCTGGTGAGTATGTCCATCTGTGATACTTTTATTCCCCTAGGTCCTGGCTCCTGTGAGGAAGTGAAGCTCCGCGTACTGCAGTTCATTAGGGAAGCGGAAGAGATTGTCTCAGTTTCTAACAGTTCTCAGTTCCCTCTGGGGGAGAGTTTCCTGGTGACCAAGGGAATCTGGCTGAGGAATGAAGACCTGGGCCTTCCTCCACTCTTCCCGCCCCGGGAGGCTTTCTCGGAGCAGTTTCTGCGTGGCAGTGATTATGCCATTCGCCTGGCGGCTCAGTCTAGTGAGTGCTGTGCCCTTCAGCTTTCTTACTGCATTCCTTTGGAAAAGCAGGAGCTTCACTTTGTCTCTCCTCAGTGATCTTGAGGATTTTGTGGTTTGGTTTCCCGAGGCTGGTGGGTTCCTGGGAAGGAAAAGGCAAAGTGGTTTGGGATACCAGTCAAAGCTGGAATGCTGGAGCATCTCTAAAATGCTCCCTAATTCTCCAGTGAATCTGCCCTAGGGCCGGTTACAGATGGCACCTGCAGCTCCCATAAAGCCAAGTATTCATTTTAAAATGTGAGGGACCCAAGCCCTTGAATATTTATATGACCCTCATGGCCTGCTCCAAAGCTTCCCTCCATTTCCAGGGATTCAGGAATATCTCACAGCGGGAGGGGAGAGGAACCCTCATTATTGAGGAACTATGACACGTTGATCTCATCTAATCCTGAGAGTAGCTCCAAAAGGCATCAATTACTACCTGCATGTGACAGAGGCATAAGCTCAGGGAGCCTGCAGTTTTGTGGCCTATAATGACAGCCAAACAATATTCTATTTTTTTTTTTGAGATGGAGTCTTGCTGTGTTGCCCAGGCTGGGTGCAGTGAAACAATCATAGCTCAGCACAGGCTCAAACTCCTGGACTCAAGCAGTCCTCCCACCTCAACCACCCAAGTAGCTGGGACTACAGGTGTGCACCACCACACCCAGCTAATTTTTGCATTTTTAGTAGAGATGGGGGATTTCACCATCTTGGCCAGGCTGGTCTCAAACTCCTGACTTCAAGGGATCTGTCCGCCTTGGCCTCCCAAAGTGCTGGGATTACAGGAATGAGCCACAGTGCCTGGCCAGCTAAACAATATTCTAAACTTTGAGCAGGCACTTACTATGCTAATTAGATTGTCAGATCTTCACATTTAATCTAACATCTCCAGGAGGATGATGGTGTAGTCACTATCCACAACTCTTTGTAAATGTGGAAACTTGCCTGAGTTCACCCGACCGATAACCAGTGGGCCTGGACAGAAAGCCTGGAGACCTGGTCCTCCAGCTCATCGTCTCAGCTCTCCTGTTCCCCACTGGGCTAATTGCAGGTGTGGCTGAGGGCGGTGCCTAGCTCTGCCTCATCCTAGAGCCCTTGTTCTTCCTCCACGACCTCACAGCTGCTCTAGCAGGAAGGCAGGTCCCTTCCAAGTTTTCTCACTGACCCCACTTCAACTTGACCAGGACAAATGGTTCATCTCTCTTTGAATCTTCCTCAGGATCCCCATCCCTTTCAAATGGTCTCAGCTGATTCCCTGTCTAGCTTTCCAGGCGTGAATCACCAAACAGCAAAGCAATCCTCCCCAACAACATCTGCTCCGAGTCAGAGAAGCCCTCCAGCAGGAGGCTATCTCCCTGCCTTCCCATCCACTCCAGGCATTCCAGGGTGTCTACCGCCAGCGTGGGATTGGGTCTCAGTGATCTTTGTTCTCCTAATATCATGTGACAGTCTCCCGAGTGCCATCTTTGTTTCCTGCTTCTCTCTCCCACCAGACATCTCTTTTGGAGGACAAGACACTGTGTCTTATTCTTTCTGTATCCCTGGTCGGTGGCTTAGTGCCTGACACCTACAGGGAGCTCAGCAGATGGTGGTTAACCGTCCTTGTTGCTTCCTTCCTTCTTTCTCTCTTCTATCCCCTCCCCTAACCCTTTGCCCAGACACTGCTTTTGTCTGTTCCTCAGAGACTTGGGGACTTCTGCTTTTGAGAAGAACCCTGTTGTTTTACATGTTTGTACAAAGACAGGATTTGAGGTAATCAAAGAGAGAAGTGGGATTGATGCCCCTTCAGTTGTGACAACTTTGGTCAGGGAGGAAAAAGCGGAGGGAACATCACTTGTGCTGGCAATATTAGTCATTGAACGGCATGAGGGTGTTTTCTTCAGAAGTTGAGCTGAGAAGTTCCTCTCCAAGTAGCCACATGCTCAGCTCTGCATGTCTGAGCCTGTAGAGAAAAGAGGAAGGGACCATACAGGGCCAGGCCTGGTCTTTTCCCTGAGAGTCAGGCGACTGGGGGCCTGGAACAAAGTGCTTTGGCCACTGGAACGTGGCAGCCATGTCTGAGGGCCTAATGAGGGTGGTGGAGGCCACAGGAATAAATGGACGCAGCTTGGTGCTTGATGCCTATCAACTCCTTTGATGTAAATATCATACTTGCCCTATTAGGTGAGTGTTAGACCCATTCCACAGATGAGGAAATAGGCCAAGAGAGGCTGGGCAACTTGCTCATGATCTCAGTTAGGAGGTGCAGCGCCGGGATGCAGCAGGAGGCCTGGCAGACTCCAGAACTCTGTCCACTGTAGGAGCTGCTTCAAAGGTGGGTCCTGCTGTCCCCAGATGGGCTCTGACTGTGAGTTGGTGGCATCCTACAGCTGTAGGCTCTCCTGTTTGGAGCCAGGAAGCCTGTTTCTGAAAGCTGGGGCGTGGGGAGAACTGTCCCAATGGACTGCAGGTGACTGCCCACAATGCCGCCCCAGATGCAGCCTTTCTCCCTCCAGGATCCCGGTAAGGAACCCCAACCCACCTCAAACGCCAGCAGGAGTGGAGAAAGAGCTCAGGCGAAAGTTCATGGCCACCTGGGAGGAAGGCGGTGGTTAGGGCAAATCAGACTGGGCCTGGTAAGACCCGGACCAGGCTGATGTGTTTCCCACCTGCTGTCCACCCTTGCGTCTTCCTCCCCCCCCCATGCATTCATTCACTCTTTTTTCCCAATTGGTTATTTCTTGAGTGCCTACTATGAGCCAGACACTCCACTATGTGCAAAATAAACACAAATCTCTGCACCAAAGAGCGTGTTAGGGCAGAAGAGACAAATCTAACACAATAAATGAGTACACTAGGTACTATGTTGGTGGTGGAGAAAGCCATGCGCAGAGCCCAGTCAGACAGGGACTGCAAGAGCTGAGGATGGGGTGCAGTTTTATTAGTGGGGTGGCCACTGGTTTGTCATATAACCTCCCTCACTGAACCTCCATGTCCTCACCTGGTGTGAAAGTTCTGACTTCATAGAGCTGCTGTGAATATCTGATCCAATTTTGTGGATAACAAATTTTCAAAGTGGGTAAAGAACTGAACTGTAGGAGTTTGGTAGGGTAACCTACGAGGGCAGCTGACATCGATTGCCCTCTTGTGTTCCAAGGCCAACCCCTCTCCTTTCTGGCTGTGAGCCCTTGGTTAAGTTGTTTAATCCATCTCTGTCTCAGTTTTCTCATCCATTAAATAGGATAACATGGGCTGGGCATGGTGGCTCACACCTATAGTCCTAGCACTTTGGGAGGCTGAGGTGGGTGGATCATGAGGTCAAGAGATCGAGACCATCCTGGTCGACATGGTGAAACCCTGTCTCTACTAAAAATACAAAAATTAGCTGAGCATGGTGGTGCGTGCCTGTAATCCCAGCTACTCAGGAGGCTGAGGCAGGAGAATTGTCTGAACCCAGGAGGCGGAGGTTGCGGTGAGCCAAGATCGCGCCATTGCACTTCAGCCTGGGTAGCAAGAGTGAAACTCCATCTCAAAAAAAAAAAAAAAAAAAAAGGAAAACATGACATTTCTTCTAGGTTGCTGTGAGGATTAAATTAATTAAGGTATGTGTTTAGATAGTGCCTTGCACATGACGTGAGTATAGAGCCTGTCTGTTATCACTATTACCTCATGTGCCAAGACACTTCACTAACCTAATTATTTCTATATGGAAGTTATCATAGAGGTCTACTGTAATATTCTTTCAAGCTTCATCCTGAGTGTTATTCTTAAAGGACAATCTGTTGAGTGCCTTCCCACTGTGCAAGGAGCCTCTGTAATACTGCGAGTTGAAATGTTTGTCAAATCAGTAAATAAGAAGGCCTCCTTATGTTGGAACCAGGACACACGTGGTGGTTCTCAGCATCAGAGCCCACACAGGGCAGGTGGTCATATTCTACTTTTCTCCCTCCCTGACTCCAGCCTTAAGCTTCTATCAGAGTCGCCGCTTTTCTCTGGACAACAATGCTGGAGCATCCGCCCGCCTGCGGTCAGGTCCCTACATGCCACAGTGCGATGCGTTTGGAAGTTGGGAGCCCATGCAATGCTATGCTGGAACTGGTAAGGTGGCCAAGTGACAGCTCCTTTTTTTATTTTAGAGGACAGAACCCCACACTGGGAGGCAAGTGAGCTGGACCCTTGAGCTCCTCTTTAGCAGCTGGTGACAAATTCCTTAGCTTCTCTGACCTCCAGTTATCTCGCTAGTTTAACAGGAGCAGGAATCTTCTAGCAGCCTGAAAGACAAGTGGGTGGTTGCTGGGGGCATCAGAGTGATCGTGGACAATGTTCAACTGGGGGTATAGACTGGGGACAGCAGGCGACCAGGCTTGCACTGCTGTGAGTACACAGAAGGAAAGCGGTTTATGGGACACTCAGGGGCAAGTCCTCAGTGCGATTCCTGAATGTCCTCCCCTTGGCTGTTTTCCAGGGCACTGCTGGTGTGTAGATGAGAAAGGAGAGTTCATTCCTGCCTCGCTGACTGCCCGCTCTCTGCAGATCCCACAGTGTAAGTGAAATCTGCAGAGCTCCCCTCCTGACCCGCCTTGGTGGGCATCACTGGTCTAGTCAGCTGAGGTTGCTCAACTGCTGGAGACTCCGTAGCCCTTCAGCGAGGCTCCGGGTGAAGCCAGACACATTTTCCTAAGCCCCCAGGTCTGCAAGCTTGTGCTGACCTAGGCCCTTCCTAGTTGATGCTTCCAGCTTTGCAGGTGGGAGGAAACAGCTGAGACTGATGAGGAAGCCCTGGTTCACCTCCCTGTATGCTTGCTGGGCAGTTTCAGCCACTCCTGAAGTTTCAGCAACTGCCTCACATTGGAACCTGCAGCCCTAAGCCCTCTCCTGAGGCTCAGTCCTGTGAAATCCTCAGTCCACTTGGCATCTCATGGCTGACATGTCCCACATGAATCTTTTTCCTCGAGGCTCCACCTCTCTGTGAAGAGCACCTCCATTCACCTAGGCCCATGACCCTGAAACCTGGGGTCAGCCTGGGCTCCCCTCTTTCCCCTTGGCTCCCATGACTAGTCCTTTAAGAACACCTCTCTCTCCCACAGGCCCGACCACCTGCGAGAAATCTCGAAGCAGTGGGCTGCTTTCCAGTTGGAAACAGGCTAGATCCCAAGGAAACCCAACTCCAAAAGACCTGTTCATCCCAGCCTGCCTAGAGGTAAGGCTGGAAGCACAGGACTGGAGCCGGGACTTGCCCCATGTCCCCTGGTTGGAGATGATTTTTCTTTTTGTCAATACATTTGGCTTAGTTGAAAGCTCACATGGAGTTCTCAGCTGGGGAGTTTGTCCGGGCCTGCTAGAACCTGGTTCTGTGACCTTGGGCCGTTTGCTGACCTTTTCTGTCTCCCAGTTTGTTTTGTTTAATCATAAGATCAGGCCATATTTTGTCCTACTAATGCTAGAATTGTTTTGAGATTCCAAGGAAATATCTTTCATAAGAACTCTTTGAAAAATAAACAAAACACGCTGTCATGATTTCCTAAAGGTGTCTTGGCCAAGGCCCTATGCTTGCTGTGCCTCAGATTCCCAACATACATGGAGGACACCAGCTTCTGTCCCTCCCCGGGTCCTGGGGTGACTGTAACAATTCATCATTCAGTGAAGTCCTGATGTAGAGCTCCTAGAGAAAGAATTTGTGCCCGGAATATACCCGCTTACTTGCCAAGTGAGGGAAGTCTCTGGACCTCAGTGGTTTTTTTCTAAAATAGGATGGTAGGAACACCATCACTCACTCTGCTCAGCTTCCAGGGACTTGGTGAGAAGCAGATGAAACAGCAGCGTTGAAGCTTGTGAAACTGGACTGTGCTAAGCACAGGCTTCCTTATTGTTATTGTTAGGTACAGTAAACAGGGACCCAATGGGGGGTCCAGGACCCAAACAGGGACCCCTGTTTCTCTATGGGTAGCTTCATAGAGAAATTAGTCAATGCCATTTAGTTTTTCATCTTGGCCAGAAAGCACCTGCTGCAGGAATGCAATTCTGTTTCATCCTGGGCACTGATGCTCAGGGAGAAGGAGAGGTAGAAGCTACCGTGTCCGATGTAGGACAAGTGACTCCAGAGCAGAGGTGAGAGGTGCTCTGAGGTGCGATTTGCAAGCCCAGTTCCTGTGGAGGGCTGCAGTGCTTGCCAAAATCATTTCCAGAATTAGTGAGGCTGCTCCAGGAGTATGGCGGGGCTTTGGGTCTAGATGGGTTTGGGCCGGGCCTGATCTGCCTCTCACTCACCAGCTGTGACGCATTGCCACACCACTTTCCCTTTCTGAGAAAGCCTCAGTTTTCCTCACCTGAAAGTGGGAGAATGGTGGTCCTTACCTCATGAGGGTGTTGTAGCTGTGAATTAAATGATGCACATAAAGGGCTGGGAACAGGAGAGCACCTCTCCCGACCCCCACGTCTTTCCATCTGAAGAAGCCATCATCAGTTGCCTTGGAAGGGACACTTTTGACATCTGCTAGCAGCAGGTTGGCCACTAGAGCATCTTGCCTGCAGCAGTGACTGACGTGACCTTGGCTTTGTCTCAGACAGGAGAGTATGCCAGGCTGCAGGCATCGGAGGCTGGCACCTGGTGTGTGGACCGTGCATCAGGAGAAGAGTTGCTGCCTGGCTTGAACAGCAGTGCCCAGTGTGAGTGGCAGCCCTTCCCGACATTGCTTTTCACCTCTCCTGTGGGGCACTGAGTGTGGAGTCCGAAAAGCTGGCTTCATGTATCAGCTCCTCCTCTCCCATAGCTGTGGGGGCGCAGCTGCTGACCTTACTATGCCTCAGTTTTCTCATCTGTGAAATAGGGCAATATTCTTACACCTCTGCAGGTTCTTGGGAGAAGCAAACGTGGTAGGGAGCAGGCTGTGCCTTGTGTCTGAGAAGTGCAAACCGGCACTGCTCACTGTCAAAGGGGCCCTGGGCCTTTGGAGGGCTCGCTGGATGTACAGCTCTGCAATCTGGTTTCCACAGTGAAGCCGTCTTTAACGTGCAGATGTCCCTCCTCTGCCTGGACACTGTAATGCTCCCATGATCCTTGGGGCCGTGCTCCAGCTCCCTGGCATGGCTTGAGGGCCCTGTGCTTCTGGCTCCCATGTGTCTATTTTGGCTTCTCTTTCTTCTCCATCAGTTTTGCTTCAGGATGAAGTTGTGATAAATTCTGGTCAGAATTTTGAAAAAGGAAGCACTTTCTTCCACCTGGGCCTTCATGCGTTCTGGCGGTGCCACCTGCAATTTGTCCGCCTATCCCCTCCCCACCCCCAGCTGACAAATTCTTGCTCAGACCATACATCTGTCCCTCCAGGAAGCCTCTGCTCACCTCTGTCTTCCTCCATAGGCTCCTATACTACACTATTGTTGCCTTTATTTCATAGAATTATACCTGTTCACGTGCTTGTTGAATCTCCTTTAAGACTCTAAGCTGCTTAAGGGCAGGCGGTGGTGGGGAGAGAGTACAGAGCTGAGCCAGGCCTAGTCTTTGCCTTGTTGTCATTTAACCTCCTGGTGGGGAGGCAGCCCCATGCCTCTGGAATGCCCTGCAGGCAGGTAGGCTGAGGGTGGCTATGGGTGGTGGGCATTGAAGCAGGGAGTGGGAGCTGGTTGCCTAGTTCATCTGGCTTGTCTCTGTGTCAGGCCCAAGCCTCTGCAATGTGCTCAAGAATGGAGTCCTCTCCAGGAGAATCGGCCCAGGCTATGTCCCGACCTGTGGGGCAGAGGACGGGGGCTTTTTCCCAGTGCAATGCAACCAGGCCCAGAGCAGCTGCTGGTGTGTCATGGACAGTGGAGAAGAGGTGCCCGGGACGCGTGTGGCCGGGAGCCAGCCCGCCTGTGAGAGTAAGTCATAAACCCCTGGGGGAACCACAGGGCCCGCATATCTGTTCTTTGATGCAGTCGGGGTGAAGTTCTAGAGAAGCTGGGAAGGCGGGGGTGGGAGAGGAGACAGGAAGCGCAGGAGGAACGTAGTTGTGGTTGAGTCCCATCACATGAAAACTTACGGCTACTTCCTGAAGACGCTCCTGCTGGGAACTGAAGTAAGAAAGAGCCTGAGCAGGGAACCTCTGGAATTGGCACCTCAAGAAGCTTGGGGGCTATCCCGCTCAGGGGTTTGGTATCTCAATCTCTGTGTCCTCAGATGGGGAGAAGGACGGTGGTTGCAGGATCTCAGTGTGACGGTTCCATCCTTACTGGGGCACTTGAGGAATCTGTGGAGATGTTGACTTGTTTGTTTTTATTTCTATTACAAAAAATTGAGTGAATGTCAAATATTGAAATATATATCACATGAATATATAGAATATTGAACTATATTGTTAAATATTAAAATATAAATTCTTAACCTTTTATTTCTCTAACAATGTCAAGTCACAGGACATTGCAGTCATTTTTAAATTTGTATAAATAGGTGGGTTAGACTATCTGTGAATTTCTTTTCAGGGCAGGCCATGGAGACATTACAAAACACTCAGTACAAGTTGGGGTGGTGGGTCTGGCAAAGTTGTGAAACACCGTGCTAAATGGTTCTGCGTCTGCGCAGTTACCTTTCTTTTGATGTTCTTATTCTTTCATTATTTTCATTTTCTAATCTCTCAGCAACATTTTGGAATTGCAGGGAAATTCAATTAGATCTAGTGATACTTCTGGTTGATATTTGTAAAGAGATGGGAGGAGCCTCAGAAGCAGGGGTGGGAGGGAAGAGTCCTCCTGCTCTCTTTGCGGGGGCTGCTTTCCAGTTTTTTCCATACTCCCTCATGCCCTGACCCTGTACTGTGCCCAAGGCTCTTCACCACACTTCATTTCCTTCAAGTTCTGTTTTGCTCCCCTCCACACGGGCCCCGTGTCATCTGCATCTTTGCAACCCTCAGCGGCTGTCACCATGCGGGATAGGGATACACAGCAGGTGCTCCATGGTTATGTATGAGTGAAATGGTCTGCCCTGTGCTTCCAAACTAGGGAGAGAAGTGAAGGGTCCACCTTAAGTCAGACACAATCAGACACAGACCTGGGTCTTAGTGCAGATCATTTAGGAGTGGTCTGCACTGAGACCCAGGACACACACTGGTGTGGCTTCCTCCAGGAACAGGTCTGGGGAACAAATCCTTTAGTGCTTAGGAAGACTCTACGTGGCTTGACCATGTAGACATCCATGATATGGCTCATGTATACAGAGATTGCCTGTTCAAAGCTGCTTTTCACATCCCTTATCCTATTTTTGCCTTCCAACAATGCAGGGGAATAGATGGAGCTCTCCTATCTCCCCATTTTTCAGATGGAAAAACTGAGACTCATATAGGTTAGTGAACATGTCCAAAGTCACACAGTTAGCAAGTGGAACAGCCAGGATTTAACTTGGGGTCCTGCTGATGAAACCCTGTGCTATACAGATGTAAGGGCTTTAAAAGAAGACAGGCGGAAAGCTCCAGAAGGTCATTTAGTGACCTTGTTGAATGAAGAAAGAAATAAGATAAATATGTCCAGAGGAAGAGCTTTGGCTTCCTCTCCTTATAGGGGAATAGTTCTTCATTGGCTGAGTTGTTTTCAAGGCTGGGGAGCTAACATTTGTAAGGACTTCGTTGTGGGTTTGATGGTTGGGTAGGTGCTCACCTGCTCTTCTGACCCCACTGGCTGGTGGGATTTGGCTGGAAGTCTAGGAAGATCCCTGATTCTTGCGGGGTCTGGCAAGCCACTCTTGCCCCATGCAGGTGCAGATGGAGTGGATGGTGGTGGGAACAGTCAGCACTGGCCTCTTCCGATTCCACAGCAGGGCAAGGGAGTTTGGGAAAAGCTGAGAGATTTAATATAGGTGGTAATTTGGGACATTGCCCAGGTTCCCTGAGAGTCTTAAAGTGACCAGGCTCCTGGTCATGTGATCAGGAACTAAGAAACACCATTCATTTAAACAAAGAAGAGTGGAATATTCCTGGGGTCTTGGAGCTGAGGTCAGAGGCTGGCCACGCTCAATACACTGCGAAGGTGGCATTAACATGAGACGCCCAAAGCCTCTTCCTGCTGACTCACTGCAGAGCGTGATAGGGAGTCAGGGGGCTGACAGACAGACTTGAATGGCAGCTCCACCACTCACTTACCAGGTGACCTTGGACTGGTCCCTCCTCACCTCTGTGGACCTCAGTGTCTCAATCTGTAAAATAAGAATGGAGAATAAAATCTCTGTAAACTGTTGAGCACTGGAATTACCAATACACTAATAAATACATATTATTACTACTTTTTCTGGTATTACTTAGGGACAGGACTAGAACAGATACCAAGTTGCCTCTGTTTGCATCCAATGTCATATTCATGGAAAATACTGCCTCCTCCGCTGCTACCAGCCACGTCTCACAGGTGAGGCCCTGGAAGTCTGACAGCTTGACTTCCCATCCAGAGCCCAACAGCAGGAAGTGCTGTGCTCTGAGCTACCAGGCTAATGCCCAGCGGAGGAGGTTGCTCTTGGAAGATGGCAGGTGGAAGCAAGCAGGTCTGGCTTTTAGTCCAATCACTAACACATGTCCCCAGGCGAGCCACTTAGCTCCTTTCAGACTCCATTTTCCTCATCTCTAAAATAGCAATAAGGACTCCCAGTGGTATAATTTTGGAAGGATTGCTTGACGTTAAAGATGTAAAGCATCCCCTCTGGGGCTGCACCCACTTGGGGTATTCAGTTAATTTTAGTTTCTGTACTTCTTCCTTCTCTTCTTAGCCACTCCTCCCTGGCTGTGGGGGCCAGCTGGGTTGTACCATAGCCAGGGAGTCACTCATTTCAATGACACAGGGAATAAGGCTGTGAGAAAACAGGTCTGCGGGGGAGGGTAGGAACCCTGGCAAGAGAAGCCTCAATGTCCTGGGTGATGTTTGTGGCCCCAGGAGGAAAACCTCTTCTTAGCCAAATCGGATTGCTCACTGGCCCACTTCCAAAAGGCAAAGGAAGGTTAAAAAAAAAAAAAAGGAAAAAACACAGGTGCAGATCATTCCTATGGGATAAGAGAGGAAACCTGTATTCACAGAGATGGGAAGGATGCTTACACGCTCATTGACACCCCATATACACATGTGCGTCTAGCACACTGGTAGAGGATGTAGATTCTGGGGTAAAGATAATGGAGTTGGAGTCCTGGGTTTTCTGTTTACTAGCTGTGTGACCACAGAGGAGGCATTCACCCTCTGTGTGCCCCAGTATTGGTATCCGTATAGGGATAGTGGGACCTATCCCATAGGGTTGTGGGGAACATTATATGAAATGTTATTAGTCAAGCTCTTAGTGGTGTAGCTGGCACAGACTCCACATCCCCTAGTAGTTTAATAAACAAATATTGAAATAAATATTAATAAATTATTAGTAAATCATTTCAATAAATATTCCCACTAGGAGGTAGGTGTTATGGCCATCTTCATCACTTTATGGGTGAGCAAACGGTCACAGAGAAGTTAATTACTTGTGCCAGGACCCTGAACTAGTGAATAATGGGGCCAGGACTCACAGCCTTTAGGCTGACTCAGAGTCATAGCTGGACTCTTGCTGTCCCACTTACACTTGGGACTTGGTAAGAGACGACTCAAGAAGCCCACTGCAAATCGCAGTGCAAAATCTTGACCGGGGACCATTATCACAAAAAAAGTCCGGGTTGGGTTCTGGAAATCAAAATAGATCATTCTTCCTCTTTAAAGCCCCTGAATACCCTCATATTCTTTATAGATTGAAGATTTTAAAGCATATATTGGTCAAAAGACTGTGCCTGAGTCTGATAATGAACTAAATCTAATTGGTGTGAAATTCTCATGCTAAGTCTGTTGGCTCTTTGATTCACTAATTTTCCCATTTACTTGACTCATATTCATTGAGCTGTGTCTGGGGCAGCTGTGTGCCATGGTCTGGGTGAATAGAGGACAGGTGCCCTCTTTCTCCCTGTGGACTTAACCCAGTGGGGAGACCAGAGTGCCACTTATTAGCGGTTCTAACAGTTGACAAAAGGAAGGTCTACACCTGGTGGCCTGGGAATTGAAAAAAAAGCTAAGCCTGCCTGGGAGAACCATGAAAGTGTTAGAAAACGGAACTTGTTGAGTTGATATTTGAGGGTCAAAAAGGAATCTTCCAGACAGGAGCAGGCAGAGGGAAGGCTTGGAGATGTGTTCAGGGAGTAATAGATATTCCTGGAGGCATCAGGGAACTGATGAGATGAGAGTGAAGAGAGGAAGCCAGGTTCAGCCTGCACACGAGGGAGTTGAGAGCTGATATTCAGCTCTGGCACAATTTCTCTGCCAGCAGTGGGGACTGGGTGGGACGTGGGAGCAGAAAGGCAGGAGGTGAGGGCTAATTGCAGACACCTGGCAAAGAGCATTTGCTGGCAGCTCAGGCAGAAGAAGAAGGATATCTAATGATGGAGGTGGCCATGCGAACAAAGAGACGTGGAGCAGGTATGAGCTGTGACCAAGACAGAGGAGATGCACCCTGCAGGAAGGTCACCAGCTTGCTGGCGTGGGACGGCTGGGTGGCTGGCAGTGCTGTTCTCTGTGGCTGGGGCACTGAAGCAGAAGCAGGCTTGGCAGCAGATACTAAGTTCAGGCCTGGATGGTGGGCTTTGAGGTGAAGAGACCAGGTGGTAATTAATTGGCTTTAGAGAAGAGAAAAAGCTCAAGAGTGCCTGAGCCAGACGTGAAGCTACAAGAGGCATTCGTGCTTAGGTGCCTGATAAGACTGAGAACAGATGGGCTCATCCAAGTAGAGGGCAGGGAAGAGAGGAGGGGAGCAGGCCCAGGCCTGGTCCTGAGAGTTTGACAGGTCCAGGGAAGGGGAGAGGAGGAGGGCCCAGTGTGAGTGAGAAGGAGACACCCACAACTAGATGCGTTCAGCCCTCCTGAGGCTGGGCAGGTGTCCACCATGGCTCCACTTTCCTCCTCCTAGGCCCGCGGTGTCCACTGCCGTTCAACGTGTCGGAGGTGGTTGGTGGAACAATCCTGTGTGAGACCATCTCGGGCCCGACAGGGGCTGCCATCCAGCAGTGCCGGTTGCTGTGCCGCCAGGGCTTCCGGAGCGTGTTCCCACCGGGGCCACTGATATGTAGCCTGGAGAGCGGACGCTGGGAGTCACAGCCACCTCAGCCCCGGGCCTGCCAACGTGAGTGGCCTCAGAGCATCTGTCCTGCACCCCGCTCCCTCTCAGGGCTAGGGCTGGGACCAAGATGTGGAGGCGTGGCTGCTCCCTTTCCCCACCCAAATGTAGCCTGTCCATGGTAAGCCAGGCGGCACCAAGAGGTGAGAGACAGTCCCAGGGAGCATAGTCTTCTGGAAGGAGCAGATGGACTTCACAGACCCCTGGAGTTAGGCTTTCTATGTGCCTTATCTGGAACCATCTGTTTCTTGAGAGAATTGTCATCCTTCCAACCTTCTTGGGATATTTGGATTCAGGAAACATACTGGGCAGGTCGGTGCTCTGACAGCTGTATAGGTGGCTGTGCCATGCTCAGAGATGTTCTGAACCTCTGAATGACCCTGCCCAGCAGCATCTCCTCATGACCAACTGGACTTCCCGGGCTAATGCCAGGCTTAGCAGGGGGCCCTGGACTCTGCTCCAGGTCTGTTGTCAGTTCTGATTGCTGGAACACGTGCCCTGTGTAAGTTTCGGCTCTCTTTCCCAGTGCCCTGAGCAGAGCTCCTTTAGCCTCATCACACACTGAACCCACTCTGGGACTTGGCCCTTGATCTACCCAGTGCAATGGGAAGAGCATCTGGGAGAGAGACTGAGATCCTGGGACTGTCACAAGGCTTTGGGTTGATGCTAGAGTGTCCGGGAGAGCATTTGTTGCAAAACACTCTGGAATATAGAGGGTCCCCATCCAGAAAATTCAAAATGTGATTTGGATAAATAAGTGGCCTGCCACTTTGGCTATGCTGAAATCAAGACCAAGATGGTCACAACTGATCCTACAGCAAAGGACTTTGGGGAAAAGAGGCACAAAGCTTGATCTCCTGAAGTTGAATGCAGGCTGCTGTGCATGATTGTTCAGGTTGTGTACTGAACAACCTTAGAGAATGGCTTTCCCATGATCTGTGGTGTCTATTCTTAACCTAAAAAACCAGATGGCATGGCCATGTCTATGTGCAAGATGGCATGGAAGATTTTCCATGGAGGATGTCCAGGACCTCCAATTTTAAAGCACTCTGGTTTGCACGATGAGGTAGTACTGAGCTTGCTGTGAGGGTGCTCAGTAATTTCAGAGACAAGCCATTATGCTGGAAAGGTCTTAGACTCAGGATGACAATGCAAAATGTCAGTGCTTACGTGTTTCAAGCTAAATGAGGAAGGGTTAGTTTTTGCAGAGCAAAACCCAAACAAAGAAAAGAACTCCACAGTCCTGTTGCCTCTGTCTGCTGACCTCTGGTGCTTACCTGCAGGGCCCCAGCTGTGGCAGACCATCCAGACCCAAGGGCACTTTCAGCTCCAGCTCCCACCGGGCAAGATGTGCAGTGCCGACTATGCGGGTTTGCTGCAGGCTTTTCAGGTCTTCATATTGGATGAGCTGACCGCCCGTGGCTTCTGCCAGATCCAGGTACTTGCCTGACCTTTCCCACAGTGAGGGCTCAGACTGAACTCAGGGTTACTGTGTCAGAGAACCTGAGGGCTCACATGAACCTGAGGGTTTGAGTTCAACCCTCACTATTTGATCAGTGTGCAAGCTGATACCCAGAAGTGGGAAGTAGTTTGGCCAAGGTTAATTACATAGCAGCAGAGGCAGAATCCATACCCATCTCATCATTGACCATTCTTTCTACATAAAGATCTCAAACATTTACTGAGCACTTAATATGGGCATCCTTTGGTATAAATTAGCTAATGCAGTGCACATAGGGACTTTATCTTTACTGCTATTGTGCAGATGAGGAAAATGAAGGCCAGAGAGCTAAAAGAATTGTTCCAGAGTCATACAAGCCGGAGAAGGTAGGGCCAGGCTGTCTGACTTGATCACAGAACTGTGACCACCATGTACTACCTCCACCATCCATAGAGAAAGAGCTTGGGAACATGGGTAGGAAGGCTAAAACCTCAGTGTACTCTGCACACCACAGTGTTAGATGTGTTTCTAGACAAACCTGAGAGGAGGCATTATGGATCCCTCCTGGAAGAAGAATATTGCATGCCACCTGGAAAGGCATCCTACCATATATAATAGTTTTTCAGCTGTGCAATATTCAATAGCTTTGGTTATTTGAAGCCATAAGTGTTTAGAGAAGGAATCTTTAAAGGTTACTCCTTAAAAAAAAATCATTTTTCTGCTTAAAGGTTGCTAAATCGGCCGGGCGCGGTGGCTCAAGCCTGTAATCCCAGCACTTTGGGAGGCCGAAGCGGGTGGATCACGAGGTTAAGAGATCGAGACCATCCTGGTCAACATGGTGAAACCCCGTCTCTACTAAAAATACAAAAAATTAGCTGGGCATGGTGGCACCTGCCTGTAATCCCAGCTGCTCAGAAGGCTGAGGCAGGAGAATTGCCTGAACCCAGGAGGCGGAGGTTGCGGTGAGCCGAGATCGCGCCATTGCACTCCAGCCTGGGTAACAAGAGCAAAACTCTGTCTCAAAAAAAAAAAAAAAAAAAAAAAAAAAGGGTTGCTAAATCATCAGAGCAACTCAGTTTTGGGACCTCATGTTAAGAATTTTGGAGAACATTAGGGTTGAGTTCATGTAAATTATCTTAAAAAATAAGAGAATTTTAGAGAAGATACTTTTTTTTCTTTTTATTAACAAAACAATATGCTGCGGTTACTGATATTAAAAGAAACAGAGGCATGAATAGACTTGGTCTTTTTATTCAAGGAAATACACTCACAGTAACAGTGTCAGCGATGCCTATTAATTATTTGGTGCTGTGTGTGGTACCAGGCTAGAAGCTCTACGTTCCTTACATGTAATCATCACAGCACCCTGTTTGGTGGGTATCAGTAGCCCTCCATTTCCAAGGGAATTAACAAAAGACATCAGGTAAATAAGCTGTCCAAGATTTCTCATCCCTTAACAAGTCCAGGTCTGTGTAGACCATATTTATTCAGTCATTCATTCTTACATTTAACAAATATTTAAGTGCCTACTACAGGTTAGGCATGTACTTAGGCACTAAGGTAAATTATCGAAGGTAAATCAAGCCAATACTAGTTAAAGTGATCAGGACAGATTTTAATCAGAATATATTATACAGTGGGGAAAAGAGTTCAGCATGAACTGGACTCAACTTCAATTTGTAGAGAAGTGACTGGGCATTTGAAAAGGAGAATGAGGGGATAGGGAAGGGGTCAGCAGGGGTTCAGTAGAGTCAGGGAAGTGAAAAATTAACAATGCAAAAACCAGGAAAGGGAGCTAGTCCATGTGATGTGAAACCCATCTGGGTTTGCTAGCCGGTGCTATTGCAGCCTCCCACAGAGGCTAGAGACAGGTGCCCCATCTTCAAGTGTTTGCTGGAACAAATAATGAATTCTCTTGGCAGCCTTGAGTTTTCTAGGCAGGCATTTTAAGAGGAGCTAGGGTCATTCCAGGGGTGTGGCCTTGAACAGTTAGAAATAATATTAGTGCTTATTCAAGTCTTTTGAAGCCAGGCTGAGGTCTAGTAAGAGGGCTCAGAGGATCCCGGCTAGAATTTGCTTCATGACAGTCTTCAGGATGTAGCAGTGAATGAGATCACCTCTTTGTACTTTGGGGGAGATGACATTAAGCAAGTACCTATCAGGTAAGGGTAAGAGCTAAGAGGGGAAATAAAGCAGGTCGGGCCTTGGAGAGGGAAGACAGTGAGTTGAGAGGGGTTTTAGATAGAAATGTCAGGAAGGGGCCTCCAAGAGGTGCTGTTGGGAGGGATAGGAGTGAGGTAAAGCTGAGGACCTATGAGTTCTGGGGGAAAGGGACCCCTGCAGAGGAAATAGAAAGTCAGAGCTTCTGTGATGGGCACATAAAACTGAAGGGACCATTATGGGTAGGCACAGCAGAAGAGGGAACTGTGAGTTGGGGTGTGCATGTTGAGAATGGCTCAAGGCCTTGTTGGCTGTGGCCAGGATGGTGAATTTTACTCTGCATGTGATGGGAAATCACTGAAGTTGAGAAAGGATGCTGAGAGTTTTGCAGTTTTCTCCAGCCTGGGGCCAGGCAGAGTGTAGAACATGAGAAACAGCAGGAATCTTGACATGGTGGGGCCACAGAGCCCACAGGACTGGGTAGTAGGTGATATGTTGTGGGAAGATAGAAGTGTTGAGGATGATTAAGGTTTTAGCTGCAGGGAATGGCTGAAGACATATGTTTCCAACATGGGGAAATTAAACCTCATGCAGAAAGGAGTCAAATGTGCTGGAATCCAGGGGAATGGAGAGCTGAGGACCATGCTGAAGACAGAGATAGGGTCAGGAGGAAGCTGAGCAGGGACCTAGTCCTAAGGGCTTTCTAAACAAGATGTCAGGGTATGACCATGAGACAGAGAGCTTCTAAGGTCAAGGAGGAGAGGGCCCTATTCTTCAGAAGTAGGAGACAATACATAGACTTCCAAGTCAGGTGGATCTGGGTTCAAACCTCGGCTCCAGCACTCCTACCAGTGTGACCTGGGCCTTTCCCAGGCTTGGCAAGCCTCAGTCAATCATCTGTAAAACGGGGTTGGGAGAACCCATCTTGGAGGGTCAGGTTAAGTGAGACAACATACAGACCCAAAGCTTTTTCTCTTTACCCTCTTCTGAGAGCTACACAGTTCTGGGGTTAGTGGAGTTGTGAATCCCAGCTCTACCACCTACTGGCCGTGGGACCTTAGGCAGTTTCTCAGCCTCTCAGAGGCAAATTCTCCATCTGTAATGTGGGGTAATGAGAGTCTCAACTCTGTAGACTTGTTTTGGATATTAAACTAGCGAATATATTTCAAGAACTTCACACAGGGCCTGATGAATAAAACATGTTCAAAAGCCATGCCACAGTGCCTTCTGAGAATACTAAGCCCCTGGCACACAGCAGGATCTCATTAAATGACAACTATATGAACACTCACATTCACTTTCTCACCTTCACCGCGGGTGTGGCACACAGTAAGGTCTGGGAGCCAGGGCTGTTGGGATGGATGCCATGCTGACATTCAGCCTCTGTATGCATTGGCCGCCTGGGGCTGGCCTTCAGGGCACTGTCTGCATTCTGAAGAAGGTAGTTGAGGCCTTTTGTGGTGAAGCCTGAAGGCCAGGGCCACATCAACTCTGAATTACTCATTGGTGATGGAGTTAACTTTCTTTCTAGAACTTCTATTCACTCTCTAGGCACCCAAGCTTTTGATAAACTGACTTCCCTTTGGACTTTATATAAACTCTCTTGGAATGCTACCTTTTGCCATTATCTGAATGCATGTGTCCCCCCCCACCCAAAATTCATATCCAAACCATAATCCCCAAAATGATAGGCTTAGGCAACTTTATGTTAGGTCGTGAGGGTACTGCCCTCATGAATGGGGTCAGTGTCCTTATAAAAGAATAAAAAGGCTATATCCTTATAAGTGTATATCCTTTACTATAAAGAGGCTCCAAGAGATTTTTACCCATTCCACATGTGAGGACACAGTGAGAAGAGAGACATTTATGAAGAGAACCTTCACCAAACATGGCTGGCATCTTGATCTTGAACTTTACAGCCTCCAGAACTATGAGAAATAAAGTTGTGTTGTTTATAAGACACGCAGTCTGTGGTATTTTACTATAGTCATCCAAATGCACTAAGACATCCTTTAAAAGAGGCTGTCTTTGTGAAGAAGGAGAGATGAAACTTGTGTTCAACCCTGGACCAAAGCTTGGCACTGTCCTTAGGGTAACAGGACTTGTAACCATCTGTCTTTCTCCCCAACCCTGAGGAGCCCGCAGTATATCACTCACAGACATTCAGTGGGCACAACTCAGTGACACTTAGGCTGGGAGGAGAGACCAAGCTGCATAACCAAAATTGAGGAGCTGGTGGATGCTATAGGGGTTCAGAGGTGTCCTGCTGAATACGTGTGTGGTAAAAACTTTCCGAGTTGGCTAAAGTTGTTTCGCCAGTGAAATATGGTGACTGGGCTTTGATGCGTGGAGCCCTGCTCTTCCTCCACTTACACCTGTATACACCATGTAACCAGGGCAGGTTATTTAACTTCTGTGAACCTTGTTTTCCTCAGGTGTGGAAAAGGGGGTTACTATTGCTTGACTCCCTGAAGTAGGGTTGGTGGAGGATTGAAGGAAGTAACATAAGCCAAGTTCTGGTTCCTGGTGTAGACCCAACAACACTAGCTTTCTACTCTGTGTTCTTGAGCTGATAGTATCTGTCTTCTTGTAGGTGAAGACTTTTGGCACTCCAGTTTCCATTCCTGTCTGCGACAACTCCTCTGTGCAGGTGGGATGTCTGACCAGGGAGCGTTTAGGAGTGAATGTTACATGGAAATCACGGCTTGAGGACATCCCAGTGGCCTCTCTTTCTGACTTATATGACATTGGTATGTTTTTCTGTTTTAGTACCTAGAAGAAGCTATGCAGCCTCTCTCAGTCTCGGTTTCCTCATCTGCCATGGAGCTAGTCTTCCTGTGAAGATTATGGGGAAAGCTAATTATTTTAAAATGTATAATAATCAATAGAGTTCTTGCCAGTCCTTTACTAGAGTTAAATAATGTCAACGAAGAGCTTGGTTCTGTCTCCTGAACGTCTTCTAATACTTCTCTTGGTTTTCTGCATGCGGAGAGGTGAAACAGAATGTGTGAAGGGGACAGCTGGGTGGGCTGGGAAAGTCTTTATTGTTTTTTAACTTATATCTTACCTGCTTCCAATTGTAAAACATTTCAGACCACTTTACACCATTTAGAATGGGGCAGTCATGATATGGATAATTAACAGAGGAGAGGGAAAAGAAGAATGGATTTTATGATAGCTACCGTGGGCATGTGCCCTGTTCAGCTCTGAGCTTTCTGGTAGGGTAGGAAAGAGTCCATAGATTTCTGACCAGAGAATGGGATGCAACTCCATTCTCTCTTCTACCATCTATCCAGTGGCCAAACATCCGGGGTGGGATTGGCTGGAGTTTGCCCTCTGTTCCATGATGAAGAACTTCTGGAAAACGTTGCCAGGAAGGAGACTACATTCACTAGTCCTGTCATTCACTAGTTATGAGGGTAATAATCCTCTAAATGATAATTCAGAAGAATTATGAATTATCCTGCAGACCCAGCGTTATGAATTAGGGATCCCCTTCCATCTTTCTCCAAAGAGATCCTGGATAACGTGTCTGTGTTTGGAGCTGCAAAAGCATGAGATGCTTATTTCAATGGTGAGGCAGCGAGACTGTGATTGGAGGCCATGGGCTGGCTCTGTAGTAGCCTGTTACAGCTGGAATGTTTGCTGTGTGCTGGGATCTGCCCCAGCTCCTGGCACGGTGCTCGCCTGCTTTCTTCCTAGGAACTACTTACCGTTTGACAGATGGAGGCCTCTTGGTGTTTGGCTAAACACTGAGGCAGACGGTCCCATTGCCTCTTCAAGTCCTTGCTTTCTTTTTGAGTGGCCACTTCACACACATTCGTTCCTAGGACCCTCACCAACTGCAAAGAGAGCCATTCCCAAGCCATTTTTCAGATGGGAACATTGAGGCTTAGAGGTGTTCAGTGCCTCAGTGAGGGTTGAGGTAGATGAGTGTCTGGATCTTGCACCTTAGACTAGTGACTGAAGACGTGGTCTTCTATGCCAGCGCAGGTTGCATTGGTGCCACAGAAGTGGCAGGAGCCAGGAGATCTGGGTTGGAGTCCCTACTTGTGCTTCTGACTCCTGGGTGACCTGGAGATGGTCCATCCTCTTCTCTGAGCCTCAGTTCCTCCCTCTTTAAAATGAGACATCACATGATGCCTATGTCTCTTTTCAGCCAGGACATTCTAGGCATCTCTGCCCCCTTGATCCTCCCTGGCCCTTGCAGAGAACAGTGGGGGTGACCCCTGCCTTATCCTGTGTCTTACAGAGAGAGCCATGGTGGGCAAGGATCTTCTTGGGCGCTTCACAGACCTGATCCAGAGTGGCTCATTTCAGCTTCATCTGGATTCGAAGTCATTCCCAGCAGACACCGCCATCCGCTTCCTTCAAGGGGACCACTTTGGCACCTCTCCCAGGACACGGTTTGGGTGCTTGGAGGGATTCTACCAAGTCTGGACAAGTGAGGCCAGTCAGGACCGACTAGGATGTGGTAGGTCCACTCTCTCCCTGGGTGTCGCCTGTGGAGCTGTGTGAGGCTCTGGGAAAGGCCACCTCAGCTCTGGAGAGAGGCTACATTCTGGGCTGAGAATCATCCATTCAGTTAATGAGCAAAAGTTTTCAATCATCCACTGTGCATGGGCATATAGTCTCCATCTGTTAGGTGGCATGGCGGAAGGAGGGGCCCCGTGTTTGCAGTTATTCTTTCTGTTAGTTATGAATAATCTTGGAGCCTGAGCCTGAGCTGCCCTGTCATTGTGAGGAAGGCCGATGTCCACTTGTATCCTGGGTACACATTTCCCAGTCTGGCTGTGGCAGTATGTAACTCACCACGATTTCCAAATGGCCATTCATCCGCCCAGGGCTTTAAAACTCAGGGAAAGTGGTTCCTGATGGAAGTTCACTTGGGTTGCTCTTGCCTCTCCTGTAAGTAGTTTGGGGGCCGTTTTAATGGGAATGTGTATTAGTTTCCTCTTGCTACTATTGCAAATGACCAAAAATTTTGTGGCAGAAAACAATATAGATGTAGTATCTTACAGTTCTGTAGGTTTCAATTACAACATGGGTGTCACTGGGCTAAAACCGAGCGGTTGGCAGGGCCCGCACGCTTCCTGGAGGCCCCTGGGGAAGTCTGTTTCCTCACCTTTTCCACTTTCTAGAGCTTGTCCGCATTTCTTAACTGGTGACTTCCTTTCTTGCTCATCAAACCAGCAGTGTTGCAGCTCTCTGACCCCTCTTCCCTGATCACAGCTCTCCTCACTCTTTCACCTCCAAGGACCTTAGAGTTACACACAGCTGCATGGTTCAGGATGCTTCCCTTATTTTGAGGTCAGCCAATTAGCAACCTTAGTTCCATCTGCACCAGTAATTTCCCTTTGCCACGTAACCTAGCATATTCACAGGCTCTGAGGATGGGGACATGGATGTCTTTGGGGGGTCTTTGTCATGTCTACCACTGAAGATTCAAAGGTCTCCTGATGAGAAGCCTTCCTCCTGCATGGAGTGAGATAGACATTTTTATGAAGCTAAAGAAAGAAGATGTTTCTCAGTTATTGTTATCAATTATTTATATTGGTTGCAACACAAAAGCCAAATGCCCTTTCCTTTTCTGACATCTGTGCCAAATTCTGAACTCCACATTGGATTTAAGATGCAGCTAAATCCTAACACAGAAAACGGCAAGACAACCACTTCCCACTAGCATTTATGGAGAATTCTACAGTTCAAATGCACCTGCATAAACATTTAACTCTCACAATAGCCCCTGGTGGCAGGGGTTATTTGACAAAGAAGCTTAGGTTCAGATTAAATGAGATTGGGCATCTGTTGTGCTTGGAGTGGGGCGACTCACAGGAGGGACTCTAGCTCACCTGATTGATTAATAGAGGATGAGTAAGCCCAGGTCCTCTGGGATCAGAGACCGTGATCTTTCTTTCCATTCCATCAGAGCTGCCCGAACCAAGAGGACAAGAAAAAGAGCAGGAGTGGATGGTGCCACTCCAGCGTGGGTGAAACAGGGTTGCAGAGAGGCAGAGTCACGTAGAGAGCACCTGCCCCTGTGTTCACAGACTTTATCATGAAGAGCCCTTGGCTTCAATGCCAGTTGCTGAACTAGCAGGGGTGTACGTGTGTGTGATGTGTATATGAGTGTGTGAGCACATGTGCATACATGTATGTGTGTAGTGTGTGTATATGTGTGTGATGTACATATGTGTGTGTGAGTGGGTTTGTTTTTGTCTGTATACATGTGTATGATGTGTCTATGTGTGTATGCACATGTGTGTGCATGAATATGTGTATGCTGTGTGTGTGCGTGTTGGGAGTGGGGCTGCAGGAGCCTGCTTTCATAGCTGCCTCAGGTGATGTACCATGGGATCTGGAATTAGCCCCAGGAGACTCCCTGGCTTCAGGGGTGCCCTCTGTACCCAGTGATGGAGGTAAAGGAAAGGCAGAGAATCTGTGTTGACTCTGTGTCCTCAAGGAAGTTCTGTCCACTCGGTGTCTTCCTTTCCACTTCCACCCCCTCTCACCGGTAAAATAAAGGGGCTGGCCTAGAAACCTGGCCCCAAGTTTCCTTCTAGGAAGCTCAGTTATTAGTACCTATCAACAAGGGGATGAGAAGGGCTACTCAGCTCAACTTTGCCTGAAGGAGAAAGAGTGGGGTCTGGGAATCAGCAGCTGGCATCAGGGCATGGGGCTTCTGAGGGCCTTTGTGGGAGCCACAGGATGGGGCGTGGGGAAGAGACTGCATGGGAGACCTTGCCCAGGACACTCTTGCTCTGGAACAGGACTCAGCAAACCTCTCCTGTAAGGGCCAGATGGCGATGTTTTAGGTCTCTGTCTCAGTGACTCAACTCAGCCGTTATAGGGAGAAACATGGCTGTGCTCCAGTAAAACTTTATTTACCAAAGCAGAAGGTGAGCTGAATTTGGCTCCTGGGCTGCTGTTTGCCAGTCCTGCTCTAGATAAACCTACACTCTGTCTTCCAACTGCTGCAGCCTCTAAGTGATTCACAAAGACTTGTCAACCACACCACACAGCCCCATCCCCTTACTCCAAAGGGTTAGAAAGATCCAGAATGGAAGTCTCAAAAGCAGTACCAAAAGCCCTGAATTTTCTTCAGCATCAGTTCTAGTACCTATCCCTTACTGAGTTTCTGATATGTGTGTGGCCTTACTAGCATTTTTCTGTCCAGAGACTCAGGTGTTATTGATCCCATCTCATGCACAAGGAAATGAGGGGCCTATAGTGCTACACAGCATCAGGAAACTGCTCCGTGAAGTCCGGTGGACCCGGGTTCGAGTCCTGACTCCAACACTTTCTCATTGTGGATCCTGGAGGAAGTCCATTATTCTCATAGGCATCTTCTGAAAAATAGGGATAATAATACCCACTGCATGGGGTAATACCTATTGTTGTTTAGATAGCATGAAATAATCAATGCAGAACACAACACTTAGCAAACTCTTGGCAAATGGTTTTGTTGTGAAAATTGGCAGTGCTGAGCTCTAAATCCAGCTCTGTCTGCCTCCAAGTTCTTTGTTCTGTCCTCTGCATCACATGTCCTCCCTTTTCAACAAGGAGGTTCTTGGTGAAATCACACCCTCTGACTCCTGTGTCTATTCTTATTGGTAGTTTTCCCTCTAAAACACATCTGGGACACAGCTGTGATATTACAAGGCAGAGCATTGTCCTGTGGCAATAAAGCAGATTTTTCTGTGTCATCCTGAGGGAGGGCTAATCAGGATGGCCCCCTCAGAGGGCTGTGACTCAGAGGGCCAGTGGGAAAGTCCGTCCCCTGTGACTCATGTAGACACAGCAGCCTTGATCCAGGGAACTGGTGGCTGCCAGGGAGCAGAGACCTTGTTTGCAGCCCTGATGGGGTCGGTTTTGTTCACTCTCTTGCCTCAAGGCCAGCCATGTGGGTTCTCCTTGAAACTACCTGCTGGCAGCCTTCAGAGCAGGTTAGTTTATTAAGGAGAATACCTGAGAAATTTTCTATAGTTTTCATATTCCATTCTGGATGACATTGACTTTCACTCATTCACTATAATTTACTCTAGTAGAGCTGGTTTCCTACGGATTTTTTTCCTGAGCCAATTATTCCTGCCTTCTCTCTTCCCTTCCCTTCCCTTTCCCCTTCCCTTTCTCTTCTTTCCTGTCATCCATCCAAACTTACAAAATGTTATGTGCCATGTTATACACTCAGGGAAGCAAAACACAAAGTTCCACTCTCAAGGAACTCACAGCCTGGCTAGGGAGAGGTCAGTGAATATTCAGCTGGATCACCCCAGGAAGAAGCCTGTTGTATCCCAGCCAGGGTGGTCAGAGCAGGTGTGCTGGGGTAGCAAATGCTGGCAGAAGTCTTGAAAGGTGAGGAGGAATCACTGCTCAGACAAGAGCAGACAGAAGGTGGTGCGTGTTTGTGAACGTGTGTGTGTGTGTGTGTGTGTGTGTGTGTGTGTACTCATGCTGAGGGTGCTACAGTGATGAAGAACATTCCAGAAATATAGATCGGTATGAACGCAGGGAGTCATGAGGCTGCTGACTTTTTGGAAATAGTGCTCATGATTTGTACAGCTAGGGAACAAGGTGTGTGGGGAACGTGACAGGAGGTGGAGCCAGAGCAGATGGACAGGGACAGGCCAGGGGAGGTCTTGGAGCACAGCAAGGGGAGTGGGCTGGAGATGGGACCACAGAGGGTTTTAAGTTGGAGAGTGAGAGGACCACGTGTTTCCTCACAGATGTTTTTCTTCAGCAGAAATGCGGCTGTCACTGTTGAGGGGTTTGTGGACAAGGGTTGGCAGGAGGAGTGGCCTGACTCTAAAGCTTTGTGAAACTCTTAAACTCAAATAGGTATAAGTCTCTCATTTTATTAGGCTGGTGCAAAAGTAATTATGGTTTTTGCAATGTTTTTAAAATTTAAAAATTTGTTTTTAAAAAAAATCACAAAAACCACAATTACTTTTGCACCAGCCTAATACAAAGGAGGGATCTGAGGCTGAAAGATTTTTTAGTGATTTTGGGGGATTTAACCGGGGTTCAGCACCTACTGGTGGCGGTGGACCCAATGGTCTTGAGAAAGCCTTCTCATCTGAGGGAAGGTTAACAATAAGGCGACAGTAAGCTAATAAAACGAGACAGTTATACCTATTTCTGACTTGAAAATGCACTCTTTTGGGTGGAAAAGACTTGACGTCAGAGATAGAGAGAACTGGTGGGAGGAAAGAGCGCGTACATTCCCTGAGCATAGACAGGAGGCTGGGACTGTGGGATTTGCAGCAGAAGTTAAGTCCCAGCTCTCTCATTTCTGCTAGTTGCCTGCACATCGGCATTTGGAGGCCGGGCAATACAGCCTGGTTGAAATGCTTTTGTTTTCCTTCAGTGATGAATTTGGAGGCCACTTGAAAAAAGTAGTCACAGTTCCGGGGTGGAAGTGCTAGAGATAATCATCACCAACTTGACTCATAGAAGTAATGAAACTCCACTCTCTGAGGGAGGATATTAATTGCTCAGCATGGACCAAAACACATGGTGTTCAGTTTCCAAGATGTGGCTCGAGTTTCTAATTTACTCAGCAATGCCAAGTACATACGCAGACCAGAGACAGCATTGCTACATCAACACTGGCTCCATCTCCACACATCCCACTCACTGGTGCTGACTTCTCTGCTAGAGGGAGGTGACTGGATTGGTGGAAGGAACAAAGACTTTGGTTTGGAGATGAATGAATGGGGCTCAAATCTCACCTCTGTCACCTCACTGCTTGGCTGACCATGACCTTGAACCTCAGTTTTCTCTAGTCTGATACGAAGATAACTTCCTTATAGGGCTGTGAGAAGAACACATTAAACATCTGCTACTGTGCTTGGCATATTCTACAATTTTACTTTCCCATTGCCCTTTGCTGAAAGGCATACTAGGAAGTCATGCATGGATATCTGAGGCTCAGCTTTCTCAACTGAAATGGGGATAAAATACTTTCCATCAGAGTGATGTATTAATGTACATAACAGGGCAATAGAGTAAGTGCTCCCAATAGTGGGCAGGATTTTAGCTTCCACCTTTTACTGGATAAAAGCTCACTTCTTCTGGAAGGTATTTGGCAAACTCTCAAGAACACAACACTGAACCAAGAAAAAAAGCAAAACAACCTCTGTCCCCATCCCCTCCTCTGAGCCATCAAAATCAGTAGCCAAGTTCATGTACTTTCCCCAGAGCAGAACTCCTCAGACCTTAACTTAGAGTTCTTATGAGAACCCTACTGAGAGCTCTAATTCTAGTTGGCTTTCTGTTTTCCCAGCCGATATCATATTAGAAGAGGAAATGAGAAGGGATGGGAAATGTTCGAATCAGAGAGACAGAAAGTGCTGAGAATGGGTAGATTAATTGGGTACCATAGGGAGGGATTAGGGTGAGGTGACTGAGGCATCCAGATGCAAAATTTAAGGAGGCTCTCAGGGTCACACTTGGCATTTCTGGGTCAATGAAAAGCCCAGCATCAGTGAGAGCCACGTTGAATCCTGTGACCATGTACCTCACTTCCCTCACTCAAGTCCCATATTAGAGCAATACTACTAATGACCCAGCGGCCAGGTACAGTGGCTCACGCCTGTAATCCCAGCACTTTGGGAAGCTGAATTGGGCAGATCACCTGAGGTCAGGAGTTCAAGATCAGCCTGGCCAACATGATGAAACCCTGTCTCTACTAAAAATACAAAAATTAGCCAGACACGGTGGTGCACAGGAGGCTGAGACAGGAAAATCACTTGAACCTGGGAGGCAGATGTTGCCGTGAACTGAGGTTGTGCCATTGCACTCTAGCCTGGGTGACAACAGTGAAACTCTGTCACAAAAAAAAAAGACCGAGCAATAGGGAGAGAGACCACGGGAGTCAAGTGGGGAGGGGCTGAATGTTGGGAATGCCTCATAGAGAGGGAACCCTGTTTGGACAGAGTGGGTGTTGAGGTCAGCTATAAGGAAGGACTTCCTCAAGTGTAAAAATGATTATCATTTGTTGAGTGCATATGTGAGTCTGGCATTATGATAGCTACTTTTATATACATTATCAGTATGCTCCAATAAGATTGTATTATTAATCCCCATCTTGCAGAGGAGAAAGTGGAGCCTCAGAAAGGTCCAAAAGTACAAGGTACACGGGGCAGCGGGACTTCATCCAATCTGTAAGATACCAAAATGCGCCCTTCCACCCCTCCATTCCAGCAGGCCCTTAACTTTGGGAAGCATTCCCATGGCAACCTGTGGATGGGCTCTCATCTTTCAAATTGTTCTCCAACTTCATCTCATGCTATTCATTCTTTGCAGACTTAAGCGCTAGGTTAGTACCAAGCTTTGTTTGCTTTTGTCTTTCCATTGCTTGAATGATCCAAACTCATTTTTACCTCAGGGTTTTTGCACTTGTTTACTCTGCCTGGAATTCCCTTCTCTTAGATATTTGCCTGGGCTACCCCTCATCATTCAAGGCTGAAGCATCACGTCTTTCAGGGGCCTTTTCTCACCAACATGCCCTTCTCCCCTGCTTTATTTTACCCATATCTGAAATTCCTGTCTGACTCTCTCATCTACAAGTGTGTCACTTCCAGGACAGCAGGAAGCTCACCCAACTTTTTCACAGCTGCTTTCCTGCTTCTTAGAGTCTGACACACAGTAGGTTCTCAATGGACGTTTGTTAAATGAATGAGCTCTTGAACTGCTTTGAGGATTTCCTGTACCCTGTGTGTTTTGGGATTGTAACTGTGAAGCATGTGTCTTGATCTTTCATATCTTTTCTCCATTTGTTTTTTCTAGTTAAGTGTCCTGAGGGAAGCTATTCCCAAGATGAGCAATGCATTCTTTGTCCTGTTGGATTCTACCAAGAACAGGCAGGGAGCTTGGCCTGTGTCCCATGTCCTATGGGCAGAACAACCATTTCTGCGGGAGCTTTCAGCCAGACTCACTGTAAGTTCTGTGGGGTGCTTCTTTCAAAGAGAAGCCCTGCAGTGAAATGGACTGCAACAAGATTTCCCAATCACTGCACTATTGACATTTTGAGACAGATAAATCTTTGTTCAGGGATGGCCTGTGGCTGGTAGGGTATTTAGTAGCATCACTAGCTCTTCGATGCCAGTAGCACCCCTCCCTGAGTTGTGACAGCCAGACGTGTCTCCAGACATTGCCAAATGCCACTTGGGTGCAAGTTGCAGGGAGGGCAAAATTGCTCACCTGGGAGAACTATTGGGTACACAACATAATAATCAAAGGGGCCGCCATCTTTGAATACTTGCCACTGCCAGGCTATGGGCCAGGCGTTTTACCTGTGTTGCCTCATTCAATACTCCCAGTACATCTTCCAATATCATTTGCCCAACTTTTACAGATAAGAAAGCTAAGACTCCAGGAAAGGAAACTTAGTCAAAGTCACTCAGCTAATTGATGATGTAACTGCTCTTTGATCTTGGTTTTATCTGATTCTGAAACTTCTGATTTTTGTAAGTCAACTTTATCAGATTGAAAAATGGAAGATATTTTCCACCTACAGTCATTACCTCAGTGTAGCTTGTCTTCCTTTTCTGCCTGCCACATGAATTTGCCAGGACTGTATGTACCTGTGGCCTTCCCATAGGTCATGTGATTTCACTCGACCTACTTACTTCATAGTCCCCTGGGTATTGTTGGGTTTTTCCGAGAAGGACACATAAGTTGCCTTGTTGTGCATCTCTTGTGTTGGTCTGGAACAGTGTCAATATAAGAGAACCTGTTGTGCTTACAATCTAAATAGTTTCTAGAATTTTTAAAACAAGTTATCAGAAAAGACCAAGATACTTTCTTTGATCAGGGCAGTTTCCTGGTCAGGAAAGCAGTAGTAATAGAATGGTAATTCCAGTAAAATGAAAGTAAAAGGAAATTTATAGGCTGCGGGTTTGACATTCTTCCTGGAATAGGAAGAATGAAATTTCCTTCACTAGGAGAACAGAGTGACCTGGACATCTGAGCATCACCCTGTTTGTACACAGCGACTCGAGTACTTGTAGTTTGAGATGACTTGAAGTGCTTTCAACATACCAGAGAAGCAATTTCTTAAAAGAAGATGAACATAGTGTGCTAAGCCTGTTTATGGTGGGGATATGATAAAAATGGCAGGGAAGAGAGAACGCAGGTTGAGGTTTAATCACTGCTCTCCCTTCTTAGCGGTGCTGTGACCTAGGCCAAGCCACTTTCCTCTTCTGAATGTCAGCTCCCCCATGTATCAGATGGAGCCAATAATACTTCACTCACAGGGTGGTAATAAAGAGTGTCTTAGTTCAGGCTGCTATTGCAAATTATCCTACACTGGGTTGCCTAAACACCAAATTTATCTCACACAGTTCTACAGGTTGGAAGTCTGAGGTCCGGGTGCCCATATGATTGGGTTCTTGTTGAAGGCTCTCTTCCTGGTTATGTCCTCACATGGCCTTTGCTTATTATATGCACAGAGAAAGAGAGAGAAAAATCTCCTATCCTCCTCTTTCTAATAAGGAAATTAACCACATCATCGGGGCTGTACACTCATGGCCTCATCTAAACCTAATTAATTTCCAAAGGCCTCACCTCCAAATACCATCACATTGGGGATTAGAGCTTCAATATATAAATTTTGTAGGGGAGGGACATAAACAATCTGTAGCAAAGTGGAATAAACATCAACAGTAAGCATTTATTCTCCACCCATTTTGAGGGTGAGCATTGATTGCATTTTCATGTAGTAGTAGAGGGTGGTGTTGAATCATTGCCATCCTTCCAGATATCATCCCTGAGTAGTGAAATAGATTTTAGTGAATGGTTCTCTATGATCAAGGTTGGAGTCTGTGCTAAGGATCTGTTCAGACCTAAGAAACTTCTCTATGACTCATTAACTCCAATGTTCTGCCTGTTGAATTATCTGGTCTTTGTTCTTAGATGAAATTATACCAAAGAGAAACACAGGGCACGGGGCAGGAGAGTCTGCCAAGTTTTAAATGATGCCAGGAGATTACAATATTTCCCTCATTTCCTTTTGGTGTTAGGATGGCTTTTAGAATCCCAACTCCTCTATATAGTTCAGGTCTATATTATTGATCTTACTTATACTTTTCTCCTACACTTTGTAACTTAGCTGGTCCACTGGACCATGTTTGAGGTTCTGCTTTTTCTTATTTGTTTCTTTGTTTATTGACATATTAATTCTTGTATATCATGCATGGCATGCAAAGTGTCCAATTAAAAAAAGAGCCTTTGTAACTTCCCAGAAAAAAAGGCTGTTATTAGTCAATGGTGAATCATGTAACCAATAGTCTGGAAATATAGAAACTCAGTTGTTATGAAATCTCTGGGCATAAAAGATTATGTTTCACCTACTTCCCGGACCTGAAGAACCAAATGAAGGTATTCCCTTTTAATATCATTCATCCAACATGTATTGAGTTCCTGCTTTGTGCCAAAAATGTACTGGGTATGTATTAAATAAAACAAGTAGTGCCCGCTTTGGCAGCACATATACAAAAATTGGAAGGATGCAGAGAAGATTAGCACGGCCCCTGCGCAAGGATGACATGCACATTCGTGAAGTGTTCCACATTTAAAAAAATAAATAAAACAAGTAATGATACAGTCCCTGTCCTGAAGGAGTTTAGAGTCTAACAGGGAAAAGAAACTTGTAAGTATATCCATGAGATGTAATGAATAGTATAATGGAGGTACAGGTTAGGTACTGTTATAGCAGCTTGTGAGAGGTCTTGAAGGACAAGGTGAGATTGGCTAGGGGGCCTGGTGCAGAGGACTTCTAGGAAGAAGAAATAGCTTGAACATGGGTATAGAGAGGGGTATTCATCCATGGATTTGACTAATATTTATTGATTTTGAGAAGAAGCTTGTTTTGTGGGTCAGACACTGAGTGAGGGATTTGGATACAATAATGAGCAAAGCATACCTGGTCTCTGCCTTTCAGAACATCTATCTAGTGGGTGACTGGCAGTCATCAATCATTCATTCACATGGAAAAATGGGAATTGTACCAGCATGCCCTGCTATGAAGGAGAGGTATAGGTCCCTGGGATAGTGCATAACATTTGGGTCTGACTGAGCTGGGACGTCCAGAGATGTCTTAGTCCATTTGGGCTGCTATAACAAAATACCATAAACTGGGTGGCTTATAAATAGCAGGAATTTATTTCTCACAGTTCTGGAGGCTGGGAAGTCTAAGATCAAGGTGCCAACAGATATGGTGTCTGATAATGGTATCAAAGATGGCACCTTCTCACCGTGCCCTCACATAGCGGGAGTCTTTGAAAGGGTACAGATCTCATTCAGGAGCACTCCACTCTCATGATCTAGTCGCCTCCCAAAGGCACCACCTGCTAATACCATCACACTGGGCACTGGGTTTCCACATGTCAATTTTGGCAGTGACACCCAAACATTCAAACCGTAGCAGGAAGGCTTTCCTGAGACAATGGGAATTTCCTGAGACAATGAAAACAGGTGAGTGATGGAGAGTTTGTGCCACAAACACTGGGAGAGCTGTGGGCCAGGAGAGGGCTCAGATGAGCCAAGCCTGTGTTGGAGCAAATGGCATCAGAGAGGTTGGTGTGCTCAGGGCATGGAACGAGGCAGGTGGTGTGGGAAGCATGGGGTGTGTGTGCAGAACTTAAGAGTGGTGGCGGCCAGGTCAAGGGCCTTATTGGTCAGAGCAGTGGGGACACTGAAGAGTTTTAAGCTAGAATGTCTGAGTTAGATGTGTGACTTGGACACCTTGTCAATGACCCAGAGCCTAGGAGTAGGAGTGGGGCAATTCCAGAGGCCCATCGTTGACAACCTTGTCAATCTATTGGTTCTAGGTGTCACTGACTGTCAGAGGAACGAAGCAGGCCTGCAATGTGACCAGAACGGCCAGTACCGAGCCAGCCAAAGGGACAAGGGCAGTGGAAAGGCCTTCTGTGTGGACAGCGAGGGGCAGAGGCTGCCGGGGGAAACAGAGGCCCCACTTGAGGACTCACAGTGTCTGAGTAGGTGCTGGAGGTGAAATCAGTTGCGGTTCCTGGGGAGTGGGAAGTGGTCTCAAAGGCTTTATAGAAAGGGAGAGAAACCAGAGGTACATTTGTCTCCAACTTTTATTTTAATCTGTGTAGAAATTGGAAGAACCGTTGCATGAACAAATACCCATCACCTAGATCCAAAAATTGTTAACATTTCACTCTCTTTTATTTGAATCATTTGGTATGTAAATTCCAGATATCAGGAACCCTTACTTCTAAGTACTTCAGCATGCACAAGAGGTGAAGTTTCATATGAAAAGATCTGTGGAGGCCTCCATTCTTCTAGGCAGCTTGCCTTCACTAATCTAGCCAGCACTTCTTCCTCAGTAGGACACTGTAGAGCAGCAGTCCCCAATCTTTTCGGTATCAAGGATCAGTTTTCTTTAAGACAATTTTCCCACAGACTAGGGGTATTGGGTGGGGATGGTTTCAGGATGATTCAAGCACATGACGTCTATTGTGCCTTTTATTTCTATTATTATTGCATTGTAATATATAATGAAATAATTATACAACTCACCATAATGTAGAATCAGTGAGAGCCCTGAGCTTTTTTCACTGCAACTAGATGGTCCCATCTGGGGGTGGTAGGAGACAGTGACAGATGACCAGGCATGAGACTCTCAAAGGAGTGCACAACCTGGATCCCTCGCATGCACGGTTCACAATAGGAGTTGTGCTCCTGTGAGAGTCTAATGTTGCCACCGATCTGGCAGGAGGCGGAGCTCAGGTGGTAATGTTCACTCTCCTCATGCTCACCTCCTGCTGTGGGGCCCATTTCTTAACAGGCCATGGACTGGTACCGGTCTATGGCTCAGGGGTTGGAAACTCCTGTTATAGAAGACTTGTGTGCCAGGCCTTGTTCCGTATTTTTGTTTTAAATTATACTTTAAGTTCTGGTGTACATGTGCAGATCTTGCAGGATTGTTACATAGGCATACACAAGCCATGATGGTTTGCTGCCTCCACCCCTCCCTTCACCTACATTAGGTATTTCTCCTAATGTTATTCCTCTCCAACCCCTGCTATCACTCCCCTAGCCCCCCACTCCCCAATAGACGTGTATGATGTTCCCCTCTCTGTGTCCATGTGTTCTCATCATTCAACACCCACTTATGAGTGAGAACATGCGGTGTTTGGTTTTCTGTTCTTGTGTCAGTTTGCTGAGAATAATGGCTTCCAGATTCATCCATGTCCCTGCAAAGGACATGATCTTGTCCTTTTTTTGTCTGCATGGTATTTCATGGTGTATATGTGCCACATTTTCTTTATCCAGTCTATGTTTGATGGGCATATGGGTTGGTTCCAAGTCTTTGCTGTTGTAAACAGTAATGCAATGAACATATGTGTGCATGTGTCTTTATAATAGAATGATTTATAATCCTTTGGGTATATACCCAGTAATGGGATTGCTGGGGCAAATGGTATTTCTAGTTCTAGATCCATATCTTTATCGCTGGGTGATCTAGACCAAGTTGCTCGATCCTTCTGATCCTCAGTCTCCCAGTGGCTTTCAGTCTATTTCCTGAGAATCGACATCACCTATAATGTCAACAAATATATATTGAGCTCTACCCTGTGCCACATACAGTTCCTCAGTGAGCTACTGGGTGGAAAAGTCCCAGGTGAACCATCAGATATTGTACAGTACATGGTGTGATGGGAACCAGAGGAGCAAAAGGGAACAGTATGTCCTGTGGGACCAGAACTAGTTTAATCCCAGTGGTGCCTTTACTGGCTGTGTAGTCTTAGGCAAGTCACTCACCTGCAGCAGTTTCTTCGTCCATAGCATGGAGGCATCAGTTTCAACCCTTGTAAGGGTGTTGAGTGCCTTAGCGATGGAATACCTACCAGCGGTAATAAATGTCTCAGAATAAGAAGGCTCAGAAACAGTATTTGCCGTGTTTCCCCATCTGCTGAACTTGGAGGGAGGCTGAAACAGTCTGCAAGATCCCTTAATCCTGACATCTTCTCAGTCTTTACTACTCTGTTCCACCCTTCCCTGGAACCACCTGCCTCTGCTTGAGGTCTTGTGGTTGACCTTTGCACACTTAACAAGCCAAAGCAAGTTAGTCTCTTAGTATTTCTGCGTAAGAAAAGGGTGTAACATACATGGGCTTACTGTATGCCAGACGTTTTATGTGTTTATCACATTTGCATCCAGGGCAGTCCTAAAAGGTAAATATTATTACCAATATTTTAGCTGAGGAAACAGAGGCAAAGAATGTATAAACACTTCTCTTGCTTCCATAGTTAGGATGGAATATGCCTAGAATTTGAATCGGTGTATGTCGAACTACCCAGCCTTTGTGTTCTTCATTCCGCCAATCTGTTTCCACTTAGATTCATCTGCTTCCTCAATAAACACATCCTCACACACACATATATACACGCATAGCCTACCTGGCCTCCAGGGAAGCAGGTACAGCTCATGGCATAAAGCATCAGTGAAAATCTAAGTGAAAAATTTTTCATTTTATAATTCTCAGGGCAATCATTTCCCTTCTCTAGTGAAGAGCTAACGAGTGAATGTATGCGTGTGTGTGTGTGTGCGTGTGTATGCGTGTGTGTGCGTGCGTGTGCGTGTGTGCATGTGTATGCGTGTGCACGTGTCCATGTGTGCGTGCGTGTGTGTGTGTGCGTGTGCGTGTGTGTATGCATGTGCGTGTGTGCGTGTGCATGTGTATGCGTGTGTATGTGTGCGTGCGTGTGTGTGTGCGTGTGTGTGCGTGCGTGTGTGTGTGCATATGCTTGTGTGTGCGTGTGTATGTGTGCATGTGCGTGTGTGTGCGTGTGTGTATGTGAGTGCGTGCGTGTGTGTGCTTGCGTGTGCGTGTGTATGCGTGTGTGCGCGTGTGTATGTGTGTGTGCTTGCGTGTGCGTGTGCGCGTGTGTATGTGTGCGTGTGTGTGTGCATGTGTGTGTGTATGTGTGTGCGTGTGTGTGCTTGCGTGTGCGTGTGTGTGCTTGTGTGTGTGCTTGCGTGTGCGTGTGTGTGCGTGTGTGTGTGCATGTGTGTATGCGTGTGTGTGTGTGTGTTCTTGAATAAACTGCAAATCCAATGAAAGTCTTACTTTTTCCCCAATATCCCTCCACTTGGGCAGAAGTAACAGGGGAGGTACAGCTGGCAAGTACTTTGAGAGATCAGTTAGGCAGATACTTGACAAATGAGAGACTGTGTCCTTAGAGGGGGAGCAACTTGCCCAGTGGCCCAAGTGATCACTGCCCGTCCTGGCATTTTTGTCTAAGTGCTCTGAGCTCTCTTTGCATCTTTGTCAATGGCTCGGCCTTGAGGATTGTCTACTGAAGTCTGTAGGGCATTTCATGGTGTATTCTGCCCAGTGTTCAGGGCAGAAAGAACAGTTTAATCAGTGTCACCAGAAGTACTCAGGAGTTACAGCTCAGCTTGACAACTTTGATGATGCCTCCCTGAGGCACTGGATTCTGAATAGCCTCCAGATAGAGCTTCAGCATCTTTGGCTTCTTATGCAAAGCTCTGAGCTTATGTTTCCCTTTCTGGATATGCCTGGGGATTTCTATGTTAATAAGCTAGGACCTCACAGGCATGTCAACTGTCTTTTCTCAGAATTGCCTTTGAGAGGAACTTTCTCTGGGAGTAGAATTTTCTCTCTCTCTCTCTCTCTCTCTCTCTCTATATATATATATATACTCATTGACAGAATGAACGAATTGCTCCAGTTGTCTGGGATTCTTTGAAACCATTTCCTAAAGGTCTTCCGGGAAGGGGATTCTTCCACCACCTCCATTCCTGTGGTCAATTTTACAAGCCCTGAGACTTAGGCAAGGTGTTCTACAGGGGTCAGAGGGACTTATCCTAACCCTAACTGAGTGGTCACCACATACCATTCCCTGCTATATTATTTAATCCTCACTACCAGGAAACTGAAACTCTCAGAGGTTGCAAGGTGTCTAGGGACACAGAGCTGGTGGTGGCATCAGGAGTTGAGCTGAGGGCTCACTTCACAGTTGGTGCCTCTCCCCGACTGCCTGCTGCCCCTCTCTGAAATCTCTCCTGCTGCAGCTTCCTGGCGCTCTTTTTGATCTTCTATTTCCTTTGATTACTTGCAGAGTTAGTAGAAATATTTCCACCTTGCTCACTGGAAATATTTCCAGTTCATCCTCCCTTTAACTTTAGATTCATTTTCCTAATTCTGATCTTTGTCGACCTATGCTGAAGACTTCATATACCACATCAAGTGCCATCATAATGTTCTCTCTAGGTTTCCTGGTGTCCTGATGATGTTGTTAGTCATTCATTTGCCTGTCCTTCCTTCCCTGATATCCTCCCTCCCTCTCTCTATCCATTCAATACGCAGGAAAGTGGTCTCTCTGTTACAATCCTGGGTAGTGATCAGAATATTGTCTTTGCCTTGGAAGGAGACAGGGACCTAAGTATCCACAATATACTATGCAAAACTTATGGAATATTAATATATGCTGTGCTTTAATGATAACCTTTTATGCTTTCCTTAAGACATTTATACATAGCTGCTAAGTATAAATTGGATATATGGGAAATTATACCAACAGAATGTATAAATCTGCAAACTGGCTCTGTTGGCATAATTCATCAGCAAATTGGTTCATGGATTGTTTCTGTTCTGCTTGGCCGTGAGATTCTTCACAGAATGCTGAAATGTGAAGATCTCTATCACCAAGGTGTCCCTTTTCTGAAAACCAGCAGATTCTCTAACTGAAGTGCTACATTTACTGTATTTTTGGCAGAATTTAATTAGAAACTGAAAGATCTTTCAAATTTTATTTAGTCTCCTAGAGAGTTTTGAGCATCTGGTCTGTACCAATCAAGACTTAGAGACACTGTGGTGAATGTAACATGGCATTTGCTGGACTGGAGCTGACGGTCTCTACAAATGAGCTACTAAGGAATATAAAATTTAAAAGAGAGAGAAGGAGATGAGATGAGGGGCTGAGTGTGGGCAGAGAACATGAAATTGACAACTGTAGCAATTAATGTGGATAGGCCAGTTTGTCAAATCAGAATTATTTTCTCTATCACCACTTTAGAAGGCTTAGAGCATATCATGTATTTTATATAAAGGCTCACTCCTCTCAACCCTATCCCAAAGGAATAAACATTTTTTCTGCACTTATCATGAAAGCTGAGAAAAATTGCTTTGGATGGCCTTGAATTTATTGGCTTGATGAAAACCAATCTAGATATAAGTCTTTTGTATAAAGCAATGGATGTACATAATTAGTGCCTGGGTATATGTTTATAATTATGTTTCCCAGAAAACAGATACTCATGTGCCTTTGGGGTTGTACATAAGCCTTTCTTTTTGACAGTTACCTGTAAGACTGCAAGATATTGACACTCTTGGGAATCTGTGGCTTGGAAGATAAATCTCATTCCTTGAGTGTTACCCTTCATGCTTTCTTTTTTGCTTGGTAAAGAATGAGTTCCAAACCTCATAGCCTTGCAAAATTATATTTCTTCCTCCTCACTTGTCTAGTTTTATGAGTTTGTGGCTATGTTATTCCTATCAAATGGAACTCAAGTATGTCGAAGGTAGTAGCTAGGAAAACAGATGCTAATAAATCACTTAAACAATCGTAAAAATGCCTGAGCCACGTGACACATCTTCAGATTTACATAAATACATATGCACATGTCTTTTAACAGATAACTTACCTCATTTCAGAAAGAATTCACGTTGCTTTATAGAAAGAAAATGCCAGTAAAATAATTATATGATGTAATTAGCACTCAGGGATAGGAACAGAGAAATGTAAGTTTAGATAGAAAATCAATGTTAATGAGAAAACATGAGTTGTAAGGACTAACATATTAAGTTTCTGCCTCACTTCATGACAATGAGGTAGAAGCAGGGAGAACTGGTAAGTTGTAGCTCTCAGTATTAGATGTGGGGCAGGATGTTGGAGCTACCTCAGGAAGGAATTGCTTTCCCTGGGACATTTGTGCTACCAAGAGCTACGAATGGGTAGTGACTTCTTGACCTAACAGCCTTTAGGGCTTCTCTGCACATGCCCTATATCCTTCTGAGTCATATTTACTAACTCTGCATTATTTTTAGTGATGCAGAAATTTGAGAAGACTCCAGAATCAAAGGTCGTCTTCGATGCCAGTGCTCCTGTGGCTGTCAGATCCAAAGTTCCCGATTCTGAGTTCCCCGTGATGCAGTGTTTGACAGGTGAGGAGCGGCGGGGAGATGTGCATTCAGAGTAGGTGTGGAAGTAAGCTCTGCTGAGAGTTGTCAAGACAAACCAAACCAAACCATTCAAACTATGATTTAAAAGCACACTTTATTAAAAACACTCAGTGAATTGATTTCCAGAATGTATATTCAATTCATAATTTCACTGCAGAGTTGAGAGTGTATCTACTGTATGCTATCCACATGGCACATGTTAAGGAGTAGAAATGAACAAAATTAGTTTGGCATGGAGCTTTGCATCCAGTCCAGGATATGTATCTCCCTATTTAACAATAGGGCCAGAGAGGTGGTAATAAAAGCCGGTATTCATTGAGAATGTGTGTTTACAAGGATTAACTCACAATCCCAAAGCTACCCATAGAGTAGCCATTGCTATCCTGAGTTACAGAAGAGAAAAATCAAGCTTTAGGAGTTTAAGTGACTTGCTCAATGACACAGAGTCAGCAAGTCCAGGGCTCAAATTCAGATCCAAAGGAACATGTCAAAGCCTGCAATCTTTTTTTGTTTTAAATGATTTAATCTTTGGAGTGCACTAAAATCTCAGACTTTACCACTATACAATTCATCCGCATAACTCAAAACCACTTTTACCCTAAAAGCTATTGAAATAAAAAATACTAAAAAATAATCTTATCTTTGTCTTTAGATTTAGCAGGTGCACATGCAGGTTTGTTGTATGTATGGGTATATGGTATGCTGCTGAAGTTTGGGGTCCGACTGAATCCATCACCCAGGTAGTGAATGTAGTCCCAGTAGTCAGTTTTACAAACCTGTCCTCCTGTCTACATTCCCACCCCCAGGAGTCCCCAGTGTCTATCTTTGCCATTTTAACTACTGCCTTATGCCTCCCTCAGTAACCTCATGTGACTTAGTTATTAAGTAATTAACCCTCTGAGTGTGACTCTGTTTCGGATATCAGCTTTGGTTATGGTGAGCACACTCTTGTTTGTTTCATAAACACAGTGCAAGGCATGAAGTAGAAGCTAAAGAAAATGTTTGTAGAATGAGAGATACTAACAGGAATGGAGGGACAAAACCAAGTGGTCAAAAATGTGGATGTGAGGAACCAGCAGGACAGCAGACACAAAGGACAGCTTTGATAGTTACTTGTTTTGACAAGGACCATCATATACCTGCTCATGTGTGCACACGCTGTGACACAGCTTAAGTTAGAAGGGCAAACTAGTGAGATGGGAAGCAAAAGAGGGTGCAGAATTTTAGGGAGTGAGGCAAGCATGGATAACATGTGCCTCTGTTTGTGTCCAGAGATGGTTTAGCTAACTGGGCCACTGAGTTCAGTGTCTAAAATATGCTGAAAGGAAACAGACAACAGTTTGAGAAAGAAAGCCACATCAGGATGTCTAGCAAGAGGCCATCCTATCACACAAACGAGAGTAGGGCAATGCAGCTTGAGTAGAGGTCCAGGCGTTCAGCACTGTGTTAGTCTGCTTAGGCTGCTGGAACAAAATACCCTACACTATGGGGCATAAACAACAAAATGGCTTTTCTCCTAATTCTGGAGGCTGGAAGTCCAGGGTCAAGGTATTGTCAGGACTGCTTTCTTCTGAGGCCCCTCTCCTGGGCTTGTAGATGACTCACTTCTCCCTGTGACTTTGCTTGGTCTTCCCTATGTATGTGTCTGTAGCCTAATCTTTATTTCTCATAAGAACACCAGTCCTATTGGCATATAACCGCCAATATTATATACTTAATTGCCTCTTTGAAGACCCTAACTCCAAATGCGGTCACATCCTGAGGTTCTGGGGTGGACTACATGATATGAATTTTGAGTGTGAAACATAATTCAGCCCACAATGAAAAATCAGGACAGTTTTACAGTTGGTCAAAGGGCCATTGAAGGGGTAGGAAAAGCCACTTAGTCAGTGAAGACATAGATATCATTGTCGGCGAGGCAAGGAGAGACTGGTAAGAAAACCAAGTTATCTAGAGAACCGAACAGCATGATAGGGAATGGGAGGGAAATGCGGGTGAGTGGGAGCATGAGGGGAAGCTGTGATTGGGGCCATGGTAGGAGCCCTGGTTCTAGGTCAGCACTTAAACAACCAGATTCTGTGGTGCTCATCCTTCCAACACTGATCAAGAACTTTGTTTTCTTGACTGAATTTGTCCCTGAGCCTGAAGCAGGATCTGCTTGCAGTGAGGATTAGGTTATGTCAGTTAGGAAACAGGAGAACTTTAGAGCCATTACCCAGCAGACCAATAAGAATTATTCTCTTTGGAGCTGGATGCAGTGGCTCACATGCGTAATCCCAGCACTTTGGGAGGCCGAGACAGGTGGTGAAACCCCATTTCTATGAAAAAATAAAAATAATACAAAAATTAGTCAGGTATGCTGGTGTGTGCCTGTAATCCCAGCTCCTTGAGAGGCTAAGGTAAGAAGATGGGTTGAGCCTAGGAGGCAGAGGTTGCAGTGAGCCAAGATCACGCGGATGTACTCTAGACTGAGCAACAGAGCCAGACCCTGTCTCAAAAAAAATATTTTAAAAAAGAATTACTTTGTGTGTATGTGTGTGTGTGTGTGGGAGTTCTGAATGAGCCAGGCAGTTTGTGGGTAAAATGATATCATTGACCTCTCAGTGCCTCGTTCATAAAGACATTACAGTCGTACAATGCTGAGATGAAAATCAGGAGATGATACAAACAGCCGGAAGACCACCTTTGCACCCAAGATGTCACCTGATTATGCAGTTTGTGAGATGTCCTGTTAGAAAAAGGAAGACATCTCCGTTCCAGATACAAGAAGCTTTCCCTTGTCCTTCATCTGGGCAAATGCAGTGTCAGGGGGGCGGGCTCAGGAATTGGATTGCAAAGGTATTCAAGTTACTGCTTTGCCCCCATCAGCCACAGACTGTGCCAAGTCTTAGTCTTGGTGTTCCCTTCTCTAAATTGACCTCTTACCTAATCCAAGAATCAGTATTAATAATATATGTGAAAGTGCTTTGAAATGATAAATATGTAAGTTTAAGGTTTTTCTCCTTAATTTATATTTTCTACCAAAACCTCCTATTCCTGATAAATCATTAATTGCCATCATTATTCATGAATATTACACAGTTGAATGCTTCATGCCTATCATCCAGTGTCCACAAAAAGCAGCTGTGGTCCCTGCCCTCATTAAGCACATGGCCTCCTATCATCTGGAGAGAGCACTCACTGTGGGAAGTGGGGATTCTATTCTATCATTCAATCCCCTACAGGACTGCTGTCTCCTCCTGATGGAAATGGCACATAGCCTTGAACAAAGTTGTGATCTCAACGGATATCTAGGCTTGGATCCTCATAGGACAGAAGCAATTAAAATATAAAAAAGGCATAATTTAGGCAGATACAGCTTAGTAACTATACAAGGTCTGAAGTCTGACTACTTAGATTGAAATCCTAGCTCTGCTGCTTGGTAGCTTTGTGACCTCAGTAAGTACCTAAACTGAGCTGTGCTTCAGCTCTTTATCTGTAAGATTGGGGATCTGTGATTCAGTAACACAAAAAACACTTCATACTGCATGAGGTTCATGGTATGTACTTAATAAATGTGTGCTTATATGTGTGCTTGTGGGTATATATTGGGGGTGTGTGTATTTGGGTGTATATGTGTGTATTGGAGGTGTGTGCATTTGAATGCACATTTGTATCTGTGTGTGTCTTTGAGTATATTTGTGTGTGTGTATTTGGGTGTATATGTATGTATGTGAGTGTATATATGCTTGTGTGTGTATTTGTGTGTGTGTGTGGGTGTTTATTTGGAGGTATGCGTTTATTTGGGTGTATATTTGTGTGTGTGTGTTTGGAGCTGTGTGTGTGTGTGCTTGTGTGTATTTGTCTATTCTGTGTGTGGGTGGTTTGTGTGTGTATTTGGTTGTATGTTTTTTTGTGTGTGTTTGATGCTGTGTGTATTTAGGTGTATATTTGTGTGTGCTTGGAGGTGTGTGTGTGCATGCGTGTGGTTATGTGGGTATTTGGAGGTGAGTGTATGTATTTGTGCACCCATGTATTTGTGTGTGCAGTGTGTGTGTATGTGTGTGTATGTGTGTGTGTGTGTTTGGGCATGTGAGGTAGGAACAGGGGCAGGGGAGGTGTCTGCTCTGTCCTCAGCATCCTCCCCAGTACGGCCAGGTGAGTAACCATCTCATGATGCTTGCAGATTGTGCAGAGGATGAGACCTGCGGCTTCCTCACCATGTCCATGATGGAGCCAGAGGTTTCCTGTGATTTCTATGCTTGGACAAGTGACAATGTCGCCTGCATGACTTCTGAGCAGGTGAGGTGGGCCAGCCCAATGGTGGTTCTGCCCCGCATCCACTCTAGGCCAGACATGCTCTGAGGAATGGGGTGGCAGCCTGGCCAGGTGATGGAATGAAGTTGTCAAGAGCTGATCCTCTGTCACCTCCATTTCTTCAAAGTGATGAGACTTGGGGGACTTGAAGCTGCGATAGGCCAGGGACAGACCCAAGATGGAGCTGGAGTAAGGGGTGTCTGCCTGAACTATGTAGCTTCCTGATGAGTCAGTCAGGAGAGAACTGCCTGCTCTATCAGGCAGCATGGGCCAGATGTGAGAGGGCCCTAAACACCACTGTCCCTCAGGGTCCCAGACCCCAGCATGCCTACCCATTGTAGAAATATAACATAATTGTGGTTGGCCAGGCACGGTGGCTCACATCTGTAATCCCAGCACTTTGGGAGGCCGAGGCAGGTGAATCACTTGAGGTCAGGAGGTCGAGACCAGCCTGGCCAACATGGAAAAACCCTGTCTCTACTAAAAAAACACACACAAAATTAGTTGGGTATGGTGGATGTTGCTTGTAATCCTAGCTACTGGGGAGGCTATGGCAGGAGAATCACTTAAATTTGGGAGTTGGAGGTTACAGTGAGCCAAGATTGCGCCACTGCACTCCAGCTTGAGCTGCAGAGCAGAGACTCCATGTCAAAACAGAAAACAAACAAACAAACCGTAATTGTGGTTTAAAAAGAAAAAAAGTTAAATATTAGAATCACATAAGATTGCTGTTCTGTTAGTCAAAGTTTGTAGAGTACTGGCAATTTCATGTGGTACCATCAAATTAGGATAATTAGCACCTGTCCTCCTCAGTGAAAAGCATGAGTCTCCTGTCTCCTAATTTCCTAATTCATAAACATATGCCTATCACCTTTTTACTCCTGGTTTCTTATGGATTCTTCCAAATGCACAACATTTCTGTGCATTTATAATGGTGTTTTTATTTGATTGTGTGCTATTTTTATAATAGATATTCTTTTCTACCTTGATTTTCTCATGATGTTTGTCTTTCTCTATATAGAGCCTTGAAAAATAAGCTTCTTATTCTCATTGGAGCATATGAATCTATTTAATGGATGTGCATAATTTACTTGGTGTTCCCTCAGTGGAGGTCATGGAGATGTGCAGCGGCTTTGCAATGTCACCCACGCTGGTGCATTTCATTTCCCTTTACCCATGTGCTTGCATGTGAGAGTGTCTCCATAAGTGACGCTGCAGAAGGGCATGGAGGGTGGATCTTGAATTTCAGGGCTCTTGAGCTGGGTTCTGTAGCTGCAAGATATAGGGAAGAGGCAGGAAAGGGTCTTGGGTTCAAATCCCAGCTCTGCTACTTGCTTGTTTCTATTTAGTGCTTTGGAGCCTCAGATTTCCCCTATGTTATAGGTCTAATAATGGCAGCCATGTCACTGGATTGTTGTGAGGATTGAATGAGGTCCTTCATGAAAAGGCTCACTGAAGAGTTTGATCGCAAAATACACTCTTATTGACCATTGTTACAATGATCATTGTTGCTGCTAATATTATCATTCCCCCATCAGGTCTGCAGGAAATTCCATCTCAACCATTATTAAGGCTTCTCTCCAGGGCTCTGGGCTCTTGGTCCTAAGGTGTTGGGGTGGGGTGATGATGGGAGGGTCTTGGTCCTTGGTCATTAGTGGTTAGCCACACTACCCAATGCCAGGGCCCAAAGTCCTCCTCAATTCCTCTGCTTCTGGCCAGGCTTAGGGTATGAAGAGGGCTCTACCAGCGCTGGAGCCTTAGCATGTTGGATTTAGCCCCCTCAGGTCCATCTGACATCTTGTCCCCTGCCTCACCTGGCATAGCCACAGAAGGGCAAGTTCTCCTGCTACACAGGACCTCATCTTGAGTTCTTATCAGGTCTGTAGGAATCTCTTCTTTCTTTTTGCTCTCCAAGCCCTTCCTCCTCTTTCTGCAAAGCAAGAAGAGCTGTTGCCTTCAAACAGCCTTGCTATAGCCCCTGTCCTCCAAAAATTCCCACAGGAAACTCAAAATGTGGCAACCTTGAGGCAGGGAGGCAAAATACTGGGAACAAAATACACAGGTTTATCCTACATCATCCACATAGCAAGACTGCTGAAAATAAGTCAGGAAGAGAGATCAGAGAAGGCTGAGAATGACAAGAGCTCTGGAAGTCTGACCTCACTCACCATCTCCAAACTTAAGAACTTTCTTCATGATCTTCCCTGGATAGAAACTAGGGGTCTCTCAGGTCTTTCATAGCCAGCTCCTGCCTCTCTGTGCTCTACCATCCTCCTCCCTCATAACTGAAGTCCAAAAATTACTGAACCTAGTTCTGAAAACACTCATGAAATTCTTGGTCTCTGTGTCTGCTGTTTCCTCTGCTTAAACTCAACCCTCCCTTGTTTCCATTTGGCAAACTCTTATTCATACATCAGAACCTCACCCAGATTCACTTTTTCTGGGAGACTTTTCTAGGTTCTCTTTCTCAGTAGAATCAATTGCTCCTTCCTCTCTAACTACCTCTTCTCTAATTATATGTATCTTCGCAGTTAACACTCTGGGCTTCAAGTTATTGCTTAAATGTCTATCTCCTCCAATAGACCAGGAGAAACTAACTTACCTTTGCAGCCTCCATGCCTAACCATGGTTAGGGTTGGATAAATGTTAGTTGGGTTGAATTATTAAACATCGCAGGATGATAATGAAGCACCTTTCTGTCTCTAGAAACAAGATGCATTGGGGAACTCAAAGGCCACCAGCTTTGGAAGTCTTCGCTGCCAGGTGAAAGTGAGGAGTCGTGGTCAAGATTCTCCAGCAGTGTATTTGAAAAAGGGTAGGTTGGTCGGGCTGGTTGGCTTAGGGCGGCAGTGGCTTCACATTGTCATATTTGGAGCTGGTTTCCAGCAGGTGCATGTGGGGAAGGGCCGGACTGTCCCCCTCCCCACTCTACACCCTCAGCCTGGCCTCTCCAAGCTCCATCCTTCAGCAGACCCAGCACAGTACACTCCGCAAGCAGGTACTGATCTCCCCTGTGACTACAAAGGGATTTCCACATCATTCTCCTTTGTGCCATCAGACTTGATCTCATTGCAATCTGGTAGAGATTGGGAGTCTCATTCTGCAGGCACAGCTGAGTTGCAAAGTGGATGCAAAGCCACTAAGTGAAGGATCTTGGCAGAACCTGCCGAGTTCAGCCCATGCTGTCAGGAAGGCCCATGTGGCCCGTGAGGCAGGGCAAGCCGCTTGCAGGGGCCTGGGCACTGGGCTCTCTGCAGCCGCTCCTCCCAGGCTTCCTGATTCATGGAGCTTCTCCTTCTTCTCACTTTAATCTCTACCCTCCCAGGACATTTTCACGTTTTCCTCCCAGCAAACCCAGGCCCTGTAAGGTGTAGACCCTGAGTCAGTAAATTGGTGTCAAGCCAAGATCCAGCCCTTTTTTTATTTTTTGAGGTAGAGTTTTGCTCTTGTTGCCCAGGCTGGAGTGCAATGGTGCAATCTTGGCTTACCACAACCTCTGCCTCCCAGGTTCAAGCTATTCTCCTGCCTCAGCCTCTCAAGTAGCAGGGATTACAGGCATGTGCCAGCACGCCCAGCTAATTTTGTGCTTTTAGTAGAGACAGGGTTTCTCCATTTTGATCAGGCTGGTCTCAAACTCCTGACCTCAGGTAATCTGCCTGCCTCAGCCTCCCAAAGTGCTGGGATTACAGGCATGAGCCACCATGCCCGGCTGAGATCCAGCCTTTCTAATCAACTCTTAATGGGTCCCTGTGCTACTGGTCTGGCGACCACACTTGGAGTAGCAAACTTTATAGTATTGTACAGTTTACAGCTTCCTTTCTCATCCATCTTTTCATTTCACACTCATGGAAACTTTTGGAGAAAGGCACAAAGGGGATCCCAATCCCCATGGACACATGCGGAAGTGCTCTAGGCTGCCACTGGCACATGGGAGAGGCAGCAGCTCTTTCCCTGGAATCCTGGAGCCTGCTCTTTTCTGCCCTGCCCTGCTCACCTCCAGCCTCCCCTCCAGCAGGGTAGAGAGGAAACATGCCAGCAAGGCAGGCCGTGAGCTCTGAGCCATGGTCAGGTTCTGCCTTGCGCCCTGTGGCTCCTTCACAGCTGTTAAGGGCTTCAGAGTGAGGGAGGACAGTGGGGCCACCTGCCTGTGTGTGGCTCCTTCACAGCTGTTAAGGCTTCAGAGTGAGGGAGGACAGTGGGGCCACCTGCCTGTGTGTGGCTCCTTCATAGCTGTTAAGGGCTTCGGGCTCGAGGGAGGACGGTGGGGCCCGCCCACCTGCGTGGATCCCCTGCTCTGCCACATAGGAGCTGCATGATCGTGAGCCTATTCCTTGACATCCTAGGCTTCAATTTCTCCTTTGTAAAACAGGAGTCAGAGTGGACCAAGGTCATTAGCAGGTTGAAATGAGGTGACAATGTGTGAAGCTGTTAGGACAGGACTGGGCTCACGAGGAAAGCCGAGCAAGTGTCAAACATTTCTGTATTCATCTACATTCCTGCTAAAATGTTTCCTGAGGGTCCGAGGCCATGGCTGTGCACCAGATGAGAGCCAAAGGGGGCTGGACCTGGGACATGGGGGTTGGGAGACGGGGAGTGTAGGTTCACTCTCTGAGGTTCGTAACTCAGGGAAAGTTGCTTGGGGCTTCTAGCAGCTTCAGACTTGTGTCTGGAAAAGCAGCAAGTGAAGATGCCACAGCCTAGGCCCAAAGCGGCCCTGACCTCAGTAGCAATCGCCAGCCCTCAGCAGGGACAAGTGTTTGTGTTTTTTTCCCTCTGGTCCTTCTTTCACCTAATGCCTCCATCCCCGCTTCACAGAGTTTGCCTGGGAGCTTGGAGTCTGGCAGAGCTCGGATCTCTCTAACTATGATCAGGGTCACTAGGATTTCTGCCACAATCTTTATTCCAGTTATTTTTACTGTCTTTTCTTTTCTCTACTTTTTTCTTCTTTTCTTTTCTTGAGACAGAGTCTCACTGTGTTGCCCAGGATGGAGTGCAGTGGTACAATCTCAGCTCACTGCCACCTCTGCCTCCCCCCATGAGTGGCTGAGACTACAGACGGGCGCCACCACATCCCAGCTAATTTTTATGTTTTTGGTAAAGACTGGGTTTCACCATGTTGGCCAGGATGGTCTCAATCTTCTGACCTCGTGATCCACCCGCCTCGGCGTCCAAAGTGTTGGGATTACAGGCATGAGCCACTGCACCCAGGTTTCTTTTTAAATAACAAAACATAGGGATTGTTTTCTAAAAATAAAAATCAAAATAGAACAGTAACCCCTACCAAAAATGTCCTTTAAAATAATAACATACCGTTTTATGACATTTTTCAAACTGCAATTGTATTTCTGTTTAGGTGTTTGTTACTTTTTTTTTTCAACATCACACAGAAAGTTGTAGTGTTTGTTATTTTTATTTTTCCTCCTTGTCTCTTGAAAGTTTATACTTCGGGGGAAAATTCCTTGTTGCCAAACTAAATCAAGGGCAGAACTATGTTTTGTTTTTTTGGTTTGTTTTGCTTTTTGGCTTACAGCAAAAGATGCACCAGGCAGCCATTCTAGCCCTGGGTGGAATGGAGGAGGAGGAGGAGGAGGAGGAGGAGAAGGAAGAGGAGGAAGAGGAGGAGGAGAAGGAGGAGGAAGAGGAGGAAGAGGCGGAGGAAGAGGAGGAAGAGAAGGAGGAAGAGGAGGAGGAGGAAGAGGAGGAGGAGGAGGAGGAGGAGGAGGAGGAGGAGGAGGAGGAATAAGCTGGGTCTGGCTTTCAACTCCCACCTCCCTCTTCCTGGCTCTGTCTCTGATCAGAATCAACTTTTTAATTTCACTTGAAACTCAGTTTCTCTTCTGTAAAATGGGATTATGTTGCAACTGAGGAGGAAAGGACACCATTTCTGAAAGTCACGCACACACGTCCTCAGCTCCCAGTAGGTAGTTAATCATGTCCGTTCCCATCCCTGACCTTTAGTAACCTGGAAGGTGAAACTAAAGAAAGGGTCAGAGTCTCAGAGCTTGATCTGTTACCCAGTACCATCTGCTGCCTACACCCACTTAACATCTGTGGTGTTCAACTTGGGGGATGAGCTGTGGGGTCTTTCAGAATCAAAGGATGTCAGTGCCCAACAGTTGTTTAGGGATTGTCTAGCCAAACCCCTCATCTCACAGATGAGGTCTAGGAAAAGGAACCATTTTACTACACGAGACATCAAAATGGAACCTCCCATGAGTCTGAAAGTCCTTTCTGGCCTGCTTCATTGTCTAGGCCTCTCCCATTGCATGGGGCAGCTCAGCATTGGCACTGCCATAAATAGTTACGAGAACTCACGCTGCAATAAGCACTTTTGTAGTCACTGTGGATGCGTTGGTGAGCAAAACAGAATCACTGATTGATAGAGGAACTGACCCAGCAATAAGATCAATTCAGAGGGTGGTAAGTGCTTGGATGAAAACAAAGCAGGATGGGGAGGTAAAGATGGGTATGAGCTGCTTCAGGTGGTCTGAGAAGGAATCACGAGGAGGGGACATTGCAACTGAGATCTAAAGGATGAAAAGCAGCCACCATGCTAAGTTCTCAGGGTAGGTGGTCCTCTCTGCCACCTGCCCTATGTGGAAGATACAAAGGTGAGCTGAGATGTGTCCTGGACTCCAGAGTAGCACCGTCCAATGGAACCTGTGGCAGTGATGGAAATGGTCTACAAATCTGTGCTGTTCACTAGTCACTCATGACTACTGAGCATTTGGAAGGTGGCTGTCACAGCATTAACTTTGATTAACTGACAGTGATTTTTAAATAGTCACATAAGGCTATGATTATGGCATCAAACATTGGAGAATCACATGCTGGTAGGGGAGGCTCACTCTCTCAAGTAGCTTAAATACAGAGAGAGGGACAGTGGAGGCTTTAGTACAGGCACAAATGGAACGTATGAGAGATCAAGGGAGAGAGAGATTAATTCTAACTGTACAAATGCAGAGATGTATCCTTCTAATTCAGCTGGGCTTTGGTGAAGAATGGATTTGTCTGGCATAGTTGAAGGCATTCCAGGAAGAAGGGGTGGAGTGAGCCAATGCTTGGATGGAGAAGATGCTGGCTTTTTGGAGATGTGTAAAACATCTGCTAAGCATAAGCTAAGTGGCAGGCTTGTTGTTCAGCCCTTTTAGATACATGGTGTTTTTTGGTTTATTTTTCTGATATGGAGTCTCACCCTGTTGTCTATATTAGAGTGCAGTGGCAGGATCTTGGCTCACTGCAACCTCTATCTCCCAGGTTCAAGCGATTCTCCTGCTTCCACCTCCTGAGTAGCTGGGACTACAGGCACACGTCACCATGCTTGGCAAATTTTTGTATTGTTAGTAGAGACAGGGTTTCACCATGTTGGCCAGGCTGGTCTTGAACTCCTGACCTCAGGTGATCCACCCACCTCTGCCTCCTAAAGCGCTAGAATTACAGGTGTGAGCCACTGCACCTGGCCCCAGTCTGTGTTATTTTGTCTGCTCAATGTCCATGAATATTACATATTATAATCCTCATTGTACAGGGAGGCTTGGGAGGCTGAGAATCCAAGGAATTAGGAATTTGCTTGGCAGGGTGCCCTCAGATCTGTCTGATCTGAAATTTGTGCTCTTGGGTCTCACACTGAAAACCTCCCTATGACCCCCAGGTGTGTGAGTTGGATAAGACGTGGTGATCTGCAAGGCTGACAGAAGGTCAGTGTGGTGAAGGGTGCAGGCCCTGGTGTCCCATCTACCACCCACTGGCTGTGTGAACCTGAGCAAGACAGTTCGCATGTTCAGACTTGTCCTTAAATGGAAAAAAGGCATAAGAATGGGCAAACATTTAGGCTATATTGCTCTCTCTATCTATCCCTACAAAATCTCATGTTTGCAAAATGGTGTTCTAAAATTAATAGGGCTGATTTGAAAACTAGAGTTAGGGACAGGAAACCCAAACCATGCCGCTTTTAGGTAGATGAATGGAAAAGAACAATAACAATTCTACTTAAAAATGCTAGAACAGTTTTTAAAAAGATGTGTTGAATTTATACTAAAGAAATGCTTCAGCCAGGTACGACGGCTCATGCGTGTAATCCCAGCACTTTGGAAGGCCAAGGTGGGCAGATTACGAGGTCAGGAATTCAAGAACAGCCTGATCAATATGGTGAAACCCTGTCTCTACTGAAAATATAAAAAATAGCCAGGTTGTGGGCCCTGTAATCCAAGTTACTCAGGAGGCTGAGGCAGGAGAACTGCTTGAACCCGGGAGGTAGAGATTGCAGTAAGCCGAGATTGCACCACTGTACTCCAGCCTGGGTGACATAGTGAGAATCTATTTCAAAAAAAGAAAAAAAGAAAAAGGAAATGCTTCTGTAAATGTAAAAGGACACCTTAGCTTGATGGGGAGGACATAAGGAAGGGTTGAAGCTGCTGAATTCTGGAGACAATGGCTAGTCGCAAAAAGGGAAGGGAAAACTCTGCAACTGTCACTTTGAAGACAGAGCCCCTGAGTGGGGCCAGTCCCAGGCCAGAGGAGGAATGTGGGGTCACGGTGCTGTGTACAGTGCTGAGTTCTTGCAGTTTGCCCCATTCAGCTGCATCTGTCTACACAGCGTTCCTTTGATGATGTTTGGTGGCACAGGCAATGACATGCTGAGAAAACTAGGTAGAGCAAGCAATGTGACTGCAGCATTACAGTGGCCAAGCTTTTCTACCATGTGTTCAAACTAATTGGTGTGACAGAAACACATGGGATAGCAGGGCAGGGCAGTGGAAATTAAATGAAACCATGTAGGTAGCGCATGTGGCACAGTGTCTGTGTATACATTTACAGCTCAAAACATTTCTGCTGATAATAACAAACATAATAATATATGGCCATTTTCTACACATAGCCTTTGGAACCTTGAAGGCATGATGGGCATTTATCCCGATATCCCAGGTTTGGGGCCATGGCCTTGGCTGGCCCCACCCTCCTCATGCATGGGCACATCCAGAAGCTTTGTGGCACAGAGAACATCTCATCTTGGCCCACAGGCTGCCTTGAGCACAGTTGCAGCTAAGTCAACAAACTGTTCTATGAGATCAGCAAACTCTGTCCAAGTCTGCCATGTTTTGAGGTCTTTTAAAACTTTGTTCTGTGTTTTCCCCAGGCCAAGGATACACCACAACACTGCAGAAAAGCTTTGAACCTACTGGTTTCCAAAATACGCTTTCTGGATTGTACAACCCTGTTGTGATCTCAAGAGCCAGTCTGACCGATGCTCACCTCTTCTGCCTTCTTGCGTGTGACCATGATCTGTGTTGTGATGGCTTCATCCTCACACAGGTCCAAGGAGGTAATGCTGGCGGTGAGGGCCAGGGCCTAACGAGGGATGGGGAACACGTAAGGATGCAGAAGCAAGACACACAACGTGGAGCTGCATGGGGAGTACAGTGAGAGTGCCTACACCCAAACAGAAGGCAATAGTCAAGTACATAATACACACACGATACTCACATTTATATTCCACACCTTGCACACTGTGCTGGCCCCTTCATGCTGTAGGACTGGTTTACTCCTCACTGCTGTTTTTAGGGGGCATTTTGCAAGCTCCATTTTACATACTGAGAGACCAAGCCTCGGATAATTTAAATCATTTGCTCATGGTCAGACACATTGCAAAGTTATAGAGCCAGGATTTGATCCAAAGTATGTCTTCCACAGCACCTTACTGTCACCTGTGAAGCCTGGACTGGACATATGTGGTTGAAACATGTGTTAGCTCATTGCTATTTCCCATCATTCATTGAACAATTGAGTGCCTACTGCATACCAGGTCCTGTACTCAATGTGCCTATCATTTTCAATAGTATCTCAGCAGTGGGGCTGCATGTCTGTCTATGGAAATCAACTCATGGACTCAGCAGTGTAGCCTAGTGGCTGGGAAGGGACTTTGGTTGTATGGACCTGGATTCTAGTCCCTGCTGTCACTTTCTGGTTGTGTTGGACAAGCAATCTTGGACAAGTTGCTTAAATAAAGTTGTACTTCCATTGTTTATAACATAGACATAATGATACTCCCTATTGGACTAATCATTATAAAGATGATGAGTGCAAAATACTGCATATAAGTTTGGCTCCTGGTGTACCATTGATTGTCTAACAGGGACTTAACTGTTTTATATAAAAGTCAACCCTATTTCTCATTAGCAGCATCAAACTATAACTGTTTTACGTGAAGTACAATCCTATTTCTCTTTAACAGTAACAAACGGTGACTGTTTTATGTGAAAACCAACCCTATTTCTCCTTAGCAGCATCACCTTGTAAGCGACTATGTGACTGGTCACTTTAAATCTATGAAAAATTCTAATTAGAAAAACTGGAAATAATCTAATGTACCTTGTTATGGTTCTCACCTAAGTCAACAGGGGACTCTAATTGGTCACCATGTACGTGCAATTGAATGTGCTGTGCATTAGGAACGGATAAAAAAGACTTGGGGTCTGGTGGGCGAGGCAGTGTGCACCGTGAAAGGGAAATGACCTTTACTAACTTACTCATCCCTGCTGGCATTCAGCAAACACGTTTGGAGCACTACTCGGTGTCGGGCTCGAGAACTAGGCAGTGTGCAATGCAAGTGCCCAGTGAAGTAGAGATGTAGAAGCCTTGCAGTGTGAAGGAAGGGGTTATCAAGGGGATGGTCAGGGAAGGCTTCCTGGAAGAAGAGGAACTTTGTGGGGTGAGCAGTATTTAGATGACAGGGTAGGGGGATTTGGTTCAGAGTGGGTGTCCTTGTGAGCTGAGCAAGAGACAGAGAGACTCCAGCTTTTCTGAAGACTATTAACTGAGACATGGAGCTGATCAAGAAGCAGGTGTTTTTTTGGTTTTACCTTCAGGGCTGTCACTGCCTCTAACATCTACATGATATCTCCACTAGGCTCAGGGTAGAGGGTGTCTCCTTCTGAGGAGGACTAGCTTTGCCTCCTGTGTACAAGAGCCTCTGGTCTTACCTTGGCAGGGCCATGCATGACATAATTTAGATGTTTGTCCCTCCTTATCTCAGGTTGAAATGTGATCCCCGCTGTTTGAGGTGAGGCCTAGTGGGAGGTGTTAAGTAACAGGTGTAGATCTGTCGTGAATGATTTGGTGCTGTCCCTGTGACAGTGAGTGAGTTTTTCTTGTAAGATTCTTAAAAGAGCAGGGAAGAAGAGATGGTATCCTGGGCTAGGGCCATAGCAGTAGAAAAAAGGAAAAGAAGACAGATTCAAAGCATCCTTAGCAGGCAAATTCAACAGGACTTTGAATATGGGGGTTGAGGAAGAGGTGTCAATGATTATTATTGGGTAACTAGCTTGCTCACCTGTGTGGCAAAGAATAAAAGCGATCAGATGTCCAATCTGGCAATGGGAGAGGGAGATTTAGGAAGGTCATGAGTCCATGTGGGGTATCCTAAGTTTGAAGTGACTTTGAGACATTCACAAAATGTCGGCTGAGTTTTTAGAGGCAAAGATCCAGAGCTCAGGAGGGAAGTGTGGGCGGGAGATATAAATGTGTGGATTACAGTTTTGAGACAATATCAAAGTTATGAGTATGGATAGGATTTTCTAGGAGGAGGGTGCAGAATGAGGAAATAAAGGGGGATTGAGCCCATTTTGATGAGCAGCTGTGTAACAGGTAGAGAATCTGCAAAGAGATGGAGAAGGAGCAGCCAGAGAGGGAAGAGGCCAACGAGGATAGTGGATCCTCATGAAAGCCAGGGTGGGAGAGCATTGTGTGGTGAGGAAGTTGTCAACAGTCTTGAGTGCTGCTGAGAGTTCAGACAAGGTGATTCCTGAAAAATGCTGAGTTTAGCTCACAGTGGTCAAAGGTGGCTAAAATGAGAATTTTTGGGGGAGTGGTGGGGAGGGAACACAGATTAGAATGAGCTGATTTCTAAAATTCCTTCTAGATTTAATGCTGTGTGATTATGTGATGTGAATTCCTGTCAGTGTTTAAATAGGAAAAATATGTTAAATGCACACACACACACACGATAGGAAAAATGTTATACGCACACCCCCCCATGTTTGTCTTGATGTATATCTATATTTAGAAACACCATAACTCAAATCCAAGATTCCTCTTTGAACTAAATGTATTTTCTGAGGATACCACAATTTCCCCAGATGCACAATTGCTCACCAGACCATGTGATTTTTCAAGCTGGAAAGGTTGATTTCATTTTCCTTAGGATCATATATGGAAGAATGTTTTTGTTCCATGGAGCAGTAAGCCCACAAAATCCTTTTTTCCATGATATTTCTGGCTAGCAGCTTGCTTGCTTTTCCCTCCAAGTTTAATCTGTGATCTGTGAATTACGTTGAACCAAACACCCACCTCACAATGCTGAAAGTCAAGCCTTCTTTGAGAAACACCTCAAGTATCAGGCAGATGTTTCCCCCAGTCTTGTCCAGTGGGCACATCTGGAGTTTTAACTAATGAAGCTTTGGCTGGACCTGCTGATGACCAGGAACAGAATCTCGCTACATCCTTTACCACAGCCTGGAAAGTCATTTAACTCTGGTGGATTCCCCTCCTTTCCTTTCTCCCCTCCCAGCAAGTCTCCAGCCTCCTCCAACCTCCACCCCTCCATGGCTTTGTTTCCACTGAGAGTTATTAGTAAAAATTCATGGGGCTTCTAAACTGCATTTTAGTGGAGGCTGCTTGGAAGTGGGGCTCTGAGGGCCTTGAGTGGCCTCAGGGTCACGGGAGTGTAACTGAAGCTAAGCTGGCAGTATGTGACCAGCAAAGTGACTTCCAGCCTCTTCCTGGCCCCCACCTCTCAGGCACAGCCTTCTCAGGGACATTTGGCACTAGTTAAAGAAGAAAGCTGCATGGGTTTCTCTACTGAGTCTTGAGAGCAAAAGGAAAAATGCACCCTGTTTCTTGTTAATTCCATCATTTGGTTTCCTGGCTTTCGAGTCAGCCAGACCTCAGTGATCAGCCTTCCTCAAACCCTCCTGGGCTCTGAGTGTGCCCCTTGCTGGTGCTGCCCTCACTGTCTGCAGCTGGTTCTCAAGCCTGCACTTTGCTGAGGCTCTTGCTGCCTGCTGGCCACTCTACCATTTCTCAGCTCCTAGAAAAATTGTTCTTCCTTTCTGTGCCTCAGTTTCCCATCTGTAAAACTAGGTGGTCTAACTAGGTCAACATTTCTCCATGATGCTCTTTGCAAACGCTTATGCCCAAATGCACGCTGCCCCATACACATGACCTATCAAGTCAGAAACTCTGGCCGATACCTAGAAATGAGCATCTTCAGAATGCTCCCTGCATTTCTGATGTCATCAGTCTAAGCATTCTTGTTCAAAAACCACCACATTAGATGACCTCACAGGCCATTTTAAAAAAATTTAGAGATGCTACTGCTGCCGGTTTTATAACTACTGCAGTTTTACAGTGGCCAGCAGAAGGGAAAAGGACACAATGTGAAATTCTTAAGCCAGACATCCATGAGTCACCTACTCTGGGGAAATTTTGGAGATAGAATTGTTTAGAACTAGATCCGGATTGGACATAAATTAGGAAATTAGAATGAAGAATGGAGTAGGAGTTGTGGGATAATATATCGCCTTTTTTTTTTTTCAGGAGAGTCTGAGAAATTCCACTACCTAAAAGAGTTATTTATCCAAATGGCATAGATATAAATTAAAATCTAAATATACTCAAGCAGCTTACTTAACTTATATGAGACTCAGTTTCCTCTTTGGTAAAATGGAGATTGTAATGTCTATAAGAATTAATGGAATTAATATGCTTAAAGAACTTATCATAGTGGCTGGCACATGGCAGATATAAAAACATGTGAGTTACTTGAATGTATCCAACTAAAATCACTATCAAATTCCATTAGTGCGGAAGTAGGTTTCCCTGATGCCAAACAAAGATGTAATTTTAGGGTAGCTTTTTAAAATTGAGAATCAGAAGACATATTCAAGACAAGAGAGTCCAGTGTCATCTCCCCTAGTTATAGGTTTCTCTCCACACTTCCTAGGCATATGGACACACAGTCTCAGCTTAGATATGTCCAAAGATGAGGAGCTTACTTCCTAATAGGGAAGTTTGTGTCATTGATGCATAGGTCTTAGTTTTTAAGAGCTTCTTACTCCATCTCAAAAAAAGAATAATTTCTTACTTTGAATCTAAATACTCATTTATGAGACCCTTCAAGATCTCATGTGTGTGTGCACACACACACATGCAAGAAAGTGGGTGCGAGGGAGCGAGAGAGAGAGAGAGAGAGAGAGAGAGAGAGAGAGAGAGAGAGAGAGAGAGAGAGAGAGAGAGAATGACCTTACATGAGGCAGATGGGGAGGAGAAAAAGGAGGAGGAAAATGAAGCAGCAGTAGCTCAGAAAAGTAACCCTGTTCAGCAGGTGTAGATCATGTTGACTGAGGATTTTGGCAGTGATGCACCCAGGAGGTTGGAGGTGCTGTGAATGCTGTGGATGCCATAAAGAAGGGGTCTCATGGGGAGGGAAAGGATCAGCAGACTTGAAGGTGGCCCTCCCCTTTAAAAATTTGTCAAGAAGACAACTGCAGGACACTCAGGCAGGACTATCTCAATTTAAAACCAGATTTTTGAGTTCTAGTGCCCACGTCTTCTCCTGAGACGCTGTCACCTAGCTTCAGCTGCAAATGCTCTCAGGGCACAGAGAAGAGTCTCTAAAGCACCCCCTCCCTCACATTGACCTCTCTGCCCTCTTGTGACCCTCAGGTGCTATCATTTGTGGGTTGCTGAGCTCACCCAGTGTCCTGCTTTGCAATGTTGAAGACTGGATGGATGCCTCTGAAGCCCGGGCTAATGCTACATGTGCCGGTGTGACATATGACCAGGAGACCCGCCAGGTGACATTGCGTGTTGGAGGCCAGGAGTTCATCAAGAGTAAGTCTTTGCCATTTGTCCATATTCCTTCAAAATTACTCTTCCCACCAGCAAGGCCCTCTGCTACTTTCTTATGAGCTCTCCCTGTGACCTGAGGAACTTACACCTCTGAAAAGAAAACTTTACCAATCACGCTGCATGGAAACAACCCTAGCATCTCAGCAGAACTCCATGGGAAGCATCCATTTAGCTACTCCGACTGCAGGTGGACTGGGGGATGGCCAAGTGGGGCAAGTCTGCTGCTCTCAAAAATCTTGGGGTCAGCTGGCAGTTGGTGGATCTCATCTAGTCTTGGCTAGTGCATCTGGGCCCTGCTCTGTGAATTTCTCATCCTCTGGAGGAACATACTCTTCTCTAGGTGGCAGAAGCAGGAACAAGGAGAAACAAGCAAGGCCTGTGCTGTTGGAGCTCAGATTTATCACGTTGCCATTTCTGCCTCATCCTATTGGATAAAGCAAATCCCATGCCCAAACAAGAGACAAAGGGCAGGAAATACACTCTGCTCTTTAATGGGGGGACTGCAAAGTCATGTGCAAATTGTATGACTACAAAGAAAACTGGAGCCTGAAATGCAGTCTGTCCCAAACTAATGCCCATCCAGGCACATTTCCCCTTCTGTGAGTTAAGAAATTCCAGATTGTACCACGTGTGCTACACACTCTAATGGTGGGTACAAGGGACTGTGGGCTCCATTACATGCGTCCAACTCACAGAAATAATCACTGGGCTTTCTCCCTCTCCTTCTTTCTTTTGGAAGCTCTTCTGACCTTTCTTTTCTATGAACATATAAGCATTATGGTGAAGCTGCGTCTCTGCGATCATCTATCCCAGCCTCTCAGTTTCCAGAGATGGGCAGTTAGTGCTTGAGGCCCCCCAGCCAGTCGCATCTTTCTCCACCTTCACAGCCCTGCACTACCTCTCCCAGCAGACCCCCATCAGGAAAAAGTTGGGCTAGGGACTGGTCAGCCATGTACTTCTGATGTGATCACAAAGGACAGGACCAGCACCACCACCATCCCTGGGAACTGGTTAGAAATGCAGAGTTTCAGGCCACACCCAGCCCCCATGGTGGGCCCCAGGATTCTGAATTCTAACAAGTGGGCCAGATAATGCTATGAACACTGAGGGCTTGAAAGTTTCCTTCCATCCTTGAGAGTCTGAGTTGTGATGAAGATGGGGCCAGCTGCTCCCTTCCCTCTTCCTGCTCCAGAGTGGGGTTGAAGGGAAGTCCTGCTCCTCATTGTCTGTTTATCTGCCAGCACCTGAACTGGGAAAGCACCACCAGGCTTCCACTCTGCCTTCTGAGTTGAGAGCAGTGAAAGCATGTGCAGATGCTGACCAGATAGGCGGAGCACCTGATGTGAGTGGGTCAAAGGGGTTCTTCTGTGGGAACCTTTGGGTGCTTATGTTGTTGCAGGAAGTGATCTCCCAAAGACTGGCAGAAGCTTTCTCCAGGAAGCTTCTGGGGAAGCTTCTGAGACTCACACCTTTATATCCTGCATTTCTCAGGGTTCCAATGGCAGAGCATTCAATGTCACCTCCTTCAAAAGCCCTCCCTGACTACCCACAGGGCTTATTGCTTCCTCGACTGCAGAGCTTCATGGATGCTCTGCCTGTTCCTTTGTGAGGGAGTGGAGTCAGCAGCGTGCCGCCGTTATCCATTTGCCTGTCTGTGGCAAGTGTGTCTGTGTTGTTAAATCCTAGCTTTGGACACTAATTGTGTGATCTGGAGTAGGCCGATGAATGTTTTCAGGCCTAATTGCCTGACTGTATAAAGAGAGTAATACCAGTACCCATCTCACAGCGTTGTGAGGGTGAAAGGAGAGGATATAACAATTGAAAAATAAGGATAATAGAAATGGCTTATGTAGCACCCTCTGAGGCAGTCCTGCTCTGAGGCCTTGACCAGTACTCACAAGTCCTCAACACAGTGCTTCAGGGGAGGCACTTTCATTATCATTGTCCCTGTTTGCCCGCCGAAGACATTCTGCTGTTAGGTGACTTCCCTAGATCTTAGAGCTTGCAAATAAGAGTGCTGGGATCTGAAACCAGGCATTCTGGTTCTCACACTGCCTTCTTAACCACTCCCCTTGCAGATGAAGAAATTAGCCGAGTTCCTGATCCATGGTACTGATATTAGATGATATTATCGTTATTTTAAAATTTGTCATTGTTTTCTGTCATATTTGAAGAACTGAAGTGTATTTCATTAATTTCCAGATTCATACCATTGAGCATAAAAAATGCCATATATATATATATATGTGTGATTGGTTGTTTGGGGGTGTGTTTATTGGGGGCTGGTATTAGAAGTCAGTCCTAACCGTAAAAAAATGGCCATATATATATGCCATTTTTTATGCTCAATGGTATGAATATATATATATATATCTGTGGAGTGCATGGTTACCAAATTCTGAAAAAAATATTGCAGAATTTGGTGGAATTCCACAAAGCATAAATAATTTCTTTTGGGGTAAATACAATCAAATCACTTATTTAAATGATGGCTAGTAAACACATGGCACTCATTGCTCCAAGAGGTAGCACAGGGTGAACACAGGCATTTCCAGAAAGACATATGATATATTCACGGCCGTAAATCCAGAGTGAATTGCTCAACCCAGAGCGTGTGCTTGGTATGTGCCCAAGAAATGAGGTCTGTGCCCTTGTCTGGCCTCCCGGGGAAGAAGTGATTACCAAAGAACTTTGGTAATGTTTGTTTTTCTCAGTGCCTTATATGTGTGGGTGTGTATTCTGGGGTGAGGGTGCAGCTTTAAGCAGTGTGTGCTGTGATGGGGATTTCAGGCAGCCTTGATATTCCAAATTGGAGGTTGCACTATGTAAAGACTGATTAGGAGGCTCCCTCCAATTGAAGGCAACAGGACACAGATCTTTCCTCTTCAAAATAAGAGGTCAGCCTTTTAGTGTGACTAACCCCTGGGGGTGAGAGGGAGGGGGTGCAGTATTTAAATTCTTACTATAGTGTGAAGAGCTGATACATACCATTTTCTATGAACAGATATTGAAGGAGGAAAAGAGGAAGAGGATTCTGGCTATAGGAACAGTTGCAGGGGAGGGTGTGGCATGCTTTGAAAGAACATGGGGAGGTGCCAGGACAATAAAGACAAACTCCATTCCCACTAAACTTGATTGACAACTGGCCTCTTCCTCCCAGTATAACAATGGGGTAGACGGTTGTGAAGACAGACTCTGAATCAGGCCCCGGAATTTGAATTCCAATGTGAATGTGTCCTCACCGTGTGGCCCTTCTAGGCTTTGGTCTTTCCAATTATACAATGAGGATAATTATGGCCTCTGACTCTCCAGGTAGTTGGGAGGATGAAGGAAGAATATGTGTGGAACAGCAGAGTGGTGCTGAGCAGGGCAGGCTTGCAGTGAATGCTGAAGATAGGGCACAAGGGGTGGGAGTGAAAATGCCTGGAATTGAGCCTGGCTGTTTCCCGTAGCTCTGTGGCCTTATTCAGGACACTTGACCATTTGCAGCCTCAAGGCCTCCACTGTGCAATGGGGGCACTTGCTCACAGATTACTGAGTGAAGTTCTGGCATTTGCTACAGCCCTCGAAGAATGCCTTGTTCTCTGGTCCCTGGTTCCCTGACAGCACACCCAACAGGGACACCCATGGGACTTCTGGGTGCAGATATCTGTTTTCATTGATCAGTTCACTGGTACTGTCAGGCTCTGGTTCAACAGATGACCTGGGTAATGGAGAGGAGCATTTATTTATAAAGGAAAAATGAATTGATTGCCACCAGGTGTAGCAAGTTACAACCCAACAGAACACAAATTCAAGTAGTAAATATATCAGTATCTGCACTGCATTTTACAAAGTGCTTTCACGTACAACTCCATCGATCCTTTGGGCACTCTGGTGAGGCATTTGGTTATATCGCAGTTTCACTCATGAGAGTGAAGTTTGAAGCTATGACATGACATACCCTGAGAAACAATCTTTACATTAGTGCCATGGCTGGGGCTCAGGGCTTCAGCTTTGGAGACCACTGCTGTCTTGTGGAAGCTTTCCACCCACTCCCCGCTGCCGCCTTCCACTTCCACCATCCCGTGTACAATTTACTGGAAGGAGAAAGTGCTTTGGAGTTTTCCTTGCTATTGTGCCAGAAAATTAAGGCACCTCCAGTAACTGAGAGTGTCACTCTTCAGACATCACTTTGGGGCCAGCTATGCTCTGGATATTAGGTATTAATGCCGGCTAAAGGGATAGTCCACTTCAAGGATTTTACAGGGCTGCTGGAAGAAGAGAACAGAAGATTCAGAAAAGCTGTAGGGTCAACTGTGAGTTGCACAGGGGAGCTGGGAGATGCGCAAACAGCTGTGGAGGAGGTGAGTCGGCGGGAAGCCCCCCCGCCATGGGGAAGCAGCTCTTGTGTTCCCTCCTCCCTCCCTCGTATCGTGAGCACCTGCTGTGTGGGTGTGAGGATGAGGTGACCAGGCCAGGTCTGGAGTGCAAAGATGGTGAGAGTGGCTTCTGTTCTCAAGGAGCTCACAAGGTAGATGGGGTGAAAGATGCAGATTATTAAATACAGCAGGCCTCTTGTTTGCCCATCTTAGTGGACTGATGAGGACTGTAGAGACATGAATGTCCCCTTAGCATATCCCTTCCTGTTTGGTAAAAAGCCTCCTTCAGGTCACTTGCCCCACAGAAGTTAGGACTGACTTATAATACCAGCCCCCAACAAACAAAGACACCCCCAAACAACCAATCACACAAAACATTTGGAGGCCATTTTTATCTAATTGGAAGATACAGCACCTTTGGCTGTGAGGCTTCACTTTCCTGCCATCAGGGATGAGTGATGGCTGAGAGTATGAGATTTTGCTTCGCCTTGGTGCCTGGGTTGATGTGTGTTGTTCTCCAGAGAGAAATCCACACAAGATCTGGATCTCCCAAATTTCCAATGAGCATCTCTGAGTGTATTCAACTATTTGCTGTTGGCTGAGTCAACCTTTTTATTTCTC